ATCTGTCTGTCTACCATTCCTGATTTTTATTAGACAGATAATCTCCGCAAGTACTGGGCCGATTTGTATTTACATTATGAATCAAAATATATTTGCAATCCCCTCCAAAAAATTGTTGACGTCAGCTTAAAATTTTGCCGAATAAATTGTACCCAAAATGTGCAAAATATGATGATATTGTGATTTATCACTGCACTCATCTTTTAGATTTGGCTCAAAAAAATTAATTAATGAGTCAATTTATTTTATTGATTAAACTCACTCCATTTTTTCAGGAAATTTTGGTAATACAATATTGTTATTTTTCAATTTCCATTTTACACTAAATAAAATAAGTCAGTGAAATAAAGAAAGGAGGCGGACATGGCTAAATTTATCTTTTTTTCTAGTTCTATGAGCAAGCAGTAGCCACGCCTACCCACTCTTTCTTCGTTCCAGTGACTACTCTTCATATTGTTCAGTCCTATCTTACCAAGTTTTAGCCCCGCCCACCCACCCTTCCTTTTTCTTAGATATATCATTTACCAAAATCAAGCTTATCTCAACAAGAACTAGGCCCGCCCACCCGCCCTCTATTTGTTACAGGGTATATCGTTTGCCACAATCAGTCTTACCTTAGCAAGTAGTAGCCCCTCCCACCCACCCTTTATTTTCTTAGACGGTATGACATTTATTAAAATTAATCTTTTCTTAACAGGTACTAGCCCCGCCTACACACGCTGTTCTTATTCTAACAATTATATCTCTCTTCAATTGACATCCACCTTTCATTCGTACTAGATCAAATGAATCACTGAAATGGAGGCGGGGTGGGTGGGCGCAATGAATTATATGTGTCTAGACTGTTAAAAAGACTGTTAATCGTATTTTTTTTTTTTGTTATATTACTTATTTGCTATAACACTTCTTATTTATGAAGAAAAAAATGAGAGAACGGATGGATGGGCGAGGCTAAGTTAAACTTTTTCCTACAGAATCTTTTATAAACGAGCAATTGCCCCGCCCACCCAACCCCTCTTCATTCCGATGATTATTCTTAATATTATTCAGTCATTTAGCAAAATCAGTCTTATTTTAACAAATACTAGCTCCGCTCACCCACCCTATATTTTATTACTTTTGGTACGAGGGAAGTTTGGTCGAAACAACTTCCGACGAATTTTTTTCTTACTAAAATAGTACTACTGAATCGCCGGCCATCAAGTCGTGGAAAACGTTTGTTAAAGAGATATCGCAAAAATGTTTCTGATTTGTAATCAGTAAAAAATTCTCTATATGACAGTTCTTTGTGTAACGTCAAATAAAGACATTTTGAAAGTTTAAAAAAAATGGATTTTTTTAAGCGAGCTGTCAAATAATATATGTTTTATGACTCGGTTTTTGGGTAAGCACATGTCAAAATTGCCAACCCAAAAATTTGTTTCAATCATTAATAGGCATCCGGTACTAAAGAAACAAACGTTTATGACACTTTATTAACACTGAAATTCGTAAATGTTGTCCAAAAGTGAGTTGAAAACCAAACTAAATCCTTTTAAGAATTGTAAATTCTGACAGATTCCCTACTATATAAACACAGGAACACTGTTATTGAAATAAAATTCTATATTAAAAAAAACAAAGATTAAATAAGAAAAGACGACTACCTAGATTAAGAAAAAGGGCAAAATATAAGGCCCGCCCACCCGCCCTATCTCGATTGTGATGATTTTTTTCATTCCAAATCAGACCGAGGGATGAAGTTTAAAACTGCAATGTGAACATTTTTCTAGAAATTTCTACATTTTTAAAAACATATTTCATATCGTAATTTCTAGAAACGAGCCCACGATGAATAAGAAATTCATCAGAATTGAGAATGGGTGGGTGGGTGGGGCTTATATTTTGCCCATTTTTTCTAAATATACGAAGTTTTTTTTTCCAACAAAAAACTGAAAACATGTCAATTATCTTCCTGTTATTGAAATAAAACTCTATATTAAAAAAAAAACAAAGATTAAACAAAAAAAGACGACTACCTATATTAAGAAAAAGGGGAAAATATAAGGCCCGCCCACCCACCCACCCTAACTCGATTGTGATGATTTTTTCATTCCTAATCAGACCGAGGGGCGAAGTTTAATTGTAAAATTAAAATTTTTCTAGAAAATTCTACCCTTATAAAACCATATTTCATATCGTAATTTCTAGAAATGAGCCCATGATGAATAAAAAATTCATCAGAATTGAGAAGGGGTGGGTGGGTGGGGCTTATATTTTGCCCATTTTTACTTCCCGAGCGTAAGCAAAGGAAGTATTGTAATCGAGTCCGTCGGCCGACTCTCTACTTTTACGTTTTCTCGATCTTTCATGACCCCTAGAAGACGAAGAAATAGGTCTCCCATTTCCGTCTGTCTGTCCGTCTGTCCGTCTGTCCGTCTGTCCGTCTGTCCGTCTGTCCGTCTGTCCGTCCGTCTGTCCGTCTGTCCGTCTGTTGTCACGGATTTTTATTAGACAGATAATCTCCGAAAGTACTCGACCGATTGTTGTGAAATTTTGTACTTATATTAAGAATATCATGTAGATGGTAAAACGCTAACCAAAATTTGTCGAATCATCCCCACCACTAAAGCGATGACGTCACTTCAAAATTGTACATAGTAAATGGGTTTTCAATTGTATAAAATAACATAGTCCTACACATGTAGTTTACAACTCTGAATCGACTTTTCACCCGAAACGTCCAGATTTTTGGAAAAAAAATCAAAATTATAAAACAACATTTTGAAATTTAATTTTTAATCTGCTAACCAGAATGCTTTGAAATGTTGCAGATGTTTTAAGGCTATAAAGAGCATCATAAATCTTTAGTCAAAAAATATTTGCTTATCCCCTCCAAAAACTTGATGACGTCAGCTCAAAAGTTTGTGGAATAAATCATATCTAAAATGTACAAAATATGATGAGTCTGTACTTGTGAACTATCATTCCATTAATATTTTTTGGATTTGCATATACAGGGTGACTCAAAAAAATTAATGAATGCGTAAATATATTTTATTGATTTAATCAGGAACTACAAAACCGATTGCTCTGAAATCTTGCAGATGTTTTAAGGTCATAAAGAGCATAATAAATGTTTAGTCAAAATATATTTGCTTATCCCCTCCAAAAACTTGATGACGTCAGCTCGAAAGTTTGCCGAATAAATCATATCTAAAATGTACAAAATATGATGAGCCTGTACTTGTCATTTATCACTCCATTCATATTTTTTGGATTTGCATATACAGAGTGACTCAAAAAAATTAATGAATGCGTAAATTTTTTTATTGATTTAATCAGGAACTACAAAACCGAATGCTTTGAAATCTTGCAGATGTTTTAAGGTTATAAAGAGCATAATAAATTTTTAGTCAAAATATATTTGGTTATCTTCTACAAAAAACTGATGACGTCAGCTCAAAAGTTTTCCGAATAAATCGTATCTAAAATGTACAAAATATGATGAGTCTGTACTTGTGATTTATCATTCCATTCATATTTTTGGATTTGCATATGCAGGGTGACTCAAAAAAATTAATGAAGGCGTGAATTTATTTTATCGATTTAATCAGGAATTACAAAACCGAATGCTTTGAAATCTTGGGAATATTTTAAAGTTATTATAAGCATGGTAAACTTTTGTTCAAAATGTATTTGTTCATCCCTCCTAAAAAAATTGATGACGTCACCCTTAAATTTTGCTGAATAAATCCTATCTAAAATGCAAAAAATATGATGAGTTTGTACTTGTGATTTATCATTCCATTCATATTTTTTAGATTTTCTTAAGAGGTGGTTCAAAAAAATTAATGAAGTCAATTTATTTTATTGATTAAATTAAAGGCAACACTTATTATTAGTATTACACCCCAACCAACCCAATTTGGTAGACACAAAATTTGTTAAAGGAAAAACTCGGTTGAAACATGGGTAGCACGCTTATTTACATCGACTTTAACATTACAGACCTGCATTTGTTTTATGCGTTCACTTGATTCCGCGAATGTGAAATAGACATGTTTATAATCAACCAATTGTGAATTTCACCGTCAAGAATTAAAATAAAACCCAATGTTTTATATAATAAGCGGAAGTCGAAGCAATAAAACCGACGGTCGTTTTGTTTACAGTTTCTGTGTTTGGCTCTCACGTATGCTGTTACGCCTGTCATCTTAAATTAACAATGTTTATACATACACGATTTTCAGTTGCCTCTGATACGTAGGTATACGTGAGTAAATTGTTTCGTTATTTTATTGATTATTACAAATCAATATTCAAACGACCCAATTCATTTTCCCGAAAATTTGAGAATATAATAATTTTATTCTTAGTATTACACTACATCTATCCCAACTGATATACGTGTCCTTGCAAAAATGTTGATGACGTCATCGCAATTTTTTTTTAAATTCCCACTACAAAAATGTAATGAGAAAAAAAACACAATAGGCATGCAGTCGTCAAGTTTCCGACAGCGAGGGAAGTACTGTCTAAACTCTTTAGACCAATTTTTTCTAAATATACGAAGTTTTTTTTCCAACAAAAAACTGAAAACATGTCAATTATCATCTTGTTATTGAAATAAAACTCTATATTAAAAAAAAAAACAAAGATTAAACAAGAAAAGACGCCTAGATATATTAATAATTTGAAATGAACTGCTCTATTCTGAGTTCTAGTGCAGTTGTTAAATAAGGTAAGTCGACAGTTTGACAAGGTTTGATCTGACCTGACCTTTTTCTTAGTGGTCTCGGAAACACCCGACGTACTTTGAGAACGCGGTTTCGGGAAACGCTCGAGGTCTTTCGAGAATCAATGTTCAAATTCAAGTCACAAGAAAATTAGTGATTAGGGAAATGTCTTGACACGTGGTTTATCTGAATGAACATTAATATGATTAACAGACTCATTATCATTGACAGAAATTACTCATGACAACGTTACCAACCATAACACTAAAATTAAAATTTCAGTCACTGGAATAAACCTACACCTGATAACTCCTGCTGTGTGCATTATTTGTATTTTCTACACCACACTAGTAAGTTTGTAGTGTTTCCATACATTTCCTATATGAACTACAAAAGTGTAAATTTTAGGGTGGTTTAAAAGCTGTAGTATGGACTGACGCAATTCAGACAGTCTTGATGTTTGCATCCATGATTGTTGTTGTTATCATGGGCATGGAAAGCGTTGGGGGGTTTAGCGAAGTTTGGAAACGAAATCAACATGGAGACAGATTAGACTTTTTCAAGTATAAAATTATTACAGACAGATAATTTCATAACGGTTACAATTGTAGTTTGGACTGGGATCCTACGTTACGACACACACTGTGGACTGTTGCTATTGGACACTACTTTTCTTGGTTGGCTACGTGCTCCGTCAATCAAACTATGGCCCAGAGGTTTTTAGCAATGCCTACTCTTAAATCGGCTAGATTGTAAGCTACATATATACTAAGTCTGCATAAGAAATCGTCCAAGGAAAATATAAATAGGAGCGCGCCTAATACCAATCCTTGAAGAACTCCAACGTAATTTTGTTTTTTAGGACCGTCATTCTCCTAGTTCTTGGAATGTGGGGTTTGGTTTCCCTCTGTTGCTGTGTCGGTCTGATCATTTACGCCTACTACCATAAATGTGACCCAATAACAAATGGTTCAGTCGCCAAATCTGACCAATTAGTGCCCTATTTTGTGATGCATGTCGCCACTGTCATTCCCGGCTTGCCTGGACTTTTTGTCAGCGGAGTTTTCAGTGCTGCCCTCAGGTAAATAAGTACAGAAGAATCTTCGTCAAAACCTAAGTATCCAGTCGTTTTTATTTTTCAGCTCCATGTCCACCGGTTTGAACTCCATGACGGGCGTCATCTTCGAAGACTTCATCAAACCCAAACTAAAAAAACCCTTGTCGGCAGCTCGAGCAAGTTTTCTCATGAAAATCATGGTAGTGGTAATAGGTACCATCTGCGTTGCGCTCGTTTTCGTCGTAGAAAACTTGGGAATGCTTATCCAAGCTACTCTAAGTCTAGGCGCCATCACAGCTGGACCCACTTTGGGGATTTTCGTCCTAGGCATGTTTTTTCCTGGTGCCAATTCCAAGGGCGCTATCGTCGGAGGAGTAGTCAGCGGGTCACTGATCGGGTGGATTTCTATAGGCACCCAGATGAAAATGGCCCAAGGAGTTATAACCTTTCCGAAGAAAAATGTGTCGATTGAAGGGTGTGACTCCTGGGTTTCGGGGTATTTGAGTAGTGTTGTGGCACCACAAGTCGGCAATAAGGAGGTCGAATCGGTGTTTGCTCTGTATAGAATGTCGTATATGTACTATACTGTGGTTGGTGCTGTGGTAGCGGTTGTTGTGGGGTACATCGTGAGTTTGGTAACAGGCGGGACTGAAAAACAAGTTCATAGGGATTTGTTGTCGCCGATTGTCCACAGGTTTCTGAATGGGGAGCGCGAAGCTGACACTAACAACAGAAAAGATTTAGTGATGGATACGGAGTTAACTTAGCAATTTTCGTTTTTATTTTCAGTTGTTCTTGTTGATTGGCATTTTTGTCACATTTTAATTATAAATAGAACTCTTGTCAGTAATAATAAAACGGTCATAGTGATTGTATTTTCAATTACTATATCAAATACATAGAATAAAAATCCTGAGCAATTAATTCCAACCCACTTGATGTAATATTGGTACTAGCTTGGACTAAAAGATTTGCAGATCGTCCTAGACAATGACTGGTGTATTAGTTTGCACTGGGTAGATAAATCCAAAAAAATGGCTACCGTAATTGGTATTTCCACTAAATCCTGCTTCTTTGAAAAATTATAAAATTTGATTTTGCGATTTTTTTCTTTTTGATGATAATATAGAAAGGTTTCACTTTCTTAAAAAAAAAAGATAGTTGGGAGTCCCCGAAAAGGTTTCACGTTCTTTAAAAAAAATACAGTTGGGACCCCCTAGAAGATATCACCTTCTTTAAAAAAAAGACACTTGGGACCCCGGAAGGTTTCACCTTTTAAGACAAAAAACAGTTGGGACCCCGAGAAGGTTCCACCTTTTAAAACAAAAAACAGTTGGGACCTCGAGAAGACAAAAAACAATTGGGACCCCGAAAATTCTTTAAAAAAAGACATTGGATCCCAGAAAGTTTCACCTTTAAAAAAAAACTGTTCGGGTCTCCGAGAAGGTTCCACCTTTTAAAACAAAAAACAGTTGGGACATCGAGAAGGTTTCTCCTTCTTAAAAAAAGACAGTTGGGACCACCTTCTAAAAAAAACTGGGCGGGCCCCCGAGAAGGTTCCATCTTTTAAAACAAAAAGCAGTTGGAAACTCGAGAAGGTATCTCCTTCTTTAATAAAAAGACAGTTGGGACCCCCTTGAAGTTTTCATCTTCTTAAAAAAAAGACACTTGGTACTCCGAGGTTTCACCTTTTAAAACAAAAAAACAGTTGGGACCTCGAGAAGTTTTCACCTTCTTTAAAAAAAGACACTTGGGACCCCGAGAAGTTTTCACCTTCTTTAAAAAAAGACACTGGACCCCAGAAAGTTTCACCTTTAAAAAAAAAACTGTTCGGGCCCTCGAGAAGGTTTTACAATCTTAAAAAAAAAACAGTTGGAATCACCTTCTAAAAAAAAAACTGGTCGGGCCCCCGAGAAGGTTCCACGTTTTAAAATAAAAAACAGTTGGGACCTCGAGAAGGTTTCTCCTTCTTAAAAAAAAGACAGTTGGGACCACCTTCTAAAAAAAAACCGGTCGGGCTCCCGAGAAGGTTCCATCTTTTAAAACAAAAAACAGTTGGGATCTCGAGAAGGGTTCTCCTTCTTTAAAAAAAAGACAGTTAGGACCCCCTAGAAGTTTTCATCTTCTTTAAAAAAAGACACTGGATCCCAGAAAGTTTCACCTTTAAAAAAAAAATTGTTCGGGCCCTCGAGAAGGTTTTACAATCTTAAAAAAAAGACAGTTAGGACATCTCCTTCTTTAAAAAAAAAGACAGTTAGGACCCCCTAGAAGTTTTCATCTTCTTCAAAAAGACACTTGGGACCCCGAGAAGGTTTCACCTTTTAAAACAAAAAACAGTTGAGACCTCGAAAAGTTTTCATCTTCTTTAAAAAAAGACACTTGGGACCCCGAGAAGGTTTCACCATTTAAAACAAAAAACAGTTGGGACCCCGAGATGGCTTTACCTTTTAAAACAAACAACAGTTGGGACCTCGGGAAGGTTTCTCCTTCTTTAAAAAAAAGACAGTTGGGACCCCCTAGAAGTTTTCACCTTCTTTAAAAAAAAGACACTGGACACCAAAAAGTCTCACCTTTTAAAAAAAAATTGTTCCGGCCCCGAGAAAGTTCCACCTTTTAAATCAACAGTTGGGACCCCGAGAAAGTTTCACCTTTTTAAAAAAGACAGTTGGGATCCCCTAGAAGTTTCCACCTTCTTTAAAAAAAGACAGTTGGGACCACCTTCTAAAAAAAACTGGGCGGGTCCCCGAGAAGGTTCCATCTTTTAAAACAAGAAACAGTTGGGACCCCGAGAAGGCTTCACCTTTTAAAACAAAAAACGGTTGGGACCTCGAGAAAGTTTCTCCTTCTTAAAAAAAAAAGACATTTGGGACCCCCTAGAAGTTTTCATCTTCTTTAAAAAAAAGACACTGGACACCAAAAAGTCTCACCTTAAAAAAAAAACTGTTCGGGCCCCGAGAAGGTTCGACCTTTTAAATCAACAGTTGGGACCCCGAGAAAGTTTCACCTTTTTAAAAAAGACAGTTGGGATCCCCTAGAAGTTTCCACCTTCTTTGAAAAAGACACTTGGGACCCCGAGAAAGTTTCACCTTTTAAGACAAAAAACAGTTGGGACCCCGAGAAGGTTCCACCTTTTAAAACAAAAAATAGTTGGGACCTTGAGAAGTTTTCACATTCTTTAAAAAACGATACTTGGGACCCCGGGAAGGTTTCACCTTTTAAGACAAAAAACAGTTGGGACCCCGAGAAATTTTCACCTTCTTTAAAAAAAAGACACTGGACCCCAGAAAGTTTGACCTTTTAAAAACAAACAGTTCGAGCCCCCGAGAAGGTTCCACCTTTCAGATCAACAGTTGGGACCCCGAGAAAGTTTCACCTTCTTTAAAAAAAAAAGACAGTTGGGATCCCCTAGAAGTTTTTACCTTCTTTAATAAAAGACACTTGGGGCCCCGAGAAGGTTTCACCTTCTAGAAAAAAAGGCAATTGAAATCCCCCAGAAGGTTTCAAAAAAAGGTAGTCGAATCCCCGAGAAGATTTCACCTTCTTAAAAAAATACATTTGGAGCCCCAGAGAAAGATCACTCTTCTTAAAAAAAAGAGTTGGGCCCCCAAGGTTTCACATTCAAGAAAGTTTCACCATTAAAAAAAAAAGTCCCCAGAAAGGTTTCACTTTCATTAAAGAAATACAGTTGGGACCCCCTATAAGTTTCCTCCTACTTTAAAAAAAGACACTTGGGGCCCTAAAAGGCTTCACCTTTTCTAAAAAAAAAAACTGTTCGGGCCCCGGAGAAGGTTCCACCTTTTATAAAAATAAACAGTTGCCACCCCGAGAAGGTTTCACCTTCTTAAAAAAAAGACATTTTGGACCCTCTAGAAGTTTTCACCTTCTTTGAAAAAAAGAAACTTGGGACCACGAGAAGGTTTCACCTTAAAAAAAAGACAGTTAGAGCCCACGAAAACATTTCATCTTCTGAAAAAAAAAAGGTAGTGGAGATCCCCGAAGAGGTTTCACCTTCTTAAAAAAAGACAGTTGGAGCCCCAACGAAGGTTTAATTTTCTTAAAAAAGAAGAGTTGGGCTCACAAGATTTCACATTCTTAAAAAAAAGTTGGTGTACCCAAGAAGGTTTCACCTTCTTAAAAAAAAAAGAGAGTTGGGAATCCCCAAAAGGGTTTCACGTTCTTTAAAGAAATCACTTGGGATCCCGAGGTTTTATCTTCTAAAAAAACTATTCGGACCCCCGAGAATATTCCACCTTTTAAACAGAAAACTGTTAGGACCCTCAGAACGTTTCACTTTCTTAAAAAAAAGACAGTTGGGGCCCCCGAGAAGATTTCACTTTCTGAAAAAAAAAGGTAGGGGATCCCTGAGAAGGTTTTCACCTTCTTCAAAAAAAAGACATTTGAAGTCCCAAAGAAGGTTTCATCTTCTTAAAAAAAAGATGAGTCCCCAGAAAGGTTTCACGTTCATTAAAGAAATACAATTAGGACCCCCTTGAAGTTTTCCCCTACTTTAAAAAAGACACTTGGGACCCCAGAAGGTTTCACCTTTTCTAAAAAAAACTGTTCAGGCCTCCAAGAAGGTTCCACCTTTTATAGAAATAAACAGTTGAGACCCCGAGAAGATTTCTTCTTCTTAAAAAAATACCAGTTGGGACCCCCTAGAAGTTTTCAAAAAAATGACACTTGGGACGCCGAGAAGATTTCACCTTAAAAAAAAGACAGTTAGAGCCCACGAAAAGATGTCATCTTCAGTAAAGAAAAGGTAGTTGGGATATCCGAGAAGGTTTCACTTTCTTAAAAAAAAGACATTTGGAGCCTCAGAGAAGGTTTCATCTTCTTAAAAAACAGACAGTTGGTGTACCCGAGAAGGTTTCACTTTCTGAAAAAAAAACTAATTGGGATCTCCGACAAGGTTTCGTCTTCTTACAAAAAAGAGAGTTAGGGCCCCCAAGGTTTCAGATTATTAAAAAAAAAGGTTAGTGTACCTGAGAAGGTTTCCCCTTCGTAAAAAAAAGATATTTGGGAGTTCCCAAAAGGGTTCCACGTTCTTTAAAGAAATGCAGTTGGGACCCCCTAGAAGTTTTCACCTTTCTGAAAAAAAGCTACTTAGGACCCCGAGAAGGTTTCACCTCTTAAAACAAAAAACAATTGGGTCCTCAGAAGGTTTCACTTAAAAAAAAGACAGTTGGGACGCCCGAGAATATTTCACTTTCTGAAAAAAAAGGTAATTGGGATCTCCGACAAGATTTCTTCTTCTTACAAAAAATAGAGTTAGGGCCCCCAAGGTTTCAGATTATTAAACAAAAAAAGTTAGTGCACCTGAGGTTTCCCCTTCGTAAAAAAAAGACAGTTGGGACTTCTCAAAAAGGTTTCACGTTCTTTAAAGAAATGCATTTGGGGCCCCCTAGAAGTTTTCACCTTTCTTAAAAAAAACCACTTAGGACCCAGAGAAGGTTTCACCTCTCAAAACAAAAAACAATTGGGCCCTCAGAAGGTTTCACTTAAAAAAAAATCCAGTTGGGACGCCCGAGAAGATTTCATTTTCTGAAAAAAAAGTAGTTGGGATCCCCGACAAGCTTTCGTTTTCTTACAAAAAAGTGGTAGGATCCCGAAGGTTTCAGATTATTAAAAAAAAAAATTAGTGCACCTGGGAAGGTTTCCCCTTCGTAAAAAAAGATAGTTGGGAGTTCCCAAAAGCGTTTCACGCTCTTTAAAGAAATGCAGTTGGGACCCCCTAGAAGCTTTCACTTTTCTGAAAAAATCCACTTAGGACCCCGAGAAGGTTTCACCTCTTAAAATAAAAAACAATTGGGCCCTCAGAAGATTTCACTTAAAAAAAAAGACAGTTGGGACGCCCAAGATGATTTCACTTTCTGAAAAAAAAGGTAGTTGGGATCCCCGACAAGATTTCTTCTTCTTACAAAAAATAGAGTTAGGGCCCCCAAGGTTTCAGATTATTAAAAAAAAAAGTTAGTGCACCTGAGGTTTCCCCTTCGTAAAAAAAGATAGTTGGGAGTTCCCAAAAGGGTTTCACGTTCTTTAAAGAAATGCAGTTGGGACCCCCTCGAAGTTTTCACCTTTCTGAAAAAAAGCCACTTAGGACCCCGAGAAGGTTTCACCTTTTAAAACAAAAAACAATTGGGCCCTCAGAAGGTTTCATTTTCTCAAAAAAAAAAAAAAACAGTTGGTGCCCCCGAGAAGGTTTCACCTCCTTAAAAAAAAAGATAGTCGGGAGTTCCCAAAAACGTTTCACGTTCTTTAAAGAAATATAGGTGGAACCCCCGAAAAAGTTTTCACATTCTTAAAAAAAGACAATTGGGGCTCCTGAGAAGGTTTGATCTTCTTTAAAAAAAAACAGATGGGGTCCCCGAGGTTTCACGTTCTTAAAAAAAAAGCTGGGCTCCTCGAAAATGTTCCACGTTCTTTAGAAAAAAGACAGTTGAGACCCCGACAAGGTTTTCACATTCTCTAAAAAAGGGCCCACGAGAAGGATATATAATCTAGATAATTTGAAGAATAAAGAAAGAATTCGGCATAATTCCAAAAACAGTTCTGGTGTTTCAAAGTTAAATTGCAAAATATTGTTATACAACTTTGATTTTTTTTCCAAAAATCGGCATGTCTAGGGTAAAAACTGAACACGGATTCATAAACCACATGTGAGGGGGTATCTTCAATTATAAAATTGGAATAATACTGATATTGACATCTTTTACACCAACATACGTCAGTTTAGAGGAATATTAAAATACGATCATACTAGAAAATCTATCTCCGACAATTCGGACAAGTAATAACTTGTAGCTACTTGATTATAATAGATATTCCTTATAATAATATCTTACTCTTAATAATAATAATGTAAATTTTGGAGATGACGTCATCGTATTGTTGGTGGGATGATTGACAAATTTTGGCTAGCGTTTTACCATTTATACGAAATTCCTAATACACATAAAAAATTAATAATAATGCTCCAGTAGTTTCGGAAATTATCTGTCTAATAAAATCATGACAGACGGCAGACAGACAGATAGACAGACGTATTTTCTCACACTCCAGTGGTCATGAAACATCGAGAAAACACAAAAGTAGCCAGTCATCCAAAGGACTCCACTACGCTCAGGACGTAAAAAGTGCAACCTCATTACGTTCAAAGCATCAAATAAAAACCTAAATTAATCAAGTAAAGCGGTTTAGATTTTCACAAAATTGGATTAACATTTGGCCGTAATAAGAGGATGGAGACCGTCTGTAACACTAGTGTGGAGTATAATTTTCCAATTGTAACTAAATTATGCCTACTATATTTATGTAGTAGGATAATAGGTCGCTTAGCTGGTTTTATGTTAGTAGTGTTCTTCGATTTGTGAACGTGAAAAGTTAAGACACCCGTTCTTCCCCATCAAAAACCAAAAATGCCTCCAGAAGACGTCTACACTTACTTCGACATCTTCGATTACATCGTCTTCGCGGCAATGTTAATCGTGTCTTCATTAATTGGCGTCTACTTCGCCTTTTTCGCCAAAGTAAAACAGGACACTACGTCCGAGTATTTGATGGGGGGCAAAACAATGGGGATATTTCCCATTTCGATGTCGCTGATAGCCAGGTAAGTGGCGCTCTAATTTAGACCATTATTCGTTCGTTACATCATGCAAAAGAATAGCTCCACGAACCGGAAAAGCGATAATTTTAAGTGACCAATTTCAAACGACTCTTGTGTTAACGTTTATGTTCGAACCAGTTTTATTCTTGCGTCGATTTACAAATATCGCAAGCTAAATATATATTTTAGCAACAACAACGAAAAACGAAACAAAACACTTAAATAAGTCATTTCCACGGATTGAAAATATCAAAAAACTTGTCGTTCGTACTTTGGGTTTTATTCTTCTTGACGATGGTACACTCGACGCTTACGTTTTGTAATGATCTTTTGACCAAACTCGCCCCATCTAGGGGTTCGTCGTTCAAAGAATTATCATCATCCTCTCCCATTTCGTTCCCGTATAAGAACATGTTCTCCAACTTTGTGATGAACTTGACGTCGTAACAGCTATAAAAAGCCCATGATCTTAAAATCATGAAGATCTTAGTTCTTAGACAATCTTTGTCTTGGGTGTAGTTCAGTTTGTTGTAGATTGCGTGAAACTGTTTGAAGATATCAAAACAATCGTCGGGGTTAGATTCCGTTAATCGTTCCATTCGTATCTTCTGTTTTTTGCAGTTGTACATGACATCTGATAATAAATACAATCTTGCCACTTTTTTCACTGGTTTGGTGTCAGGATTCTTCAGTGAGTCTACCAAAACATCTATAATATCATCTATGGAGTTGGGATGGTTCAAACAGAAGATCATAGCTTGCACGATCGAACTTCTCTTGATGGTTAGATTTTTGATCAAAGAAATCAATCGAGTAGCTTGACTTTCAGTCAATTTAGCATCTTCCTTTTTACTTGGAAGGATTAGCTCCTTTGGCATTCCATCTTTGTAGTTGGGGGCGGTCGGTGGCAGCCAAATCGACCCATTCTTGTACATCTTGAAGGGTTTCATTCCCCACGAATTCTTCGGATCACCGTTGAGTATAGAATATAATTTCCATCTATAGTAAGTGTGAGCCGGATTTTGAAAATCACTCAAGAAACTAAAATCCGGGTTAGTCATTTCGATGTTCATTAACATGGCTTCAAACTCCGGGCCTTCTCTAATCACGAACTCGATGGTCCGGTGGATGATCATCAACAGATTCCTGTCGAACGGAATTGTCACCTTGATTGTGGTTTTCTCTAAATCGATTTCGTCTTCTTTCGACGACGTCTGTGCGTTGAAAGGTAGCCCAGATGGTGGCGGCGGCGAATACAACTTGTACAACTCAGGCGGAATATGCACTGGGTGTGTCGGAATTTTCACTGACTTCCCCCAGTTGATTCTCATATCTTCGTGATTTTTCAACCCATTGAGAGCCCGTTCTGCGTCGGCGCGACTCATGAAGGCCACAAAACCGCAGTTGGCACTCCTGGAGCTGACTTCGTTCCGCGGCCACATGATCTTAACACTAGCCAAAGGCCCGTACGTCCCAAACAGCTGTATTAAGTAATCTTCGGTAATGTGGGGACTCAAATTCGACACGAACAAATTCGTCGAACTGCTGTAGTCGCTATCGGGACACAAAATGGGCGACGGTGACTCGATTTTCGGCAACACGAGTTTAATTTCCTTCACTTGTCTCTCGTGTTGGAGCATCTTCAACTCATCCCCCAGACTCTTCAAGTTGGATTTCTTTTTAGCGCGCTTGGAAGAAGGGGGGTGCGGGGGCGATTTGGGTTTCTGGATGGATTCGTCCTTTTTGAGCTTGATTATGGGTCGCGGGTTGTATAATTGTCCTCTTTCCGAGGTGTCGCCACCCTCTGCATAGAGGGTGTCCGACTTGATGAAAGTCTTTCTCGGGATTTCCGAGTTCTCTTGAAAAGTGTCTATGTACTGTTTGTAGATGGCACCAATGGCTTGTTGCTCTTCTTCGCGTTGTTTCTTATTGACTGAGCTGCGCTTCATGTTGAAGAGTTCTTGGAGTGACAAGAATGACAGTTGTGACGTCAAGTGACGTGAACTTAACCACACTTTTTTTTTAGTTACATATCTGGCATCAGTGTACTTGGAATTCCGGCCGAAATGTACACTTACGGAAGCCAGTTTTGGATGGTTTTGGCATCTGAAGCCTTGGTTTCCTTAACGATGGCGTATTGCTACTTACCTGTATTTTATAAATTGCAAATTACGTCCAGTTATGAGGTATTTGACTGAAATTATTGAATGAATGAAAGTGTTATTTTTGATTTTCAGTATTTGAATCTTCGGTTTAACCAGACGGTGCGACTGTTAGGGTCGGTTTTATTTTTGACGAAAATGATGCTGTATATTCCAATTGTGATTTACGTGCCGGCTTTGGCGTTCAGTCAAGGTATGAAAAAGTACTGTTTCAGTTGGTATCAATGATTTTGTCAAATGTCATAACCAAACTTTCTTGACTGCAGTTTCTGATTTTTTGCCAACTCAAACAGTATTGTAGATGTAAACTTAAAAAATCTAAAAAAATTTTCAGTTACTGGAATCAACTTACACTTGATCACTCCCGCTGTGTGCATAGTTTGTATTTTCTACACCACGTTAGTAAGTTTTTCGAATTTTTCGGTGTACGTCTATGGCTAAAATTTTTATTTCAGGGTGGTCTAAAAGCCGTGGTGTGGACTGACACGGTTCAAACGGTTATGATGTTTGCGGCTTTAATTGCTGTGGTTTTTATGGGGATTGACAGCGTTGGAGGATTGAGCGAAGTGTGGAGAAGAAATGAAGCTGGGGATCGACTAGAATTTTTCAAGTATGGAGTCATCAAAAGCGATGAAGTGATTGAGAGAGTTGGTACTCCTGTTACATCTTATGACAGATTTGTGTAAGGTTATGTCCCAATTATTATTACTTGTTAGTTTGCGGACAAAGTATATTTTAACTGTTCATTTAATTAAAAGTGTTAAATGCTAAGCAGCTAATATTTTTCGACAACTTATTAATAAACCAAATTATCTAGTTCAGGTTCAGGTGTACCAACTCTCTCAATCAATGTTGGATGATACTAGAAGGCTATCTTGAAGTTAGCTTCGGGTTTAAATTTAGTTTTTCGAAGGTCAGTTCTGTTCTAAGATATGACCTGACTTCATTTTAGGCCTTCAAAATTCAAATTTGAAGCTAATTTCAGTGATAACGGTGGTAGCACGTTCTAACACAATCACAATTGTAGCTTCAACTGGGATCCCACTATAAGACACACATTTTGGACTGTCTCCATTGGAAATTATTTTTCTTGGTTGGCTTCGTGTTCCATTAATCAGGCTATGGTTCAGCGATGTTTGGCCATGCCGACCCTTAAGTCCGCCAGAATGTAAGTCACGTATTAATATTACACCGTAGTTTCAGTTGGTAGCAATGAATTTTTCTTGAAATTGGTAGACCTGTCACTCCACTTTACTTCCTGTTGTCAAAACTGACATAGTTGACAGTGACATTTAATTTGTCAGTGATTATGTAAAAATGTTATACTAGGTAGTCAACTTTCGTGCAACCCAACTCAAACAGTACAATACTTATTGATCAAGCTTGGACTAGTAACGACTGAAGCAAATTTTTGGGTTGGCAATTTTGAATTATTGGCAGCAATATTAACATGTCAGTTCATCACAGTTGTCAATTCTGACATGAGTGCGCTTAAAAACCAATGAGAAGATGTCAGTTACTGAACTGGTGACCAAAATTTGAATCTGATAACACGTATGCCATCATGAAATTTTGAATATGTTGCCAACCTGACAAAATTCGCAAAACATTAACAGTCAGTCGGCAGTTGACAAATAGACTTTGAACAGTGGCGTACGCCAATTAAATTTAAAGAAATTATTTTTGGAACGATTGCTATAAACGCGATCTACATTTTTTACAACATTTTAAAACGAAATTTTATAATCCAGCAATTATTATTTACTTCAAACTTGTACATCTTTTTAGTTATTGCTTTTTGCCAAATTAAAATATGATTTTCTAGTTCTAAATGTCCTCTCAGTTTTTCTTTAAAATATTAGGGAATTTTTCACTTTATACAAAACGACGAAACATTCAAAACACTTTCTGAATTTGTAAGCTTACAGTTTCGGCCAGAAAATCTTGGGCAGTATTTTTCTGTCATTGAAAAAAAACACGATGTAGTCTATGCTTTATTGTCATAATGTTTGACACTTTTAAAAAATAAATTTTGACATACGTCATCATCCACATTCCAGTCTACGTCTCTAGGTCAAAATGGAAAACAGCAGATTTGAGGTTATATGTACGTAAAGCCTGTTTTAGAGATTATGTCACTCGAATGACAGAACTGCCCAAGATTTTGTGGCCGAAACTGTACATCATTTTGAAAAAATAGTTTACTTACCTTAAACAACGTCAAAGGGGGTTACTGATTTGTAAAAAATAAAAAAATGAACTCATCCGGTCTTCTTTTCGCCTTCTTCATATTTCTAATAATAATAATACTTTATTGGTCATAATTATGTTCACACTTTCGTCTAACTTCGGATGGAAATTTAGATCAGGGTAGGTATGGCTGGGGCTTAATCCTTGGTTTTAATTTTTTCTTAGTATTCTTTCTACATGGTAATTTCTTGTAGAGAAATAATAACGATTTTGCACTTAAATTCCGCTCCTTTTGCTCTTGACGATAAAAAATTCATCACAATTGAGATAGGGCGGGTGGGCGGGGCTTATATTTTGCCTTTTTTCTTAATATACATAGTCGTCTTTACATAGACAAGAAACTTAAAACGTGTTTAAAATGGTAAATTCTTGTAAATAAATATGAATGTTGCATTTAAGCCCCGCCTCTCGATATGACGAGGTATGGGTGGGGTCTAATCTTTGGTTTTAATTTTTTCTTAATATACATAGTACTTTTTGAATAACACGATACCCAAAAACATGTGTTACATGGTAATTTCTTGTAGAGAAATAATAAGGATTTTGCAATTAAGTTCCGCTCCTTTATCTCTCGACGATTCAAAAAACAAATCATTACAATTGAGATAGGGCGGGTGGGCGGGGCTTATATTTCAGTATTTGCTACGATAAGACTGATTTTGGCAAATGACATATCCTCTAAGAAAAGAGAGGGCGGGTGGGCGGGGCTAGTACTTGCTAAGATAAGACTGATTTTGGCAAATGCCATGCCCTCTGAGAAAATAGAGAGGGGGTAAAGAAAGTTATATTGAAATTATTCTATTCAGTTTTAATTTTTTTCTAAAAATTCTGGATGTCGAGGAAGATAATTCGACATGGATTCACACACCACAAGTACAACAGTATCTTATTTTAACAAATTAAAAAAACTTTTAATTATAAATTTTGGAGATGACATTATCAAATTGTTGGTAGTCTTATTTTAACAAGTACTAACCCCACCCACCCTCACTTTTCTTAGAGGATATGTCATTTGCCAAAATTAGTCTTATCTTAGCAAGTACTAGCCCCACCCACCCACCCTCTCTCTTCTTAGAGGATATGTTATCTGCCAAAACCAGTCTTATCTTACCAAGTATTGGCCCCACCCACTCGCCCCCTATTTTCTTAGAAGATATGTCATTTGTTAAAACAAAACTTATGTTATGAGTACTAGCCTCGCCCATCCGCTCTTTATTTCCTCAGAGGATAGTACGTGCTAGTACTAGCTAAGGTAAGTCTCATTTTGGTAAATGACATATCCACTGAGAAAATAGGGGCGGTGGGCAGGGCTAGTACTTGCTGAGATAAGACTGATTTTTTCTTAATATACGTAGTCGTCTTTAATTCTTGTAGACAAATATGGGTCTTGCAATTAAGCCCCGCCCCTCGATCTGACAACGAATGAAAAATTCATCACAATTGAGAATGAAGATCGGGGCGGGTATGGGTGGGGCCTAATCTTTTGCTTTATTTTTTCTTAATATTATAATATTCTTTTTTTAAGAGCTTATTTTCTATTAGTTGTCATTCCCACTTTACAAAAGAACATATAATTCATCCTGCATTTCTTAGATCTCATTTGCCAAATTTGGTCTTATTTTAGCCGATACTACTCACCCATCATCTCTTTTCTTACAGGGTATGTCATTTGCTAAAATCGGTCTTAAACTCGAACTCAAAAAGTGAGGGTGGTTGGGCGGGGCTAGTACCTGCTAAGATAGAAATGATTTTGGCAAATGACATACCCTCTAAGAAAGAAGAGGCTGGGTGGGTGGGGCTAGTACTTTTTAAGTTAAAACTGATTTTGGGAAATGACATACCTTCCAAGAAAAGAGAGGGTGGGTGGGTGGGGCCAGTGGCTGCTAATACCAGCCCCGCCCACCGATCCTATCTTTTCATAGTGTTTTGTGTTTGAAAGAGTTTGAAAGATTCTTAGAAAAAAAGTTTTGTTTTGTTTTTCTGTACGAATCATTTACTTGACCTGCTGGGATTATTATATCTGGTTCTTCTCACAAAGAGAATTTTAACCCAGTCGAGTGTAGCACACAATTTGTTAGTAAATAATGATACATAATTTTGAGGTTCTAGGTATTCCTGTTTGGAAAGAATTTGGAAGTGCGTTGGAGGCTCTAGTGTTAATTAAATTTCTCAGAGGATACGGTATTTGTTAAAATCGGTCGTATCTTAGCAGGTACTAGCCCCGCCCACCTACCCTCTGTTTTCTTAGAAGGTATGTCATTTGCCAAAATCAGTCTTATCTTAGTACTAGTTAGCTAAGATAAGACTAATTTTGGCAAATCACATGCCTTCCAAGAAAATAGAGGGTGGGTGGGAGGGGCTAGTAGTTGAATAAGATGAAATTGATTTTGGCATTTTTGAGCACTTTTCAACTATTTTTGAAAATTAGTTGAAGTCATTTTCTAGCCTCACCCACCCGCCATCTCTGTTTTTAGAGGATATCTCATTTGCCAAAATTAGTCTTATTTTCGCAGGTATTAGCCCCGCCCACCCACCCTGTCTTTTCTTGGAGGGTATCTCATTTGCCAAAATCAGTTTTATCTTAGCTAGCTAGTACTTGCTAAGATAAGACAAATTTTGGCAAATCACATGCCCTCCAAGAAAATAGAGGGTGGGTGGGCGGGGCTAGTATTTGAATAAGATAAAACTGATTTTGGCACTTTTGAGCACTTTTCAAGTATTTTTGAAAATTAGTTAAAGTCATTTTCTAGCCTCACCCATCAGCCTCTCTTTTTTCAGAGGATATCTCATTTGCCAAAATTGGTCTTATTTCAAAAGGTATTAGCCCCGCCCACCCGCCCTGTTTTTTCTTAGAGGGTATCTCATTTGCCAAAATCAGTTTTATCTTAGCTAGCTAGTACTTGCTAAGATAAGACTAATTTTGGCAAATCACATGCTCTCCAAGAAAATAGAGGGTGGGTGGGCGGGGCTAGTGTTTGAATAAGATAAAACTGATTTTGGCACTTTTGAGCACTTTTCAAGTATTTTTGAAAATTAGTTAAAGTCATTTTCTAGCCTCACCCATCGGCCTCTCTTTTTTCAGAGGATATCTCATTTGCCAAAATTGGTCTTATTTCAAAAGGTATTAGCCCCGCCCACCCGCCCTGTTTTTTCTTAGAGGGTATCTTATTTGCCAAAATCAGTTTTATCTTAGCTAGCTAGTACAGAGTCATCAAAATTGATTGAGAGAGTTGGTAAACCTGAACTTGAATAATTTGGTTTATTAAGTTGTATAAAAATATTAGCTGTCAGATTTGAAGTTTCAGGTTTCAAATTTCAAAACTCAGTGGCGTCTTTTTTCGATTTTCTTTTTTGGTAAAAAATATTAGTTGTCAGATTTGAAGTTTCGAATTTTAGATCCGTGCACATCAACCAAGGCGATTCGTACAAACGTTAAAACTGTTCGCAACTTTGCAAGAAGGTAACTTTCGTATTCGCAACTGATTCAGGTGAGTTCGACAATCAACCCCCAGTTCTCTTGTCACGCCACTGAATTCATTGCCATATAACCTTAAAGAAATCTGTCATAAGGTTGACAAACTTCACGACAAAAACAGGGAGTACCAACTCTCTCAATCAATTTTGATGACTCTGTACTTGCTACGATAAGACTAATTTTGGCAAATCACATGCTCTCCAAGAAAATAGAGGGTGGGTGGGCGGGGCTAGTATTTGAATATGATAAAACTGATTTTGGCACTTTTGAGCACTTTTCAAGTATTTTTGAAAATTAATTAAAGTCATTTTCTAGGCTCACCCATCGGCCCTCTCTTTTTTTAGAGGATATCTCATTTGCCAAAATTGGTCTTATTTTAACAGGTATTAGCTCCGCCCACCCGCCCTGTCTTTTCTTAGAGGGTATCTTATTTGCCAAAATCAGTTTTATCTTAGCAGGTACTGGTTTTAAGAGAAATAAACATTTTGCAGTTAAGTTCTGCCTTCTTGGCTTAGGACCAATAAAAAAAAATCATCGCAATTGAGATGGGGTGGGTGGGTGTGCCTACATTGTGCCTTTTTTTCTTAATATGTAGACTTATTTCGACAATAAGAAACTTAAAACATGTCTAAAATGGTAAATTTTTGTAGTAATCAACTTAAATCCTCCATTTTTCTTTTACAAACCCTTTAAATACGGCAAAAGTTGAACATCAAAGTTACTATCAACGGCAACTTGGCAACGGAGTTTATAAATGACTATGTATCGAATGATTTTTCGGCGCGAAATTTAAATTTTAAATTCAGGCCACCACAAAGCATGACTTATTTATAGTCTGATCAATAATTCTGTTCTAGTCGATACCCACCAATTTTGATTGAAATTTGTAGAACTGTCAACCTATCTAGTTCATGTTGTCAAAACTGACATGGTTAGTAGTGACATTTAATATAAACCAAAATTTCTTATTAGTGATCAAGCCTGATTGATACTCGGTTATCATTATAAAGTTATAAAGTAACCTTGGTTAGTGATCATTAGTAAAATGTCATAACCTAACTTTCTAAGTTAATTACATTAGTGTCAACTTAAACAGTATTTGTTGATCACACTATAGTTTTATATTCACTTCGTATTCCAATTTTCAAGTCTCTAATGTAAATAAGATGTAATAGCGGACTTAGAACAAACCCTGGCAATTGTATTGAAAAAAAAAAAAAAATTAAATGACTAGCATAGTTTTGGCTGTTTTAAATCGTTTTATGCCGCAAGAGTAATGTCAATAGACATTTTTTTGTTGCTACCTATAATTTCGCATTTGTTTATAAACTGTTTTAGTTTTATAGTTATTACAGTAGTTTTTTAAGCCTGCTATTCTCAAATTATTTTGCCTCTAGTCAAAATTATTATATCCATCTTAATACCATCACACAGTTTCTTACACAATTGCAACTTGTTGACTACCAAATTTTTCTAGAATTACTAAACCGACTTTTGCTTTTAGAACAGTTGCTATCCTAGTTATCGGAATAACAGCCCTAGTGTCCATGTGCTGCTACATCGGTTTGGTCATTTACGCCTACTATTACAAATGCGACCCCATAACCAGAGGCTCGATACACAAATCCGACCAACTTCTACCCTACTTCGTAATGCACATAGCGAGTTCGATGCCGGGTTTGCCCGGTCTTTTCGTCAGCGGAGTCTTCAGCGCCGCCCTCAGGTAAACCCCTTCAACCCACTCAAAATTCCCGTTCAACAACATTAACTTAGCTCCATGTCCACGGGCCTCAACTCCATGACCGGCGTCATCTTCGAAGACCTCATCAAGCCCCGCATGAAGAAACCCCTCACCGAAGCCCAAGCCAGTTTCCTCATGAAAGTCATCGTCGTGATAATCGGCAGCATCTGCGTGGCTCTGGTCTTCGTGGTAGAAAAAATGGGGGCGCTGATCCAGGCCACGGGCAGCCTCAGCGCCATCACCGCGGGCCCCCTCTTGGGGATCTTCTCCCTAGGCATGTTCTTCCCTAACGCCAACGCCAAAGGCGCCCTCATCGGGGGCCTCGTCAGCGGGTCGTTAATCGGCTGGATTTCCGTGGGAACGCAGATGAAAATGGCACAAGGAGTCATCAAATTCCCGCAGAAGTTCGTCTCTATAGAGGGATGCAACGCCAACTGGGTTGCGGAGTACCTGAGTCTGACTCTAGCGGCCGAAGTTACTGAAAGACCGGAGGAAGCGGTGTTTGGGCTTTATAGGTTGTCGTATATGTACTACACGATGGTGGGGGCGGTGACGGCGATCGTTGTGGGGTTTGTGGTGAGTCTGTTGACGGGGGGCGGCGGGAAGCGGATTCATAGAGATTTGTTGTCGCCGGTTGTACATGGATTTTTGAAGCCGGAGAGTGCAGCAGAGGATGACAAGGACATTGTGATGACCGACAACTTAATGTAATGCTAGGTTAGGGCGAATATTAAAATCGAATTTTATTTTTTAAGGTTTGTCAGCGTTAATGTCCAGCAGCAGATGTGTGTGTGTTCATTCATGGTGGGTGACTGGGGGATAAAAGTGATCGTTTATAGAATGTGCCGCTCGCTCTTAATGGTGAACTTACTTAGGGACTTCATACTTTTAAACCGTTTGAGATGTTATAGATAAAAGTGAGCCTTGAAAAATTTTCTTCACGTTGGATAAACTGATTCATTGACAAAATGGTTTGTCTGTCAGTGCCACAGGCAGTGTTGCCAGACGTAGCGGAATTTTTCTGAGACTTGAAAATTCGAAAATTTGAGGGTTTTTTTGAGCACTTTGGCACTTGATACATAGTTCTCGAAGTTTAAATCGACAAGATTCTCTTAATTCGTCTCAAAAAGAGATTAGGTATTATAACTACATGGGCTTACATTTTGCCCTGTTTTCTTAATATGTGTAGTCATCTTTTCACAGCAAGAAATTTATAACATGTTTAAAATGGTAAATTTGGTATCATGGTAAATTTGTATAGGGAAATATCGATTTCGCAATTACGCTCCGCCCCTGGGAGGGGCTTCTCTTTTGGTTTTCTTTTTTAATTAATACATTTAGTTTTCTTTGAATAACACGATTACTTAAGAACATACGAGGACTGTATGATAACTACCCGTGTTTGAGGACTGTGGGTACCACTGACCCAAAATTTGTATGCCATGGTCTAATGCCATCTTTCAAACGAGGCTTGTCAAAATTTCAGTCAAATTGGTCAAGTAGTTTTGTTACAGCACTTATTGAAACTTGACAATTTTGTGTTTTTTGCAAAAATGGAAAAAGAGCAGTATAGATCTGTGATTCGATTTCTTTTTTTGGATGGGAAAACGTGTGAAGAAATCAAAATCAAGTTGCAGGTAGTTTATAAGGACCAAGCACCTTCGATGACTACCATCAGATATTGGTTCAACGAATTCAAAAGTGGCAGAACATCGGTTTTGGATGAAGAGCGCCCAGGTCGTCCGATTAAAGTAACTACTGAGGAAATGGTCAACAAAATCCACGATATTGTCTTAGCAGACCATCGGGTGAAGATCAGAGAGATTGCTGAGATTGCAAACATCTCAACCGAACGTGTGCACAACATTCTTCGAGAAAAACTGGGCATGAGAAAGCTATCGGCACGATGGGTGCCGCGTTTGCTCACAGTGGAGCAAAAACAAAATTGCGTTACAACTTCGGAACATTGCTTCAATATGTTTAAGCACAATTCGAAGGAGTTTCGAAGGCGTTACGTGAGTGTTGATGAAACGTGGATACACCACTAACTCCAGAGACCAAAGAACAGTCAAAACAAGGGACTCTACCCGGCGAACGTGCTCCAAAGAAAGCGAAAACGGTTTCTTCGGCCGGAAAAGTTATGGATACTGTTTTTTGGGATTCGCATGGCATCATTTTCATAGACCATTTGTAAAATGGCAAAACAATCACGGGGCAGTATTATGCTAGCCTATTGAGCCGATTAGATGCTGAATTAAAGATAAAACGGCCCCATTTGTCGAAAAAAAAGTCGTGTTTCACCATGATAACGCACCGGCTCACACGTCTGCAATTGCCATGGCAAAACTGGTTGAATTACGCTATGAATTACTGCTGCATTTTCCCTATTCGTCAGATTTAGCACCCTGTGACTTTTATCTATCTCCAAATCTAAAAAAATGGCTTGAAGGAAGGCGCTTTACTTCAAACGGCGAAGTAATCAATGAAACAGAGGCTTATTTTGCAGAGTTTGATAAATCATTTTTTTTGAATGGGTTAAAAAAGTTAGAATATCGCTGGTCGAGGTGTATAGAGTTGAAAGGAGACTATGTTGAGAAATAAATATACAGAATTAAAAAAAAAATGCTTTCTCTTTCTTAAAACGGGTACTTATCAAACAGTCCTCGTATTTCACATGGTAATTTCTCATCGAAGAATAAGGATTTTACAATTAAGCTCCACCCCTCGGCTTACGACAAATAAAAAAAAATCATCAGAATTAAGATCGGGTGGGTGGGCGGGGCTTATATTTTTTCTTAATATACATAGCCATCTTTTCACAACAAGAACCTTAAAACTTAGTTAAAATACTACATTTTTGCAATAATGGAGCGGAGCCTAATTGCAAAATCGATATTTCCTTATTCAAATTTTCCATTATAAACATGTTTGAAGTTTCATGTTGTGAAAAGAAGTCTACACATATTAAAACAAAAAGACAAAATGTCAACCCGCCCACCCGCCCTATCGCTATTGTGATGATTTTTTTTATTCGCTGTGAACCAAACGGGTGGAACTTAACTGCAAAATACTTATTTCTTTACAAGTAATTAAAAACATGTTTTTGAGTATCGTGTTGTTCAAAGAATGCTATGTATATTAAGAAAAAAAAAGACAAAATATAAACCTCGCCCACCCACCCCCATCTCAATTGTGATGATTTTTTTATTCTTAGAAATTTAAAACACGTTTAAAATGGCAAATTTTTGTAGGGAAATATGGATTTTTGCAATTAGGCTCCGCCCCTAGGTCTGGCAACGAATGAAAACTTTATTACTATTTAGAACAGGGCAGGTATGGGTGGGGCTTAATCTTTGGTTTTAATTTTTTCTTAATATACATACCTAGTATTCTTTGAATAACAAGGCACTCAAACACATGTCTTACTTTGCTCTCGACGATAAAAAAAAATCATCACAATTGAGATAGGGCGGGGCTTATATTTTGCTATTTTTCTTAATATACGTAGTCGTCTTTACAAGAAACTTTAAAATGGTAAATTCTTGTAGACAAATATGGATCTTGCAATTAAGCCCCGCCTCTCGATCTGACAACGAATGAAAAATTTATCACAATTGAGAATTGAGATTGGGGCGGGTATGGGTGGGACCTAATCTTTGGCTTTATTCTTTTCTTAATATACATAGTATTCTTTGAATAACGTGATAGTTAAAAACATGTTTTTAATTTCTCGTGGAGAAATAGGGATTTTTGCAGTTAAGCTCCGCCTTCTTGCTTCACGACGAATAAAAAAAGTCATCACAATTGAGATAGGGCGGGTGGGTGGGGCTTATATTTTCCCTTTTTTTCTTAATATGTGTAGTCATATTTTCACAACAAGAAACTCATAACATGTTTAAAATGGTAAATTTGTGTAGGGAAATATCTATTGTCTCTATTGTGATGATTTTTTTTTATTTGCCGTGCATAAAGGAGGTGGAGCTTAACTGCAAAATACTTATTTTACAAGAGATTAAAAACATGTTCCCCGCCCCTCGGCTTACTACAAATAAAAAAAAATCATCAGAATTGAGACCGCTCGCTTTTGCTGGTGAACGTAGTAGGGACTTGTTATTACTTTTAAACCGTTGTGGATGTTATTGATAAAAGTGAGCCTTGAAAAATTTTCTTCACGTTGGATAAACTGATTCATTGACAAAATGGTTTGTCTGCCAGTGTTGCTAGACGTAGCGCACTTTTGACCAAAACATGTTTAAAATGGTAAATTTGTGTAGGAAAGGATCTATTTTGAAATTAGCCTCCGCCCCTCGCTCTGACAACGAATGAAAAATTCATCACAATTGAGCTTGGGACGGATATGGGTGGGGCTTAATTTTTGGTTTGTTTTTTTCTTAATATACATTCTTTGAACAACACGATACTCAAAAACATGTCTTTTATTTCTTGTAGAGAAATAAGGACTTTGCAATTAAACTCCGCCCCCTTGGCTCACGATGAATAAAAAAATCATCACAATGGAGATAGGGCGAGTGAGCGGGGCTACATTTTGCCTTTTTTTCTTAATATGTGTAGACTTATTTTGACAACAAGAAACCTAAAACATGTGTTTTGGTTTTCTTTTTTAATTAATAACATTTAGTTTTCTTTTTATAACACGATTACTTACGAACATATTTTACATGGCAATTTCTCGTAGAAAAATAAGGATTTTACAATTAAGCTCCACCCCTCGGCTTACGACAAATAAAAAAAAATCATCAGAATTGAAATCGGGTGGGTGGGCGGGGCTAATATGTTGCCTTTTTTTTTCTTAATATACATAGCCATCTTTTCACAAGAAGAAACTTAAAATACGGTTAAAATAGATTTTTGAAAGGAAATATGGATTTTGTTTCATTATGTGAAAAGAAGTCTACACATATTAAAACAAAAAGGCAAAATGGTTAGCCCGCCCACCCGCCCTATCTCTATTGTGATGATTTTTTTTATTCGTCGTGAGCCAAGAGGGCGGACCTTAACTGCAGAATACTTAGTTCTTTACAAGAAATTAAAAACATGTTTTTGAATATCGTGTTGGTAAAAGAATACCATGTATATTAAGAAAAAAATATAAACCCCGCCCACCCACCCCACCTCAATTGTGGTGATTTTTTTTTAGAAACTTAAAACATGTTTAAAATGGGAATGAATGAAAACTTCATTACTACATATTTAGATCAGGGGAGGTATGGGTGGGGCTTAATCTTTGGCTTTTAATTTTTTCTTATATGTATAGTATTCTTTGATTAACACGATACTCAAAAACATGTTTTTAATTTCACGTATAGAAATAAGGATTTTGCAGTTAAGCTCCGCCCCTTGACTCACGGTGAATAAAAAAATCACCACAACTGAGACAGGGCGGGTGGGCGGGGATTATATTTTGCCTTTTTTCGTAATATACGTGGTCGTCTTTTTAGAACAAGAAACTTAAAACATGTTTAAAATGGTAAATTCTTGTAGACAAATATGGATCTTGCAATTAAGCCCTGCCTCTCGATCTGACAACGAATGAAAAATTCATCACAACTGAGAATTGAGATCGGAGCGGGTATGGGGGGGGGGGCTAATCTTTGGCTTTATTCTTTTCCTAATATACATAGTATTCTTTGAACAACGTGGTAGTCAAAAACATGTTTTTAATTTCTCATAGAGAAATAACGATTTTTGCAGTTAAGCTCCGCCTTCTTACCTCACGACGAATAAAAAAAATCATCACAATTGAGATATGGCGGGTGGGTGGGGCTTATATTTTCCTTTTTGTTCTTAAGATGTGTAGTCATATTTTCACAATAAGAAACTTACAACATGTTTAAAATGGTAAATTTGTGTAAAGACATATTGATTTTACAATTACGCTCCGCCCTTCGGTCTGACAACGAATGAAAAATTCATCACGATTGAGATCAAGACGGATGGGTGGGGCTTCTCTTTTGTTTTTTTTTAATAAAATACATTTAGTTTTCTTTGAACATATTTCACATGGTTATTTCTCGTAGAAAAATAAGGATTTTACAATTAAGCTTCACCCCTCGGTTTACGACGAATAAAAAAAAATCATCAGAATTGAGATAGGGTGGGTGGGCGGGGCTTATATTTTGCATTTTGTTTTCTGAATATACATAGCCATCTTTTCGCAACAAGAAACTTAAAACATGGTTAAAATAGTACATTTTTAAAATTACAAGTAATTAAAAATAGGTTTTAAGTATCGTGTTGTTCCAAGAATAATATGTATATTAAGGAAAAAAGGCAAAATATCAACCTCGCCCACCCACCCCATCTCAACTGTGATGTTTTATTAATTTTTGGAGACTTAAAACACGTTTAAAATGGTACATTTTTGTAGGGAAATATGGATTTTGCAATTAGGCACCGCCCCCACGTCTGGCAACGAATGAAAACTTGTTTAGATCAGGGCAGGTATGGGTGGGGCTTAATTTTTGGCTTTAATTTTTTCTTATATGTATAGTATTTTTTGAACAATACGATACTGAAAAACATGTTTTTAATTTCTCGTATAGAAATAAAGATTTTGCAGTTAAGCTCCACCCAGTTGACTCACGACGAATAAAAAAAATCATTACAATTGACATAGGGCGGGTGGGCGGGGCTACATTTTGCCGTATGTTTCTTAATATGTGTAGACTTATTTCAACAACAAACTTAAATGTCTAAAATGGTAAATTTTTGTAGTAATCATAACTTTGGCAACACTGGAAGATAGTTTTTGTCAGATTTTTTAACCTTACAAACTCAACTTAACCTAATATGATAAATTTCATTTTCTATTAGGGATCTTTGCACATACGAATTTATTGCCAACTAAATTACCAGATGTCTAAAAACACCTTGAACGGTTTATAAGTGTTATACTTTTCTTGAGCGGCACAAACGAAAAACTGTTCGTATTTGCCGCGAGCGGCACATCGAAATAAACGACCACTGCGGCTGCGTATCATCTCCATTATAAAACTGCGCAAGTAAACATACAGGGTGCAACACAACATGTGATAATTGTCAGAGCAACCTACAATGTAATTCTTGTCATGTTTAAAGTTAACTTTTATAGACGCTTTTCCACTATACCAATAAGTATGACGGATGTTTTAGTCAGGATCACACTTCAAAATAAAGAAATGTCAATTTATTAAATAAAAAACAGCATTTTTCACTGGAAACAGATGCAATTCAACTCATGCACCGATTTTCTCGATCTCGTCTGAATCCTCAGCGTTCAAATACTTAATCTTTCTATTGAAATGTTTCTCGATGGACTGACAGATGTTCATTGCGTCTTGCGAGTCGACCAAATTTATAGCGATACCGAGTTTACCGAACCTTCCTGTACGTCCAATCCTGTGCAAGTACGTGTCGCAATCCGCTTTGCCGTTCATGTCTACTGGTAGATCGAAGTTGACGACGATTGTTACTTGCTCGACGTCGATACCTGGAATAGAGTGGGGGTGTTTAGGACACTACTTTGGGTTGTGGTTACCTCGAGACAAAACGTTCGTGGTGATGAGGACTTTTTCTTGGCCTGATCTGAAACGGTCTAGAACGTTGATGCGCTGTTCTACTGTGAGGTCGCCCGTTAGGACGGCGACGGCGTGGCCTTCTTTAGACATTTTTTCGGCGAGCCAACTCGCAGTGCGTCTAGTCTGGAAAAACGAAAAACAAATTATAGCATTTTAAAAATGTTAAAAATTAAAACAGGACTTACATGGCAAAAAATAATAGCCTGACCCACACCCACAGTCCCATAAATGTTCGTTACAGCGTTGTATTTCTCCTGTGGACCAGCACACTTGACATAATATTGTTGAATATTATCTAAACTCTCTTCTTCGCGTTTCAGTCTTATTGTTATGGGGTCAGGAACTATGACTTCAGCAAATTCCATAATCTGTTGATCATATGTAGCAGAGAAGAACATCATCTGACAACTGGGACTCAAGTTTCTATAAAACAAAACCAATGAACCAGCACTTAAAATAAAATAGTGACATACTTATGAATTCTTATGCACTGATCCTGATGCCCTTGGGTCGCGATCATAACGTCAGCTTCATCCAGCACAAACACTGTCAGTTTTTTCAGATCAAAAACCCTAAATTTCAAAGCCCAATCAAGCACTTTTCCTGGTGTTCCAATAATAATGTGTTCTGATAGATGGGTACCTCTGGAAACTAAAAAAATCGTTTGATTGTGTTAATCGCGTCAAAACAACTACCTTCTTCGCCCCTCACGGCGTACTTCATTTCAATTTCGGGATAAAACTTAGCCATGTGTGCTGCTACTTCACCAGTTTGAATTGCTAACTCATACGTTGGAGACAAACACAAAACCTAAAACTGCGATTAATTTTGTACCGCGTTAACAGGACGAATTTACTTGTGGGTATTTTTTTGAAGTATCAACGCGACTCAGCATCGCCAGGACAAAAGCAGCGGTTTTTCCAGTACCGGATTGAGATTGAGCGATGAGATTTTGTGGTGGGTTGGCTAAAAGCGTAGGCAAAGCGGTTTCTTGTATTTTTGAGGGTGCGTTGAACCCCATATCATAGACGCCTTTCAACAAATTCGGATTTCTTGAAATTTAAATTCTCATTATTGGAGTTGTACAAACACTATACTTACAAGTTCAGTGCTTCAAATGTCTTCACTGAATATAGGGGCGAGTTCGGGTTTTGTCTTTGCACCTCAAGGTCGGTTTTGCTCTCAACTAAGCCTTTTCTGATCACTTTGCGCAGTAAGCTTACTTCTGCCGGATTAACTTGTTCGGGTGCATCATCAGACTCTCTACCGTTTTCCTCTTTGGGGGTGATAGTGATCTGGTTTAGCTAGAACGAATTTTCGTAATTTGGGGATTTGGGATGAAGTTGGGGCTAACCTTCTTTGGGAGAGTTTTTTCTTGTTCTTCGGCATACTTCGCCCAATCTATTTTTTGTGACATGGTTTGCTATCACGTCGATTGGTTTGTGAGGATTCTACAAGATTTAATTAAATTTAGTCTTATTACAAGGTAATTATGGGAAAAAAGCGTGGTACTTGCAATTTTGCGGTTATTTTTTATCGTGTTTAGTGTTGTTTGTGGCACCATTTGGGGGATTTGTGTTTGTTGTGGGGCAATGGCGGTGCGGCTTTAGAGATTTTTGTCGCCCAGTGTTGGTGGTCTGTCAGATTTGAGTGGTAACTTTGAATTTAGCAGATTGAACTTGTCTCCAGAAAGGTCGTTATTATAGTTGTTACGTGTTTTTATTTTATTATTTGTATACAGGCTTAATAAGATTCCCACATTTCTTCCGTTGTTGTGATTCTTTTATTTATTTTGCTACACAAGCTCCCAATAACTCCATAAAGTGTCTTTTCCATTAATGTATTTTGATTTTCCTACTGACTTCAGTCTTCCTTCTCCGTTCCTTATTTGTATATCTCCATACTTCTTCTTCTGTTTTCCGGGACTTTATTGTCTTCTTCTTCTCGTTTTTCTCTTTTTCTTAATTTAATTCTCTCTTGCTATTAAGTACTCTTCTTTCCTTCCCTTGTTATTCTTCCATTTTCTTAATTTTTCCCTTGCTTTTCTCTTCAACTCACAACAAATTCCGTTCCATCCATTATTCCTCCCTTGCCATATGTATATCTTTTTTCTAGTCTACTTCTGTAGTTTGAATTGCCTTCTCAACCCATATTCTTTTTCTATTTCTTTTCTTTCGTTTCTTCTTTCTTGTTTTTCGTACTCTTGCTCTTTTCCTTTGATTTTTATTTCTAGTGGCATGTGGTCAGATTCTACCCTTTCCCCCACTTTGAAACTCTCTATTTCTTCCCACGCCTCTTCGTTGGCAATCCCATAGTCTATAATTGATTCTCCCCTAGCCCCTACGTACGTCCATTCTCCTTATTCTTCATCTTCTTCCTTGTTTCCATTCAAAATTTCCCATCCGATTTCTTCTATTAACTTCTACAATATTTTCCCTTCTTTGTTATTTGCTTTGTCTTTTGATTCTCTTTTCTCTCCCTTTTCTTTATCTAGTATTCTTGTCCCCGTATCGCCCAGTCTTGCTTTAAAATCCCCTCGTATAAGTATTTTTTCTTTTGTTTCCTTTTCTATGTTTATCTTGGTTTCCTCCATTCTTGCATTTCTTTTCGAATTCCCATTATTTGTTCCTAGCTTGCTCTCCCCTTTTTCTTTTCCTTTGTCGCCCCTTGACACTCCCACACATATTCTTGTGGTAGTGTCTCTTAAAATTTCTCCTAGTTTTCTCTTTGTACCCATGTCTCTACCAGCCCCACCACATCAAATTTCCCACGTAGTCCCAGAAATCCTTTAGTACCTAATTTTGTACCACCTTCCCTTTTTCCGATTTCTCTATCTGCATCCTTTATTCCTTTTCCTTTTCCTTTGCTCTTCTTCATTCCATTCAAAATTTCTGCTGTCTACAGTTAACTTTTTATATTCTATTCTAAACATTTTTCCTTTATTTCTCTCTTTTGTTGCCTCTTCTTTTATATTTTGCCTTTTTTTCTTAATAGACATAATATTCTTTGAACATCACGATATTCAAAGACATGTTTTTAATTTCTTGTAAAGAAATAGGATTTTACAGTTAAGCTCCGCCCCCTTGGTTCACGGCGAATAAAAAAATCATCACAATTGAGATAGGGCGGGTGGGCGGGCATACATTTTGCTTTTTTGTTTTAACATGTGTTGACTTCTTTTCACAACATGAAACTTAAAACATGTTTAAAATGGAAAATTGGTATCAGGAAACATCGATTTTGCTATTAGGCTCCGCCCCATAATTGCAAAATGCATATTTCCTTAAAAATGTATTATTTTAACCATGTTTAAGTTACATATTTTCCATTTTAAACATGTTTTAAGTTTCATGTTGTGAAAATAAGTCAACACATGTTAAAACAAAAAAGCAAAATATAAACCCCGCCCACCCACCCCATCTCAATTATGATGATTTTTTTCATACTTAGAAACTTGTAACGCGTTTAAAATGGTAAATTTTTGTAGGGAAATATGGATTTTGCTATTAGGCCCTCCCCCTCGACTTACGACGAATAAAAAAAATCATCAGAATTGAGATCGGGTGGGTGGGCGGGGCTTATATTTTGCCTTTTTTTTTTCTTAATATATATAGCCATCTCTTCACAACAAGAAACTTAGAACATGGTTAAAATAGTATATTTTGAAGACAATATGGATTTTGCAATTATGGGGCGGCTAATAGCAAAATCGATATTTCCTTATACATATTTTCCATTTTAAACATGTTTTAAGTTTCATGTTGTAAAAATAAGTCAACACATGTTAAAACAAAAAAGGAAAATATAAACCCCGCCCACCCACCCCATCTCAATTGTGATGATTTTTTTATACTTAGAAACTTGTAACGCGTTTAAAATGGTAAATTTTTGTAGGGAAATGTGGATTTTGCAATTAGGCCCCGCCCCTCGACTTACGACGAATAAAAAAAATCATCAGAATTGAGATCGGGTGGGTGGGCGGGGCTTATATTTTGCCTTTTTTTTTCTTAATGTATATAGCCATCTTTTCACAACAAGAAACTTAGAACATGGTTAAAATAGTACATTTTTGAAGAAAATATGGATTTTGCAATTATGGGGCGGAGCCTGAACTAAGGAGGCAGCTTAACTGCAAAATACTTATTTCTTTACAAGTAACTGAAAACATGTTTTTGAGTATCGTTATGTTCAAAGAATACTATGTTTATGTATTAAGAAAAAAAGCAAAATATAAACCTCCCCGACCACCCCATCGCAATTGTGATGATTTTTTTTACGCAAAAAATACGCCTAAAAAAAGTAAAGAATCTCCGGAATAAAGTGATAAAAAAACACAAAAAAAGGTAACAACAAAAAAAGGGATAAAAAAAATAAAGGGTTACAAGAAGGTAAAACAAAAATGTTACTAAAAAAAACTGAGCCAAAAAATAAGAAAATGATCAACAAAAGGAAACAAAAAAATGCGAATTTATAAAACAAAGGCCATCAAAATGCGACAAAAGAAATCCTAAAAAGGCGACTGAAGAAAAAGTGACAAAAACCACGAGAATAAAAACAATGAGAAAAAAAAACGCCACAAAAAAAAGTAACAAAAAAAAACCAAAAAAAGTAGAGAAAATAAAAGGCTACAAGAGAACAAAACAAAGATGTGACTAATAAAAGTAGGAGTCAAAAAATAAGAAAGTGATCAAAAAAAAAAGAAAAGAAAAAATGCGAATTGAAAATAAGAGTGAAAAAAGTGTCAAAAAAAGGCTATCAAAATGCGAAAAAACAAATCTCAAAAAAGACAACTAAAAAATTGACAAAAAGCGACTAAAAGAAACGACAAAAACCATGAGAAAAAAACGACACAAAAAATGAGAAAATAAAAGGCTACAAGAAGACAAAACAAAAATGTGACAGGAGTCCACAAATAAGATAAAAAAAAAGAAAATAAAAAATGCGAATTAAAAAAATAGGAGTGTAAAAAGTGTAAAAAAAAGACTATAAAAATGTAACAAAACAAAACTCAAAAAGACGACTGAAAAAAGTAACAAAAAAGACGGCAAAAACCGCGAAATTAAAAAACATGAGAAAAAACGCCACAAAAAAAAACACACACAAAAATTGAGACGCTAAAAGGCTACAAGAGAACAAAACAAAAATGTGACTAAGAAAAATAGGAGTCAAAAAAAAAGAAAAGAAAAAATGCGAATTAAAAAAAAGAGTGAAAAAAGTGTCAAAAAAAGCTATAAAAATGTGACAAAACAAATCTCAAAAAGACGACTGACAAAAATGACAGAAAAGACGACAAAAAAACGACAAAAACCGCGAAATTAAAAAACATGAGAAAAAACACCACAAAAAAGCAACAAAAAAATGGAGACAATAAAAGGTTACAAGAGAACAAAACAAAAATGTGACTAAGAAAAATAGGAGTCAAAGAATGAGAAAGTGATCGAAAAAAAGAAAAGAAAAAGTGCGAATTAAAAAAAACAGAGTGAAAAAAGTGTCAAAAAAAGGCTATAATAACGCGACAAAACAAATCTCAGAAAGACAACTGAAAAAGTGACAAAAAACGACTAAAAAAGGACAAAAACCATGAGAAAAAAATGACACAAAAGAACAACAAAAAAAAAAACAGAAAACAATGAGAAAATAAAAAGTTACAAGAAGACAAAACAAAAATGTGATTAAGAAAAACAGGAGTCCAAAAATAAGAAAGTGATAAAGAAAAAAAGAAAAAAATGCGAATTAAAAAAAAAGGAGTGAAAAAAAAGCTGTAAAAATGTAACAAGACAAATCTCAAAAAGACGACTAAAAAAAGACAAAAACCAAGAGAAAAAAATGACACAAAAAAAAAAACAAAAAAATGAGAAAATAAAAAGCTACAAGAAGACAAAACAAAAATGCGATTAAGAAAAACAGAAGCCCAAAAATAAGAAACTTATAAAAAAAAAGAAATAAAAAATGCCAAAAAAAAAAAAGATTAAACAAAAGAAGTGCTGCATCAAACGACATAATTAAAATCTTCTCTGTTGAAACAACATCAGGAAGGAAGAAATTCATGAAAAATTTATGAATAAATCGAAATACGGTCAGATGGTTGGTTTTTTAATTGTTTGTATGTAATTAAATAAGATTTACTAGGCCTTTTTCCGGTTATCTCTTCAATAACCTACCAGTAGATTGGTAATATAACGCCCGCAAGGATCAGAAGTTTTGTGCACTACAAAATATATAAATTCTTTTTTTTTAATTTCTTTAATACTAGACATAGTCATTGTACTTAAATATCTGATACATATTTTTTTCTCATCGTTTAGCAATTAAGCTCCGCCCCCGGGGCTCACGACGAATAAAAATATCGTCACAATTGAGATCGGGTGGGTGGGCGGGGTTTATATATATTTTGCCTTTTTTTTTTCTTAATATACATACTCATCTTTTCACAACAAGAAACTTAGGTAAAATATCTTTGAAATGGTAAATTTGTATAGGGAAATAAACTTAGAACATGGTTAAAGTGGTACATTTTTGCATGGAAATATGTGTATTGATTTTGCAATTATGGGGCGGAGCCTAATTGCAAAATCGATATTTCCTTATACATATTTTTCATTTGAAACATGTTTTAGATTTCATGTTGTGAAAAGAAGTCAACACATGTTAAAAAAAAAGCAAAATGTAAACCCCGCTCACCCACCCCATCTCAATTGTGATGTTTTTTTTATACTTAGAAACTTGAAACGCGTTTAAAATGGTAAATTTTTGTAGGGAAATATGGATTTGGCGTTTAGGCCCCGCCCCTCGACTTACGACGAATAAAAAAAATCACCAGAATTGAGGTGGGCGGGCGGGGTTTATATTTTGCCTTTTTTTTTTTTAATGTATATAGCCATCTTTTCACAACAAGAAACTTAGAACATGGTTAAAATAATACATTTTTGAAGAAAATATGGATTTTGCAATTATGGGGCGGAGCCTAATAGTTTCTAAGTATAAAAAAAATCATTACAATTGAGATGGGGTGGGTGGGGGGGTTTATATTTTGCTTTTTTTCTTAATATACATAGTATTCTTTGAACATCACGATACTCAAAAACATGTTTTTAATTACTTGTAAAGAAATAAGTATTTTGCAGTTAAGCTGCCTCCTTAGTTCACGACGAAAAAAAATCATTACATTTGAGATTAGGCTCCGCCCCATAATTGTGCTGAGTTTCTTGTTGTGAAAAGATGGCTATATACATTAAGAAAAAAAAGGGCAAAATATAAGCCCCGCCCATCCACCCGATCTCAATTCTGATGATTTTTTTAATTCGTCGTAAGTCGGGAGGCGGAGCCTAATCGCAAAATCCATATTTCCCTACAAAAAATTACCATTTTAAACGCGTTTCAAGTTTCTAAATATAAAAAAATCAACACAATTGAGATGGGGTGGGTGGGCGGGCTTACATTTTGCTTTTTTGTTTTAACATGTGTTGACTTATTTTTACAACATGAAACTTAAAACATGTTTAAAATGGAAAATATGTATAAGGATATCGATTTTGCCCCATAATTGCAAAATTCATATTTCCTTACAAAAATGTACCATTTTAACCATATTCTAAGTTTCTTGTTGTGAAAAGATGGCTATATATATGAAGAAAATAAAGGCAAAATATAAACCCCGCCCACCCCGCCGATCTTAATTGTGATGATTTTTTTATTCGTCGTGAGCCCCGGAGGCGGAGCTTAATTGCAAAATCCTTATTTTTCTAGAAGAACGCTGAGAAAAAATTTTGTATCAGATATTTAAATACAATGAGTATGTCTAGTTTTAAAGAAATTGTAAAATTTGTATTGGACGAAACTTCCAATGCTTGCGGGCGTTATATTACCAATCTACTAGTAAGTTATTGAAGAGATAACCGGAAAAAGGCCTAGTAAATCTTATTTAATTACATACAAACAATTAAAAAACCAACCATCTGACCGTATTTCGATTTATCCATAAATCTTTCATGAATTTCTTCCTTCCTGATGTTCCGACAGAGAAGATTTTAATTATGTTGTTTGATGCAGCACTTCTTTTGTTTATTCTTTTTTTTTCATAACTCAGAAATTAGTTCTTTGTTATACTTGATTTATTATTTATTAGATTTACAAGATAATATCAATGCGTGCGATTACAACTGCGTGACTTAAATGTTCTAATAATTTAAAGAAATCGACTTCTCTAATTCATATGAATACATCCCGTTAAACTACAGATTAATAATAATGTTTATGATAATGATTACAATTATTTTATCGTAATGTATAAAAAATGTGTTTAATAGTTATTCTATATCTAATTATTTCATAAACCTAGTGCGGAAAAACCGATTTTCAAAGGATGTTAAAATCCAAGAGACTTTTTCTGAAATTTACATGCTACGTTTCTAAAAATTTGATTTTTGTTCAAGTACAGTGGTTTTAATTACCCGTAAACCACATTGCCCATGATAATTACTGCACCACCTTTACGGTATAGAGCTAAAAATTACAGGTACACATTCGAGGAGTAAGTAATTAACACACATTTAAAAATAAATTTAAAAATATTAAAATTAATGAGGCCTTAAATTTCAAATTTACTTTCACACAAAAAAATAATTAACTGTTGCTTTTTTCACTTACAATAAATAAATAATTGCGAAGGAAAAAATAGAAGAAAGTGTGTGATTAATTTTTTTTTGTTATTTATTGATTGCAAAAATAGCTACTTAAAATTGTCGTCGCATAAAATTTTCCATAACTAGTTAAAATCTCTGCAGAATTTCCCCAGAAATGCACGAAGAATTGAAGTGTAATAAAGAGATCGGCTGCTTCACTATATGCTAATCTGTTACAGTTATAAATTTTCCAAACGAAGGCAAAGCTCGAGTGGGGCAATGGAAGTTATAAAAGAAATGCAATCTTCGATACCCATCAGTTTTGTGTTTACAGTAAAGAACTATTTCGAGTAATTAAGTGAATTGTACCATTTCATAACGGTTCCGAAAGAAGTGAATGCTTGAAATGTATAAAAATTAATCTTTTGTTACCGTAAACTGGTTAATTAGTGTTGATTAAATGAATCACTTATAGCTTAGAGAACATTGTCTTTTGATCAAGAAGCGTTTACAAACGTAGTGGTCAACGTTTTCTGTGAATCTAGAAGTTCGGTAAGATAGGTTTTTTTTTCGTAGGGTTGTTGTTCAAGAATAATTTTTAGACTAAATTCATTTTGAAAAATGTGTGACGACGATGTCGCTGCTTTAGTCATTGACAATGGCTCTGGGATGTGCAAAGCAGGATTTGCCGGGGACGACGCCCCTAGAGCCGTTTTTGCCAGTGTCGTGGGGCGCCCTCGATATCAGGTCCGTATGATTTTTTTATAGTTTGGAGTGTCATGTTTTGTGTTTTATTTAAGTATATACTAAGAAAAAGAAAAGTTAAACTCAAGTTGACATTTATTTCAAAAAATACTGAAGTTATTTTAATAAGAGCAATTAAATCGCTGACATCTGTACCCAACTACTGGACTGATTGTTGTCAAATATTATATGTATTTTAGTAATTCATTTTTAAAATAGTGATGTTGGCAATACCAATGCTACTTTGTTTAGTTTGACAGTTACGGTCCAATCAAAGTTACTTTATAGTGTTCACTATTAGATATGTAAGTCAAATAAAGGGGCAAATTCCAGTCATATTATTTTAAAAATAAATTATACGGCATGGAGTTTTTTTTTCGATCATATGTGTATGCTACTTAAATAGTATAAAATAACATTCTTCGGTATACATGTGGTTTATTAATCTGCCTTTGGTTTTTGTCGACGTCTAGACTTTTGTGCAAAAAATCAAAATAGTAAAACATTTTAATGCACAAAATAATGTATAGGTATATGTATATTTTTCATCGCCTGTTTTTTGTCACATTTTTTCGCTTTCCTTAGTTGCCTTTTTGTTTTTGTTTTGGGTATTTTTTGTTACTTTTTTATCTCCTTTTTTTGTGGCGTTTTTTATCGCCTTTTTAGTAGTTTTTTCGCATTTCTTTATATGGCGCTTTTGTAGTTTTTTTGGCTCCTTTTTTCTCCCTTTTTTTGTTCGCATTTTGTATTGCTTTAATTCCCAATTTGGTTGTCTTTTTTTTGTTATTTTTTTTTAAGACATTTTTATTCCCATTTTTTGGCGTATTTTCTTGTCGCATTTGTGTAGCATTTTTTGACAGTTTTTTCTCTCCTTTTCTATAGTTTGCATTTTTATATTACCTATTTTGTCGTTTTTTTTTTTACTTTTTTTTGTCGATTTTTTTATTCAGGTTTTTTTTGCATATTTTGTTTTCTTTCTCTTTTGGCTGTTTTTTCGTGTTTATCTTGGCTCATTATTTTTCTTTTTTATCTCATTTACTTGTCTTTTTTATCGCCTTCCCTTTTGTTGTCTTTTTTTAGTTGCTTTTTTCACTTTTTTGTCCAATCTTTTGTCCGTTTTTAGTTTTTCTTTTTTGTAATTTTGTGTCCCATGTTTATCATATGTTTTGGCGCCTTTTTACTCTTTTTTGTGCTTTCTTTTCTTTAGTTTTTTTTTAGCCGATTATTTACTTACCTCTTTTATTATCGAATTTTTTGTTGTGTTTTTTGTTACTTTTTTTTCGTCATCTTTTTGTCGGATTTGTTTTGCTGTATTTTTATAGCCTTTTTTGACACTTCTTTCATTTTTTTTTTGATTTTTTTGTGTCTTTTTTGATCACTTTTTTATTTTTTGACTTCTTTGTTTCTTAGTTGCATTTTTGTTTTTTGTTTTCTTAGCTTTTTATTTTCTCTCACATATTTTTGTATTTTTTTTTTCGTATTTTTTATCCCTTGATTTTTTATTCCTTTTTTTTTGTGGCATTTTTCCCACGTTTTTTATTGTCGCTTTTTGTGTCGTTTTTCTCATGTTTTACATTTTCGCGGTTTTTGTCGTTTTTTAGTCGTCTTTTTTTGTCACTTTTTTCGGTCGTCTTTTTGAGATTTGTTTTGTGACATCTTTATAGCCTTTTTTTTACACTTTTTTTCACTCTTTTTTTTTTTATTTTGCATTTTTTTATTTTCTGTTTTTTATCACTTTCTTATTTTTGGACTCCTGTTTTTCTTAATCACATTTTTGTTTTGTCTTCTTGCAGCCTTTTATTTTCTCATTTTTCTGTGTTTTTTGTTGTTTTTTTTCTGTCGTTTTTTGTCGTAGTTTTTGTCGTTTTTTTGTCATTTTTTAGTTATCTTTTTGAGATTTGTTTTGTTGCATTTTTGTAGCCTTTTTTGACATTTTTATCACTCTTTCTTTTAATTCGCATTTTTTATTTGTTTTTTTGATCACTTTCTTATTTTTGAAATTCCGTTTTTCTTAGTCACATTTTGTTTTGTCTGCTTGTGTCCTTTTATTTTCTGGTTTTTGTGTTTTTTTGTTGCTTTTTTGTGTCGTTTTTTGTCATGGTTTTTGTAGTTCTTTTTAGTCGTTTTTTTGTCACTTTTTTAGTTATCTTTTTGAGATTTGTTTTGTTGCATTTTTATAGCCTTTTTGACATTTTTATCACTCTTTTTTTTAATTCGCATTTTTTATTTTCTTTTTTTTTACTCCTGTTTTTTTAGTTAGATTTTTGTTTTGTTCTCTTGTAGCCTTTTATTTTCTCTATTTTTTTTGTTTTCTTTTTGTTGATTTTTTTGTGTCGTTTTCTTCTCATGTTTTTTTTTTATTTCCGCAGTTCTTGTCGTTTTTTTAGTCGTCTTTGTCACTTTTTCTTCAGTCGTCTTTTTAGGATTTCTTTTGTGGCATTTTGCTGGCCTTTTGTTTGACACATTCTTTGCTCTTTTTTTTTATAAATTCGCATTTTTTTGTTTCCTTTTTTTATCAGTTTCTTATTTTTTGACTCCTTTTTTCTTAGTCACATTTTTGTTTTGTTCTCTTGTAGCCTTTTATTTTCTCTAATTTTTTTGTGTTTATTTTTGTTGCTTTTTTGTGTCGGTTTTTTCTCATGTTTTTTCATTTCGCGGTTTTTATCGTGTTTTTTTTGTCGTCTTTTTTGCCACTTTTTTCAGTCGTCTTTCTGAGATTTGTTTTGTTACATTTCTGTAGCCTTTTTTTACACTTTTTCACACCGATTTTTAAATTCAGATTTTTTAGTTTCTTTTTTTTATCACTTTCTTATTTTTGGGGTCCTGTTTTTCTTAGTCACATTTTTGTTTTGTCTTCTTGTAGCTTTTTATTTTCTCTTTTTTTTTGTTTTTTGTGTCGTTTTTTCTCATGTTTTTTGTCGTTTTTTTGCACTTCCTTAGTTGTCTTTTTGAGATTTGTTTTGCATTTTTATAGCCTTCTTTTTTTGACACTTTTTTTCACTCTTTTTTAATTCGCATTTTTTATTTTCTTTTTTTTTGATCACTTATTTTTGACTCCTCTTTTTCTTAGTCACATTTTAGTTTTGTTCTCTTCTAGCCTTTTATTTTCTCATTTTTTTTTGTGTTTTTTGTTGCTTTTTTGTGGCGTTTTTTTCTCATATTTTTTATTCTCGCGGTTTTTGTCACTTTGTTTTAGGATTTCTTTTGTCGCATTTTGATGGTCTTTTTTTGACACTTTTTTGCTCCTTTTTTTATAAATTTGCATATTTTTTTTTTGTTTCCGTTTATTTTATCAGTTTCTTATTTTTTGACTCCTTTTTTCTTAGTCACATTTTTGCTTTGTTCACTTGTAGCCTTTTATTTTCTCAATTTTTTTGTGTTTATTTTTGTTGCTTTTTTGTGTCGTTTTTTTCTCATGTTTTTTAATTTCGCGGTTTTTATCGTGTTTTTTTTGTTGTCTTTTTTGTCACTTTTTTCAGTCGTCGTTCTGAGATTTGTTTTGTTACATTTTTGTAGCCTTTTTTTACACTTTTTCACACCTATTTTTTAATTCAGATTTTTTACTTTCTTTTTTTTATCACTTTCTTATTTTTGGACTCCTGTTTTTTTTTGTCAGATTTTTGTTTTGTCTTCTTGTAGCTTTTTATTTTTTCATTTTTTTTTGTTTTTTGTGTCGTTTTTTCTCCTGTTTTTGTCGGTTTTTTGTCACTTTCTTAGTTGTATTTTTGAGATTTGTTTTGCATTTTTATGGCCTTCTTTGTTGACACTTTTTTTCACTCTTTTTTTTAATTCGCATTTTTTATTTTCTTTTTTTTCATCACTTATTTTTTGACTCCTCTTTTTCTTAGTCACATTTTTGTTTTGCTCTCTTCTAGCTTTTTATTCTCTGATTTTTTTTGTTTTTTTTGTTGCTTTTTTGTGGCGTTTTTTCTCATATTTTTTATTCTCGCGGTTTTTGTCACTTTTTCTTCAGTCGTCTTTTTAGGATTTCTTTTGTCGCATTTTGATGGTCTTTGTTGACACTTTTTTTGCTCCTTTTTTTTTATAAATTCGCATTTTTTTGTTTCCTTTTTTTCATCACATTCCTATTTTTTGACTCCTTTTTTCTTAGTCACATTTTTGTTTTGTTTTCTTGTAGCCTTTTATTCTCTCTATTTTTTGTGATTATTTTTGTTACTTTTTTTTGTCGTTTTTTTCTCATGTTTCTTAATTTCGGGGTTTTTTTAGTTGTTTTGTCACTTTTTTCAAATTTCAGATTTGTTTTGTTATATTTTTATAGCCTTTTTTACACTTTTTTCACACCTATTTTTTGTTTTCTTTTTTTTTTGGTCACTTCTTATTTTTAGACTCCTGTTTTTATTATTCACATTTTTGTTTTGTCTCTTTTTATTTTCTCATTTCTTTTGTATTTTTTTGTTGGTTTTTGTGTCGTTTTTTGTCACTTTTTTAGTTGTCCTTTTAAAATTTGTTTTGTCACATTTTTATAGCCTTTTTTTGATACTTTTTTTCACCCTTTGTTTTTAAATCGCATTTTTAATTTTCTTTTTTTTATTACTTTCTAATTTTTTGACTCCTGTTTTATTAGCCACATTTTTGTTTTGTTCTCTTGTAACCTTTTTTTTTCTTTATATTTTTTGTTGGTTTTTTTGTGGTGTTTTTTCCTCATGTTTTTTATTCTGGCGGTTTTTGTCGTTTCTTTGTTACATTTTTTGTTGCATTTTTTTTTCATTTTTTGATCACTTCTCTATGTCGATTTTTCAACTCCTTTTTTCCTTAGTCGCATTTTTGTCTTTTTTTGTAGTCTTTTATTTTTTCTCATTTTTTGTAGTCCTTTTGTTGACTTTTTTGGTTATGTTTGTCCCATTTCTTACTTTTCTTTTTTTTTTGTCGTCTCATCACAAAACTGTATTACCAAAAATTCACTTAAAATATAGGCATAGCATGTTTCTTTACCTGTGAATTATCCACAGTTATTTAATTTTAACTTAATAACTGAAAGTTATAAATTATCTTAAGAACTGCACTTGTTTGATGGTAGTAATAATAGAAAAAAAGTCCGTCTAGTAGGCCATGAAATGTATTTTTAAAATAATGATGTTGGCATTGCAGTTATTTGATAGTAACTGTCAAACTAAGCAAGAAATCCGTTAGCGCTGCCAACATAATTCTGTTAACATTAAATTTCAAATGCTGCTGGACGACTTTATTATTCAATCGTATAACATACTTCAGGTAATTGGATTTAAATATAAATTTCACTGTATAATTTTTTATTGAAATAAATAACTGTTTGAAATTCTTGATTATGTACATTATTAATGTACACGTGCTGGTTGTTTTAAATTAAAGTTAAAATCCACCTTCATTAAACTTACTACGTAGCATTTCGTTATTTTAGGGTGTGATGGTCGGAATGGGCCAGAAAGACTCCTACGTGGGCGACGAAGCCCAAACCAAACGCGGCGTTTTGACCGTAAAATACCCCATCGAACACGGAATCGTAAGCAACTGGGACGACATGGAAAAAATCTGGCACCACACCTTCTACAACGAACTGAGAGTATCGCCAGAGGACCACCCCGTCCTCCTGACCGAAGCCCCATTAAACCCGAAAATAAACAGAGAGAAGATGACCCAAATCATGTTCGAAACGTTCGGCTGCCCGGCCATGTACGTCGCCATCCAAGCTGTCTTGTCGCTGTACGCAAGTGGACGCACCACCGGCATCGTCATGGACTCCGGCGACGGCGTGTCCCACACCGTCCCCATCTACGAAGGTACGTCAAAATTAGCAAAATTTCGTCACCCAAAAATCATTTTCCAGGATACGCACTCCCTCACGCAATTCTTCGTATGGACCTCGCCGGCCGCGACCTCACCGACTACCTGATGAAGATCCTCACCGAGAGGGGGTACAGCTTCACCACCACGGCAGAACGCGAGATAATCCGAGACCTTAAGGAGAAGATCTGCTTCGTGGCGTTGGACTTCGAACGGGATCTTGCGATATCCGCTAGTACTAACACGTTCGAGAAGAGCTATGAGTTGCCGGATGGGCAGATCATTACGATAGGGAACGAACGCTTCCGGTGTCCTGAAGCCATGTTCCAGCCGACGTTCTTGGGGATGGAGACGACCGGGATTCACGAGACCACGTACAACTCGATCATGAGGTCGGACATGGATATTCGGAAGGATTTGTACGCGAATATTGTTCTGTCTGGAGGAAGCACGATGTTCGCGGGGGTTGCGGACAGAATCCAGAAGGAAATCGCGGCTTTGGCACCGGCTTCCATGAAGATTAAGATCATTGCGCCACCAGAACGAAAGTACTCCGTGTGGATTGGTGGAAGCATTTTGGCCAGTCTGACGACGTTCCAGCAGATGTGGATCTCGAAGGATGAGTACGACGAGTCCGGACCGGTTATCGTTCATCGCAAGTGTTTTTAAGCTTGTGTAGAAGACCTAGGATCCAGGGTCTACCCTATCATTAACTAAATTAAAACATTAATTGTTGATTGTTGTTAAATAAAAAAGTTTTTGTCACAGCACCTTCTTTATTAAAAAATAATGTACAATGTAAACACCTTACAATTTAATATACTTAGGCAGTGATAGAGATGTTAAGAATGCTTGGCAGTTAAGAGAAACAAACAGGGCCGATTTCCACCCAGAACGCCTGGTTCGGGCCTCCAAAATCGCGAATTCCTACGTCGATTATGGGAAGTCTTGCTGTTTTGTCAGTTTTGTACGAAAGAACTGATTTGGCCCAGGTGTCTTTACGCATCTGAAACATTTACACCATGAAAGAACATCCTCTAGGAAAATCAGGTCATAGTCTTACCCTACAGTCATCAGTAATGGCTTCGTAGCGTAACCGGACGTTACCCCGAGGCGTCAACTCAGAGTCATTCCAGGTTATGAACTTCAATCCTTTCTTGTATGTGTGTCTTGTAACGTCATAATAAGCCGCAGTGTTCTTACAATTAAACGTGATGTTCTGTTCCGCGTGAAGCGACAGCAACTGGAGGAATCCAATTTGGTTGCTGTGAGATTTATACGAAATCTAAAATCAAGAAAAAGCTATCTATGAGCCCGAATAAGTACCTTCAATACCAACCTTCAGCCCGTTTTTGAGTTCACCCAGCCAAATTTCGCTCTCGCCACCACGGTGTTGGATTTCTGGGGACCTCTCCGGCTTTGGAACGATGCACGTCGCCTTATTTTCCATGTCACAGTGAACTAGTATCGCATCCTTCGAATCTCCTTCGTTAGGGTCCACCCAGTATTGTCCTAGAACAAGCAATCTTCTTCAATACCTACCTACTTCAATGGTAGTTTACCTACCGCTCTTCGACTCCGGATAAGCGCTCAGTATGTCCTTGCAGGTCTTACCCGGGTTGTTCTTATCCCCATTCGGTTTTTTAAACTTCTCAAACGATGCCTTCAGTTGTTCGTAAGCCTTAACCACAATTTCTCTGCGTTCTTGGTCCGTCATCTGTTTACCGAACACCCTAATCGGTTCGTCGCCCAAAGGATCAGGTCCTTTTTGGTTGTTTATTTGTCCTTGAGCAAGCAAAGCCGCCAAACTAGCCGCGTCGTAGCCCAATCCATCACCAGGAGGTCCCGGAGGACCTGGAGGACCAGGCTGTCCCGCTGGTCCAGGTTTACCGTCGTCGCCTTTGCCGCCTCGTTCTCCAATCAACCCAGGAACACCCTGCGGTCCAGGACTGCCATCCCTTCCCGGCGGACCTCTGGGTCCCGTCTCGCCATCCTTTCCAGGAAGTCCGGGATTTCCAGTCAATCCCTTCTCTCCAGGAAGTCCCGCACTCCCTGGTAGACCTTGCAGCCCAATCAAACCTCGGTGTCCCTTTGCCCCTTTAGGTCCCGCTTCTCCTCGTTCGCCTTTAATACCTTCGAGACCTTGCGGACCTTGTTTCCCTCTTTCGCCCGGTGGGCCATCGACACCAGTAGGACCCACTTCTCCGCGAGGTCCTCTTTCGCCGGTAGGACCTGGTGATCCAGTACCACCAGGTGGCCCCTAAACAATTTTATTAACACTGTGATTATAATATAATGGAATTCACACTTACCGGCAAACCCGGTGGTCCTGATGGACCGGTAGGACCCATCGGTCCTACAGGACCTTTATCGCCCATTCGTCCAGCCAAACCTGGTGGTCCCGGTTTTCCAGATGGTCCTTCCGGACCTTGTTCGCCCATCGGACCCGCCATTCCAGGTGGTCCACTCAATCCAGGTGGACCTTGCGGTCCTTCGTTACCAGGTTTCCCTGGAGCACCCGCTTCTCCAGGTGCTCCTCTTAAACCACTCAAGCCTGTGGGTCCCGGCGGGCCAGGAAGTCCGGGTAACCCTCGATCACCTGCAGGGCCCATTGGTCCTAGTGGTCCAACAGGTCCGGTGGGTCCTTCTGATCCCACTTCACCTTTTTGGCCTTCGGGTCCCGATGGTCCGGGTAAACCTTGCGGTCCTGGTAACCCAACGCGTCCTGTTTCCCCAGCAGCTCCTTTGAATCCAGGTAAACCTGGAAGACCAGGAGGACCGATGCTTCCGGGTTGGCCGGCCTGCCCCGGATCGCCGGGACGTCCAGGAGGTCCCATTAATCCAACATCGCCTCTGGGACCTGCTTCGCCTCGAGCTCCTTTGACTCCTGTCAAGCCGATGGGTCCTGGGGGACCCACTTCTCCGGGTCTTCCTATGGGACCCGGATTTCCTTGCATTCCTTTGGGGCCAAAGAGTCCTCTCTCGCCTTTGAGTCCAGGTAAGCCGATTAGACCTTGAGGACCAGGGAAACCTTGTAGACCGGGAGATCCAAGTGGTCCTCTTTCGCCGGGTCCTCCGGGAGCTCCTGGTTCACCTGGTGGTCCAGGTGGACCAGGTTCTCCTCTTTCGGCTGGTTCTCCGGGTGGACCTGTTGGTCCAGGGAAACCTTGTGGACCTCGTTCTCCTAAACAATAAAATTAAAGTTAGACGCTAAAACTATGTCGAAAAGTGAATTACCTTGCCGCCCTGGAGGGCCTTCGGGACCAATAGGGCCAATGCTTCCATGTTCTCCTTTTTCGCCTTGCGGACCAGGCTGACCACGTGTACCAGGAAGACCCATTAATCCTGGTGTCCCTGCGTGACCTTTCGCACCGTGCGGGCCAGTAGGTCCCTACAAATATCACTTTACGGTTGTAATGACCATGATATCAAAAGACTTACAGGAATTCCATCCGGACCCTGTGGTCCCGTTGCTCCTTTCATACCAGGAAGTCCAGGTTGTCCAACTGGTCCTCGCTCTCCAGGAATACCTCTTTCTCCTCTCGGTCCAATACTACCGGGTAAGCCGGGTGGTCCTTGCACACCAGTATCTCCATCTTTTCCAGCAGCTCCTTGAATACCTGGTGCCCCTGGTAGTCCCTAACAAACAAGAAATCACAGTTTACGTTTCAACTGTCCCTTGTGAAACATACTTGGAAGCCTGTAGGGCCCGTGACTCCTGGTGGACCTCTTTCACCGTCAACGCCTGGAGGTCCGGGTGGTCCGGGCGATCCGGATGGTCCATCTTTTCCTGCATCACCTCGTGGGCCAGGTGGACCCTGGGGACCTGGTTCTCCGTCTTTTCCAGCTTCACCCTATAACCAATTCAAGCTATAAAATAAACACAAATATGTAATAAACATTACTTGATTTCCTTTATCACCAGGCGGACCTAACGGTCCAGGCAAACCTTGTAATCCTTGATGTCCTGTTTCACCAGGTTTTCCATCCGCGCCTGGTTGTCCCCTTTCACCTGGACTACCTGGTCTTCCTTGAGGTCCAGATCTTCCTGTCAGACCTCGCATACCCTGTAAACCAATCGAGCCCGGTCTTCCAGGTTCACCCGGCGAGCCTTTGATACCCTGTGGACCTATGGCGCCTCTATTCCCTGCTTGTCCTTTAGGACCAGTAGCTCCATCCGGTCCGGGTAAACCTCTGACTCCTTGAGATCCTCTTTCACCTGGTGGTCCAGCTGATCCCATGGGACCTCTGGGTCCTCTTTTTCCTCTTTTACCTTCTGCACCGACAACTCCAGGTAATCCTCGCGGGCCAGGTGCTCCAGTTTCTCCTTTCATCCCGATTTCTCCTCTAAATCCTCGTTCACCGGGTATGCCCTAAATAAAAACGAAATTTAGTAGAGTGAAACATTGAAAAGGGGTTTGTTTACAGGACTGCCTTTGGCTCCTGGTTGGCCCGGACTCCCGTTTAATCCGGGTGGTCCTCGTCCACCAGGAAACCCAGGAGGGCCGGATATGCCTGTAGCTCCTGGATCTCCTTTTTCGCCAGGAAAGCCGTCTTTTCCGGGCGCTCCAGGTAATCCATTTTCTCCTGCTCGTCCTGGCTGACCCGCTTCTCCTCTAGGTCCTTGCAAACCTAAACTTCCTTTAGGGCCTTGACTTCCTTGGTCACCTTTAGCTCCCGGATTGCCGGGAAACCCAGGAGGTCCAGGTTTGCCAATTTCGCCCTGAAAGTGTACAATTTAACTCACGAAAAGTAAGAGAGGAAGAATTTTACGGGAAGGCCAGGTGGTCCAGCGATTCCATCTAAACCTCGTATTCCTGGTGGACCTGGCGGACCTTCTCTGCCTCTTTCTCCTCGAGAACCGGATGGTCCCATTGGGCCTACAGGTCCCATGGGACCTGGATTACCGGTGATTCCTTTCTCGCCAGGTAGTCCCTGGTCACCTTTTGCTCCGTCCAGACCGGGAAAACCCCGATGACCCTTCAGACCTGGAATACCAGGCATTCCGGGTAAGCCTCTGGGTCCTGGAGGTCCAATGGAGCCGGGTTGGCCAGTTTCACCATCGTCGCCGGGACTTCCCTATAAACACGAAGCGTACAAATATATGTAGTTGAGGACATAGAAGTAAAACTGACTTCTTTTCCTGATGGTCCAGGCAAACCTCTTGGTCCTGGAGGTCCGGGTGGTCCCACGGGTCCGCTCTCCCCTGTGTCCCCTCTAGGTCCTTGGAAACCCTGCGGGCCTAATAGTCCCACGGGTCCTGGAGGTCCCCTAGGTCCAATCGGACCGACTTGAGCTTGCAAATATTGAAACGGTTCGACTGGACCAGGACCTTTATCGTTACTCGATTGCGAAAGCGCCAGTTGCTGGTAGTAAGACGACAAATCAGGAGCGGGTCCAGGCGGACCTGGAGCGCCAGGAATTCCCGGAGTTCCCGGCGAACCAGGTGCCCCCATTTGGCCTGGATGGCCGGGTTCGCCCGGATACCCTGCACTTCCTGGTGGACCTACAAACAACTCGTAAAATCATTCATTATTTCCAATTTTTGTTGTTAATGGTACCAGGAACTGCCGCGGTGTCATAACCCTCCTGTGGCTGTCTGGTAGGTCTCGTTCCTCTCACACATTCTTCGTCTGTTTTGCAATCGGCCACTCGATTTACGCAAGTACAGTTGGTACAGGGTCCAGAACGCCATGTTTCTTGGTCACGGTACAACTTTCCTTCGTGGCGGCAACTGTAGGGACCCACGTGACTCGCCGGAGTAGGTCTGGTGGGCTGCAAAATGTGCAAGTCAACAGTTCCCGTGGGAATCGCCGAAGAAGTTGGACGTTCGTTGTCGGGTTGCACGAAGGTTTGGGTGCGCTCTTCGATGGGTCGCTCGTCCAGTGGTTGTGGGGTCGTGATGGGGTTCAACTGGACAGTAGACGGCGACGAAGTGACTGGATTTAAAATTTTAAAATAAATCGACGGTTTCAGAGAAAACAAACAAGTACACGGAACAGATAGTCGAAAACGATAAATTTGCATTTTCGTAGTCAACGAACTGTATATCGTCCCGAAATTGTCCTTTAGATGCATGGGAAGTTCTATGTAAAAATAAAAAATATGAAATTTGTTCATATAATATTCTCCAACATAAAGTAAAGAATCAAAATAACAAAAATTTTTGAAAATTGTTAGGAAAAAATTAGTACAAAAATAAAAATGCTTACAGTAATCATAATTTTCATCCTCGTCGTCGTATAGATCGTCGTCCTCCTCCAAAATTGGCTGCTGATTTTGTATCTGCGCTTGTTCTTCAGAGTTTTCGGTTTTCGAAGTGACTTCTCGTTCCCGTCTTCTGACTCGGGCTCCAGAAATCACAATTAGAGAAAAAAAAGTTATTAAAACAAATTTCAGATTCATGTTTAGAAACGGAAATATTAACACAATTCAAAGCACAGACACTTCATCACAGATTTATGAAAGAGTCCATAATTACAGATAGTCCCGTTTGAGAATCGGGACTACCATCGGCTGAATAGTATCTCCCATATTTATGCTGTCTGGGAGGGGTCGGGGGAACCAAATGGTGTTTAGGAATTAGTGTTTACTACACACAGAGCATGGCGATAATAAATGCAGACGTTGGTGTCAAAATAAAATAAAATAGAGACAGTTGGCGAAAAATAAAATACTTTTAAAAAATTGGAACTAGATTCTCATTTTGTTTTGTTATGTATGGATTTTGTAATATATAGTTAAGTAATTTTGTCGTTCATATTTGAGAATATCTAGAATCAATTGATGAAACCCAGCAAAGCTTTTACAATAAACTTTTCTATGATGATAAATTGCCGTGATTGTTTAAATTAGCATTAATCAGTGTGACTTAATTTATTGGTTTGTTGTACCTAATCGCCTCCATTTGGTGGTACTTAATTATTAATTGACTTAATTTCGCATATATATCTTTAACATAAATATCTAACAGGCCTCTTTTACACCAATTCGAAAATTTTCAAAATCCAAGTCTGAACAAACCGAAAATTACTCATCGCATTCTGTTCCTCTGATGAAAACAAAAAAGTCCTTATCGATAAAACACGTTGCCTTTTTCGCAATGAATGACCGTTTTTCTACTCTAATTTAAATTACAAACCAATTTACAACGAGGAAGTATGTAAGCAAGCAGATGCCGGAATGACGCAATGCTACATTAATGAGAATCCCGGACCAATTTATAAGATCTCTGCTAAAGTTGATGGGTCAAAGACATTTTAATATGACAAAGTTGACTTTTATCTAAATTTGTCTTGCAGCAAAAGTAATCAGGACGCCGGGAGAACATTTAAATATGACTCGGGCAGAGAACTCAAAAACGTTAAATTTTGAATTCAGCGCGCCAAAAAACGAACTCTGTCGGGACGAACTACGTTCATGGGTGTTTACTCATTGTCGATTTTCTTTAATTGTTTTAAGAAAAAAATGTTCGTCGATTCGGACGTAAATCTTATGATATGATTTTTACATTGCGTTGAAAATTAAGCCCTAATTATGTAACAATTCTTGAAGATGCATAGTTCGCATTACACTACGTCATCTGTGTCTAGTTCGTTCCCACCCGTGTGCTCTGTATGGCGCTATCATTGTTTAGTTCGGTCACGTACGCGCCAGATAACAGGGTGCCAATTTTATCGATTACGAAACGTGCCGTTGTTGCTCTTTTGCGTAGTTCTTGTGATAAGTCTAAAAATCTACCACCATGCAGGGAATGTCATTTCAGAGTCTTAAAAGACACAAGGCTGTGAGTACCAAATGTCAAAAAACACACCTACTAGATCGTTTATTTTCAGTTGATTCCTCTGTATGTCTGTGTGGGGTTAGGATGCGTGGGGGCTATCGGATACACGCTTAGACTCGCTTTACGTAATCCAGACGTCCAGTGGAACCGCTCAGGTGACATCTCCAATGAAGAGTTCAGAGCTAAGCAATACAAGGTAAAATTTTATCCACACTGAGTTGTACTGTTCAACTCTGTATATTTTTTGTTTCAGTTTTATTCCCCCAACATTGATTACAAAAAACTCGAGCCCCCAGCGCCCAAATATTAGAAAGTTTCTTAAATAGTCGCTTCTAGATGATAATGTACGATTAAATAAATAAATTATTGTTATTTTTTGGATTGTTTACTTACACAGATGGAATAAGGAATAACATTACGTCACATAAATAACACCTACTGCAACAATCTAATAGTTACTTAACCTACATGTACATAATCACTATGGAAACAAAATATACACATGAACAACTTGATTTCAAATTAATTATCTTTCTTCAATCTTGTGCTCGTCATGCGATAAATAATAGAATCTCTTCCAGGATCCATCGAACCAATGGCAATGCAAATCGCCAGTAAAGTAAACACCATGGCAACCCCAAACCACAGAATGATATTAAAAATAACTGGGTAATCCTTACTGTAGGCTTTGGCAATGTTATACTAAAACCCTGAATGTAATAGATGAAAATTAAAATTTGACGTTACCTTCGGGGCAGGTTCATCCCCATCAGCTAGAATATTTCTGGCTTTTCTGGTGTGGATGGCGTCGCTACAGACAACACTCACTAATACTTTGCCTTTGTAAAGTTTATTAAAGGCGGTATTCAGACGTAGAATAGCGTCAGTCAAAAGTTGCTTTGCCTCTTTAACCTGAGTCGAGTTTTCTCCATATAAGTCGGTCAAGGCGTGGAGAGTTTCAATTTTGAACCAGTACACGTCAGGGGTGTTGTCTGCACTAATATCAGACCGCTCGATCTACACACAACTAAATATAACAACAATTGAACCGTTTTACACACTAAATACCTCATCTATAATACTATTCAACAACGTAATGTCGTTCAAAAACGCCCGATCTTCATCCACGTTCAATTTCAACTGATTGTGGATTGGTTTCTTGGCTTTGTCGTGCTTAACCCCTTCAAAGATTCTGTATTTGTTGACCTAGAAACGACTAGTGTGACTTATGTTCACTGTATTACCAAACAATACCTGTTCTAAGCCACTTTCAAGGTCAATCCTGACCAACTGGCTGTTACCTTCCGGGTACCTCTCCAACACCCGTCTCTCCAAGGCTGCATACACATTTGACTCCACGTCGTTGGTCCGCAGGGGGAAGTGGTGCCCTTTGCTATTCCCGATATCAGGGACTCCATCAACGGCCACGGTTACAATAGCTTCAGCTAGATGGAATGGGTCCTCAATGAGGATACCGTTCCAGTTGGAGTATTGTTCCGTTGAGAAACCCAACGCCGTCGAGTAGAGCTCCTTCAGGATACTTTCTTTCACATGGTCGTGTCCCTTGAATGTTAGACTTCTGGGGTGGTGCAGGACTATGAATTCCCCGTTTCCAGAAACTGGAAATTTTGATGTTTTTCGGTGGTTGTGTACACGGGAGTTTCTTACCTGTGACTAGAAGAAATGAGGCACTAAAGAGTAGAAACAGCGAGTTTAAGAACATTTTGGGTGGAATGATTTTTCTTCTAATTAATTTTCGATCACATGAAAGCAGGTATCACCCGTATCATGTGATATTGACAAGTATGGCCTTGAGAGAGGGAAGGTGTATTGCTGGTTGTCTAACCGCGCGAATGCTTGATTTGAAATTTTATGTTCCACTGCACCACACCTCAGGAAAATTTCTTTAAATAGCACCTCCTATTTTTTTTAGCATAAAGTGATGGTCCCTTGAAAGAGAAATTTTTGATATGTGGTTTAACCTAATTTACTGTCCTAAGAAATGAAAAAAGCCAAATGTGTGTTTTAAAATAAATTAATAAAATAATCGTCAGAGACTGATGAGATCTTTAGTTCCAATGCACATAACAAAAAAATTCGTGTTCATTTACATAATTCCGACCATAATCCTCACTCTTATTTTTTAACTCTTGTGTCTACAAAAATTGTACTTATGTGTAGAGCATATTCTGTAAGTAGATAGAATAGAAAAGTAAATTTGCAAGAATATTTTATTGTAGATATCTTATTGCATTTCATAGTAATCTTGGGTTTTTCCAACCCAAAATCTTAGAAATTTAGGTAGGTACCTAGTTACCTCGCTGAAATGCAATAAAACAAATGCAGCTTTTTCGAAAAATTATAAAATTTGATTATGCGAATTTTATTTATTTTATGGGAACCCCTATAAGTTAAATTTGTTCCCAAAAATTCTGGATTTCTACACGGATTCACACACCACGAGTGCAGGAGTAGGGGAAAGGTGCCTAAAATGATCCCCCTAAGGGAGAAATTCTTTAAAAAATACAAATTATTATTATTCATGTAAAACTGTAGCATTATTTGTAAGAACATTGATTTATCTAGGTAACAGTATAAGCCAATTGGTGATTCGATAATTATAAAAAAAGTTATTAACGTTTTTCCAGGACCTTACAAAAGGATCGTTTTAGGCATCCCCATAGGTAAAATGATCCCTCGGCATGGGCATAATGATACCTTTGAATTTTGACCATAAGGGGACAGCATCAACAAGAAAAATCAAATCATGACATAACTGATAAATATTTTATTTCAAAAATTAAAAAAAAAATTAATTCTTAAAAAAAAATAAACAAAAAAAGTTTGAAAAGCACCGAAAATACGGGGTGTATAATTTCTGGAAGAGTTTGAGACAATACTTTAGTCATCAGTACGTGCTAAGATAAGACTAATTTTGCCAAATGGGATACCCTCCAAGAAAAGAGAGGGCGGGTGGGCGGGCCTACTACCTGCTAAGATAAAACTGAATTTGGCAAATGATATACCCTCTAAGAAAAGAGAGGGTGGGTGGGTGGGGCTAGTAACTGCTAGGATAAGACTGAAATTGGCAAATGATATACCCTCTAAGCAAAGAGAGGGTGGGTGGGTGGGGCTAGTAACTGCTAAGATAAAACTGAATTTGGCAAATGACATACACTCTAAGAAAAAAGAGGGTGGGTGGGTGGGGTTAGTAAGTGCTAAGATAAGACTGAATTTGGCAAATGATATAGCCTTTAAGAAAAGAGAGGGCGGGTGGGCGGGTCTACTAACTGCTAAGATAAAAATGAATTTGGCAAATGATATACCCTCTACGAAAAGAGAGGGTGGGTGGGTGGGGCTAATACTTGCTAATATAAAACTGATTTTGGCAAATGAGATACCCTTTAAGAAAAGTGACGGCGGGTGACTGGGATTAGTACCTCTTAAGACTGAGAATTTCCCAAAATTAGAACACGAAAATCCCTAAAATTCTTTTAAATGATTTAAATTTCCCCGTCTTAAGAGGTACTAGCTCCACCCACCCTCCCTCTCCTCTCTTAGGGGTATTTCATTTGCGAAAATCAGTTTTATTTTAGCAGGTAGTAGGTGGGTGGGGCTAGTAACTGCTAAGATAAAACTGGTATTGGCAAATGGTATTCCCTCGAAGAAACTAAAGGCTGGGTGGGCGGGGTTAGAGTATATGTCATCTGCAAAAATCAGTCTTATCTTAGCAGGTAGTAGCCCCGCCCACCCACCCTCTCTTTTCTTGGAGGATATGTCATTTGCGAAAATCAGTCTTATCTTATTAGGTACTAGCCCTCTAACAAGATAAAGGGCGGATGGGCCGAGCTAGTGCTTGGCAAGATAAGGCTGATATTGCCAAATAACATACATTCTAAGAAAATAACGGGCGGGTGGGTGGGGTTAGTACTTGCTAAGATAAAACTGATATTGGCAAATGGTAATCCCTCAAAGAAAATAAAGAGTAGGTGGGGAGGGTTAGAGGATATGGTATCTGCAAAAATCAGTCTTATCTTAGCAGGTACTAGCCCCCACCCTCTCTTTTCTTAGAGGATATATGATTTGCAAAAATCAGTCTTATCTTAGCAGGTACTAGCCCCGCCCAATGATCCGGGATCATTTTGCCTCAAGAAAAAGGGATCATTTCGCCTTAGGTAGCATATCCGTATTCAAAAATTGTAAACTAACCTTCAGTTTTTATATGCGGTAAAAAGATCATAACTAACCTACGACTGAAATGTATCTAATTCTGTCAAAACAACTACCACTGCTATAAGACCTTTCAAATGGAAGTAATGGACTTTTAAAATATATCTTACCTTAGATCAGAGGTGCTTATTTTACATATTTTGGCACAAAACTGTGCAGAATACACAGAACGCCATCAAACTTTCAAAAGGTACTAATTACAGAGCGCTTAATCAAATGACAGTTATGTTTGGTAGATGGAGCCACAAATTTTCTTACAATTGATGGGGATCATTTGACCTGAGGGGATCATTTTAGGCACTTTTCCCCTACTTATGTGTTGGGCATATTCTGTAAGTAGTTTTTTGTAAAATTTTTTCTATTTTTTTGTATCAATGTTGTATAAACATGTTGATAATTTCTGAAAGTACTTTTTTATTCTGTTTTAAAAAATGTCAAAAAAACCAGGGTGTTCCATTAAAAAAATAAAAAGTAGCGATAAAAAAAACAATATTGTAATCAATTCGCCATATATTCAAAGCAAATTTCAGAAAAAAGCTTTTCAAATAACGAAGTTTATGTTCACGCAATTTGCTGATGTTGACATTACTAATGAAACACGTTGTGGTTTCAAAAGCATTTTTATCTACAAAATGTAAGATGTGTGGTTTGGTAGAAAAATTTAGCACAACGTCAACCGCTTCGATTTGGCACCCATAGAAACCATCGCCATAATATATTTTTTATACGCAACAGAATCGTACTACTATTCCTGTTCGTACCTTTCCAAAGTACTACTAACACTAACCAAACAAAGCCGTCTTACTTTTGATACCTACTTGTAGCGTTAACGGGAAAACTAACCACATCCTACAGACAAAAAACGGCGACTCGAACAAACCAAAGGATCAAGGTTTGAAATTTCACTAAATACATTTTCTTGTAGATTTCAGGCCGCAGAAGTCACTGTCGGCCCCATTTCTTCGATAACTGCAACCGTGTTTCCAGAATTGCTCATTGAAATACCACGATTTTTAAAAATTTCAAAAAATCTGAATTTCATACCGAATATTTCGAGAATATTGCTCCGTGACTCTAGACACCCCATATTTCTGGAATTAGCACGTCAAAATCTATATTCCTGAATTTTTTGAAAATTTTTAGACTGCTTTTTCAAAAATGAAATTTTTTACTATTCACAAATATAAAATTTCTATTCATTTTCGATGATTTTCGAAATTTCACTAAATACATTTTCTTGTAGATTTCGGATCGCAGAAGTCACTGCCATCCTCATTTCTTTGATAACTGCAGCCGTGTTTCCAGAATTGCTCATTGAAATACCACAATTTTTAAAAATTTCAAAAAATTCGAATTTCATACCGAATATTTCGAAAATAATGCATCGTGACTCTAGACACACCATTTTTCTGAAATCAGCACGTCAAGATCTATAATGCTGAATTTGTTTTTACTTTTTAGACGATTTTTTCAAAAATGAAATTTTCGACTATTATTTCTACTCATTTTTGACGATTTTAGAAATTTCGCTAAATACATCTTCTTGTAGATTTGGGGCCGCAGAAATCAATGCCGGCCTCATTTCTTCGATAACTGCAACCGTTTTTCCAGAATTATCCATTGAAATATCGCATTTTTTAAATTTTTGAAAAATTTGACTTTAAAACCGAATATTTCGAAAATATTGCTTCGTGACCCTAAACACGCTATATTTTTGGAATCAGCACGTCAAAACATTCCTGATTTTTTTCCGAATTTTTATACGATTTTTTCAAAAATGGAATTTTCGACTATATAAATTTCGATGAATTTTCGACGATTTTCGAAATTTCACTAAATACATTTTTTTTTTGGTCGATTTCGGGACGAAGAAGTCACTTGCGGCCTCATTTTTTCGATAACTCCAATCGTTTTTTCAGAATTTCCCTCTGAAATATCGGAATTTTTCAAATTTTTTAAAAATTTGATTTTAAAACCGAATATTCCGAAAATATTGTTCCGTGACTATAAACGCACTATATTTTTGGAATCGCTACTTCGAGATCTATATCCTAGAATTTTTTGTGGATCTTTATTTTAGATAATTTTTTCAAAAGTCAAATTTTTCAATACTCCCTTTCTTCAAATTTCGACCCATTTTCTAAACTTAATTAAATACATATTTTCTTGTAGATTTCGAGCTCTATAAGTCACTTCCCGCCTCGTTTCTTTGATTAGCCCAACCGTTTTTCCAGAATATGAAATATCGTAATTTTTAAAAATTTCTAAAAATTCGATTTTCACTCCGAAATTTTCGAAAATATTGCTCCGTGGCCCTAACACGCTATATTTTTGGATTTAACAAGTCAAAATATATAACCCTAAATTTTTTGAGAATTTTTCAAAAATCAAATTTTCCACTATGTATACCTCCCCAGTTATAAAAATTTCGACTCTTCGACGATTTTCGCAATTTAACTAAACACATTTTCTTGTAAATTTCGAGCCACCAAAGTCACTTCCGGCCTCATTTCTTGGATAACTCCAATCGTTTTTCCAGAATTGCCCACTGAACTATCGCAATTTCTCAAATTTTTGAAAAATTTGACTTTAAAGTATTTCGACAATATTGTTCCGTGTCTATAAACGCACTATATTTTTGAAATCACCACGTCGAGGTCTATATCCCAGAATTTTTAGTGGATTTTTAGGCAACTTTTTCAAAAGCAGAATTTTTCGTTTTCGAATTTCCACACATTTTTGAAACTTAACTAAATACTTTGTCTTGTAGATTTCGAGCTCTAGAAGTCATTTCCGGGCCCGTTTCTTCGATAATTCCAACCGTTTTTCCAGAATTTCTCAATGAATTATCGCAATTTTTGACATTTTTGAAAAATTTGACTTCAAAGCTAAATTTTTCAAAATATTGCTCCGTGACCATGAACATGCCAAGTGAAAATTTTTATTTTTTAATAATTAACTAAATACTTAGCTTGTCTTTGATTTATTTTTTTTCCCAATGAGACTAAAGCTAAAAAAATATACATTTAAAAACGTGGAACATCATGCGTATTTCAAAATAATTGGGACACCTGTATATACAAAAATAAAAATGTTTAAACAATTTTCAGTGTTGCCAAAAGTATTTATTGCGTATATAAACTCAAGATTTCTACAATTCCATTAGGGTCAAAAAACACAACATAAATCACTATCCTTTTTCTTACACATGTTTGCCAAAAAAAACATATTTTTTCCACTAAGTGACAGAAATAAAATTGGTAACACTGCAGAATGTATAACGACGACTTTGTAAAGCAATATTTTTTTGCATATTTTCTAGACTTTTAAAAAATAATGTTATAATAATATTGATACCGAAAATGATATTTACAATATTCTACTTCCACTACCACTAACCACCACTTTCCCCGTAGGTTGAGCCAATCCTGGCTCATAGGAAAATTCATGAGTACCCACACCTCCACCTCCACCACAACTCTAAAAGAAAGCAGCTACCTCTACGGAACCCTAATCATTTTAGCCAATTTTTTTAGCGTCCTCGTATCCCACTTCTACCAACTCAAAATCCAGCACCTGGGTATGAAAATCAGAATCGGCTGTTGCTCCCTAATCTACCGAACCTCGTTAAAAATCAACAAAAACGCCGCAGCTGCATCAAACGTAGGTACCATCATCAACCTCCTATCAAACGACGTCAACCGCTTAGACTTGGCAGCCATGCACCTCCTCCAGCTTTTAGTAGCACCCATTGAAACCATCGTCATAATATATTTTTTATACGCAACAGTAGGAGCAACGGCTGTCGCCGGAATCGTACTACTATTCCTGTTCGTACCTTTCCAAAGTACTACTAACACTAACCAAACAAAGCCGTCTTACTTTTGATACCTACTTCTAGCGTTAACCGGCAAACTAACTACGTCCTACAGGCAAAAAACGGCGACTCGAACAGACCAAGGATCAAACTCATGGAGGAAATCCTCACGGGAATCCAGGTCATCAAGATGTTCACTTGGGAAAAATTTTTCGCAAGAACCGTCGAACAAGCTAGAAAGTATACAAAAGTAGGATTGGCCGAGCACTAAAAGCAAGGTTTCAGAGACGAAATTCGTCAAATACGGAAAGCTTCGTTTATTCGGGCGTTGAATGTGGCTTCGATGCTCTTCATGAATCGGTCTGGGATCTTCCTGTGCATTCTATCCTACGCACTAACTCAAAGAGAAGTCAACGCCACGTACGTTTTCGTTGTTTCTTCGTACTACGCCATCTTGCGTCAAACCGTCACTGTATATTTTCCCTTCGGTGTTCAAAATTTCTGCGAAACCAAGGTTTCGGTCAGACGAATTAGAGAATTTTTGACGACGGTCGACCAACGACAAAACCAAATCACTGGTGAAGAACCCGAAGAGAAGAAACATCTTATAGAAAATGTGGATGACGCTGGCGCTGTTGGTGTGTATTTGAAGAACGTATCCGTGAAGTGGCAGCCTTTAGTCCACGTTTTGAAAAGTGTGACTTTGAAGTCGCTGCTAATGACTTAGTTGTGATAACTGGAGTCGTCGGGAGTGGGAAATCAACTCTCCTTTACGCTATTTTAAACGAAGTACCGCACAGTGCGGGAAGTGTTAGTGTAACAGGTACCATTTCGTAGTCATCCCAAGAACCATGGTTGTTTTCGGGGACCATCCGACAAAACATTATATTTGGCTCGAAATTCGACGAACACAAATATAGAACAATTATCAAAATCTGTCAATTGGAAAAAGACTTTTCGACTTTAGTGGATGGTGACGGTACTTTAGTAGAAGAGCGCGTAAGTTTGTTAAGTGGGGGTCAAAAAAGTTGCATGAGTTTGGCACGCGCTCTTTACAAAGGTGCAGATATTTACCTATTAGATGACCCTCTAGCGGCTGTAGATGCAAAAGTGGGAGCGAAAATTTTCAATGACTGTATTTTACAGTACTTGAGAGACAAATGTAGGATTGTGGTTACGCATTCTTCGAACTATCTTGTCGGGGCTGCGACCAAAATCTACGCGGTGGATAACGGGATGTTGGTCAATGATTTTAGTTACCGGAAGACCGACATCGTCAGGAACGAAGATGTCACCTCTAAGAACACCGAACAACTAAGAACCGAACCGAAGAAAGAAAATATAGAACAACGAACCGGGAAAGTGTCTATTAAAGTATATAAAAAGTATGCAGAAGCTGGAGGACACAAAATCAAAATTATATTGTTGTTTATACTATTTGCTGTCACCCAAACTGCAGCAAGCGGTGCCGATTACTTCGTGGCGTTTTGGTTAGATGTTTTGACTTCTTAAACGTCTTTTGTAGACAATTCTGACTTTCAGGTCCAACTTGAATGGACGACAGAATGCAGAAAGTGTCCTCACACTAAGTATATCTGTATACGTCACAATAATTATCGCCCTTGTAACTGTATCAATCGGTCGATCGACTTTATTTTTTCAACACTGCATGAGGACGTCCATCAATTTGCACAAACAGATGTTTGCAAGGATCAGCAAAGCGCCGATGTTGTTTTTTAAGACAAATCCGACTGGAAGAATTTTGAATCGTTTTTCCAAAGATATAGGGTTGATGGATGAGACTCTACCGTTGCTATTGATGGACACGTTTCAAGTAATACTAGATAATTCATCTACTTCTATTGTCTAGTTGTTTTTAGGTTGCGTTCATTGTACTAGGGAGCGTCGTATTGGTATCAGTTGTAAATCCGTGGATGTTAGTACCTACGGCTGCCGCTTTTCTAGTATTCTACGTGTTCAAGAGCATCTTCTTGGCCATAACTCGTACCATAAAAAGATTAGAAGCCGAAGGTAATTGTAATATCGAAGTTATAATCTTCTGTAACAACAGTTTTAGCTAGAAGCCCGATCTACAACCACATGCATGCTTCGATGCAGGGCTTAGTTACCATTCGCACCTTCAACGTTCAAACTACGTTACAAAAAGAGTTCGATTATCACCAGAACCTCCACAGTTCGGCGTTCTACCTCTTCATGACCTGCAACAGAGCTTTCGGTTTTTGGTTAGACATGAGTTGCGTGTTCTACACAATTGTAGTAATAACAGCCACAATGTTAACCGGTAAAAAACACCCAGTACACACCCACTTCATTACGAATCGTATTTTTGTAGACACAGCCGCCGCTGATGCTGGTTTAAGCATAACCCAATCCATAAACCTAATCGGAGTACTACAATGGGGAATCAGACAATGGAGCGAATTAGAAAACCAAATGATTACAGTGGAACGTGTCCTTGACTACACTAAAGTCGCATAAGAACCAGACTCACGAACCAGAGACAATTTTCAAAACTGGCCAAACAACGGCGAAATCAAATTCCAATCTGTGTCACTAACTTATTTCGACAAACAGTGTCCATCTCTCGACAACGTCAATTTTCTTATAAAATCAAAAGAAAAAATAGGGATAGTAGGGCGAACGGGTGCTGGTAAATCATCCCTAGTGTCTTCCTTATTCCGTCTATACGACACTCTAAGAGCACGAATATCGATCATCCCTCAAGACCCAATTCTTTTCACTGGTTCACTGCGAACCAATATAGACCCCTACCACGAATTCGACGACAGTACCATATGGAAAATTCTAGAACAAGTGGAACTGAAAAATGCGGTACTAGAGTTGCCGCAGCACCTTGACACTGAAATACTGCAACGTGGTTCCAACTTCAGCGTGGGTCCGAAACAGCTAATGTGTCTCGCAAGGGCGATTTTGAGGAAAAACAAGATCATCGTGATGGATGAAGCTACCGCTAATGTTGATTCGAAAACCGAAAGATCGATCCATCAAACCACTGAAGAGAACTTTCAGGATTGTACCATCATCACTGTAGCCCACAGACTGAGCAGTATTTTGAAGTCGGATCGGGTTTTGGTGATGGACGATGGCAAAGTTGTGGAATTCGATCGGCCTGACTGTTTAATGCAGAATTCGGAAAGTTTGTTTTCGCAGTTGCTCAGGGGGAATCAAAGAACTGTGATGTATACTCATGCTATTTAAAAACTCTTTAATGTGATTATTATTAATTGAAAAATGTTAAGGCAAAGTATAAAGTCTAATAAACGCAAAAAAAAAATGTATATTCAAACTACCCGCGATGAATTTTGACAGGTAACAGTGATGCAGCACTAACACCATTTTAGTTAGACATGTTTTAAGTTTCTTGTTGTCGAAATAATTCTAAACATATTACGATAAAAAAGAAAAAAAAAGCGATATAACTATTATAAAAAAAAATTGGTCTAAAGAGTTTAGACAGTACTTCCCTCGCTGTCGGAAACTTGACGACTGCATGCCTATTGTGTTTTTTTTCTCATTACATTTTTGTAGTGGGAATTTAAAAAAAAATGCGATGACGTCATCAACATTTTTGCAAGGACACGTATATCAGTTGGGATAAATGCAGTGTAATACTAAGAATAAAATTATTGTATTCTCAAATTTTCGGGAAAATGAATTGGGTCGTTTTGAATATTGATTTGTAATAATCAATAAAATAACGAAACAATTTACTCACGTATATGTATCAGAGGCAACTGAAAATCGTGTATGTATAAACATTCTTAATTTAAGATGACAGGCGTAACAGCATACGTGAGAGTCAAACAGAGAAACTGTAAACAAAACGACCATCGGTTTTATTGCTTCGACTTCTGCTTATTATATAAAACATTGGGTTTTATTTTAATTCTTGACGGTGAAATTCACAATTGGTTGATTATAAACATGTCTATTTCACATTCGCGGAACCAAGTGAGCGCATAAAACAAATGCAGGTCTGTAATGTTAAAGTCGATGTAAATAAGCGTGCTACCCTTATGTTTCAACCGAGTTTTTCCTTTAACAAATTTTGTGTCTACCAAATTGGGTTGGTTGGGGTGTAATACTAATAATAAGTGTTGCCTTTAATTTAATCAATAAAATAAATTGACTTCATTAATTTTTTTGAACCACCTCTTAAGAAAATCTAAAAAATATGAATGGAATGATAAATCACAAGTACAAAATCATCATATTTTTTGCATTTTAGATAGGATTTATTCAGCAAAATTTAAGGGTGACGTCATCAATTTTTTTAGGAGGGATGAACAAATACATTTTGAACAAAAGTTTACCATGCTTATAATAACTTTAAAATATTCCCAAGATTTCAAAGCATTCGGTTTTGTAATTCCTGATTAAATCGATAAAATAAATTCACGCCTTCATTAATTTTTTTGAGTCACCCTGCATATGCAAATCCAAAAATATGAATGGAATGATAAATCACAAGTACAGACTCATCATATTTTGTACGTTTTAGATACGATTTATTCGGCAAACTTTTGAGCTGACGTCATCAGTTTTTTGTAGAAGATAATCAAATATATTTTGACTAAAAATTTATTATGCTCTTTATAACCTCAAAACATCTGCAAGATTTCAAAGCATTCGATTTTGTAGTTCCTGATTAAATCAATAAAATAAATTTACGCATTCATTAATTTTTTTGAGTCACCCTGTATATGCAAATCGAAAAAATTTGAATGGAATGATAAATCACAAGAAGAGACTCACCATATTTTGTACATTTGAGACAGGATTTCAGCAAAATTTTTGTGGTGACGTCATAAATTTTTTAGTGGGGACGACCAAATACGTTTTGATCAAAAATTTACCATGCTTATGATAATTTTAAAATATCTTCAAGATTTCGAAGCATTCGGTTTTGTAGTTCCTGAGTAAATCAGTAAAATAAATTTACGCTTTCATTTATTTTCTTGAATCACCCTGTATATGCAAATCCAAAAAATATGAATGGAGTGATAGATCACAAGTACAGACTGATCATATTTTGTACATTTTAGATATGATTTATTCAGCAAATTTTCGACCTGACGTCATCAAGTTTTTGGAGGGGATAAGCAAATTTATTTTGACTAAACATTTATTATGCTCTTTATAACCTTAAAACATGTGCAAGATGTCAGAGCATTCCGTTTTGTAGTTCCTGATTAAATCAATAAAATATATTTACGCATTCATTAATTTTTTTGAGTCACTCTGTATATGCAAATCCAAAAAATATGAATGGAGTAATATATCACAAGTACAGATTCATCATATTTTGTACATTTTAGATATGATTTATTCGGCAAACTTTCGAGCTGACGTCATCAAATTTTTGGAGAGGATAAGCAAATATATTTTGACTAAACATTTATTATGCTCTTTATGACCTTAAAACATCTGCAAGATTTCAGAGCATTCGGTTTTGTAGTTCCTGATTAAATCAATAAAATATATTTACGCATTCATTAATTTTTTTGAGTCACCCTGTATATGCAAATCCAAAAAATATGAATGGAGTAATAGATCACAAGTACAGATTCATCATATTTTGTACATTTTAGATATGATTTATTCCACAAACTTTTGAGCTGACGTCATCAAGTTTTTGGAGGGGATAAGCAAATATTTTTTGACTAAAGATTTATGATGCTCTTTATAGCCTTAAAACATCTGCAACATTTCAAAGCATTCTGGCTAGCAGATTAAAAATTAAATTTCAAAATGTTGTTTCATAATTTTGATTTTTTTTCCAAAAATCTGGACGTTTCGGGTGAAAAGTCGATTCAGAGTTGTAAACTACATGTGTAGGACTATGTTATTTTATACAATTGAAAACCCATTTACTATGTGACGTCATCGCATTAGTGGTGGGGATGATTAGACAAATTTTGGTTAGCGTTTTACCATCTACATGATATTATTAATATAAGTACAAAATTTCACAACAATCAGTCGAGTACTTTCGGAGATTATCTGTCTAATAAAAATCCGGGACGGCAGACGGACAGACAGACGGACGGACAGACGGACGGACAGACGGACGGACAGACAGACGGAAATGGGAGACCTATTTCTTCGTCTTCTAGGGGTCATGAAAGATCGAGAAAACGTAAAAGTAGAGAGTCGGCCGACGGACTCGATTACAATACTTCCTTTGCTTACGCTCGGGAAGTAAAAAGTAGAAAATTTAAAAGCAGATATTTTAAACGGTCCTACTCACATTTTTGGTGGTCACTCCAGTTGCGCCACATAATTTTATTGTGTCTAAAATTTGGACAAACTGAAAATTCAATAGAATATTCCAACTTTTTGAATAGTGGTTTATATTCTCCTTTTGTAGCAGCGTTAAGAAGAGTAGCAAATTTACGTTACTGTTAACGATTTATTAAATTTATTAAACTGCCCAATTCACTCCAATGGGGTACTGACAACGAAGAAGTGACAAGAGAAGAATTTATACAATCTAATAGGGTTAATTGTAAAATCATGTGTTTTTTTTTGTTGACAGAAAAAACAATTTGGGGGCGTATTCAGATGGTTTAATTGGAGAAGACTATAATAGAGATGAAATGCCCTTTTAATGCCAGAAAAGAAAATATAAAAGTAGATATAGAAAACTAAATTATTAAATATTGAGAGTTAGACCCAAAAGATAAAAATAAAATTTTGTTAAAAGAAAACGATATTTACTTATATGTTTTAAGTCCAAGGGCAACTACATATAAGGCATCGTCAAAAATGTTATTTTATTGTGGATACAGAATGTGATCTACAATACTGAATAATTGAAAGAGATAACGTTTTGGCATGAAAAAATGCGGTCTAGGACAATTCGGCGCGGCCGACTTGGCGCGGCCAACTTGGCGCGGCCGACTTGGCGCGAGACATTTTGGCGCAAAGCCAACTTGGCGCAGGGACACTTTGGCGCAAGCCATCTTGGCGTGGACCATCTTGGCGCGAATGAACTCGCACCAAGAAAAATTGATATAATTATACAAAAATTGTACCCATTGTTAGCATAACCTAATTTTTATGGTCTCCAATGCGTGGAGGGGCAATGTCGACTTTTTAATGGACACACGGGCGCTTCGCGCACTGCACCCCATTATAAACATACTCCTAAACGTGGAACTTCTTGCTCCGTGGATCATTTAGTTATTGGAATTTGTGCGAATGAAACTGTGTATTTGGTTGCCTACACTTAGCATAAATAACAGGGTGCAAACCACGATACAAAAAATTAATATTTTTTATATTATATACCGACGTACTCGCGCCAAGATGGCTCGCGCCAAGATTGCTTGCGCCAAAGTGTCCCTGCGCCAAGTTGGCCCTGCGCCAAAATGGCTCGCGCCAAGTCGGCCGCGCCAAGTTGGCCGCGCCAAGTCGGCCGCGCCAAATAATCCCATTCCGGAAAAAATGGTATCTCACTTAGAACAGTTTTACTTATATGCAATGTTACCCGAAATCCTTGATTCCGGATGTGGTTGCTATCTGCCGGTACGAAGTAAATATAATTAAAAAAAAGTTACCTAAAATTAAATAAATTTTTTGAGTCACCCTCTGTATATCCGAATCCAAAAAACATGAATGGAATGATAAATCACAAGAAGAGACACATCATATTTTATACAATTTATATAGGATTCATTCAGCAAAATTTTGAGGTGACGTCATCCATTTTTTTGAGGGGATAAGTGAATATATTGTGATTAAAACGGTCTTGGTTTAATAACAAAAAATATTGTTAGTCTATAAAACAAGCTCGTCTTAGACAAAGTATTCGTAAAAAAATATGTCGTAAAAAAATTTACGTATGCTGGTCCCGACTGCAATTATGGTTTAAATATTTTTTAGAAAATCCTGTCATGGATGTAGAAACATTTGTGACAGCCAAAGAGGTTTTTTTGAGAAAATTATCTTTGAATTTAGACCAAATTGAAATAGACACTAGGCAACAGGCACATTTGGGCAAAAAAAAAGAGAAATTAGGGTTACGTCTTCAAATTTTGGACGTATTTACAAACTTAGACCAACTACAGCAACAGCTAAAACTGTGGAGTCTCTGTTGTACAGAGGTAATAGTCATACATACTGTGGACAGCAAAGTGAGAAAAAAGCTGTCAAGTGTTTTGAAATAAATAAAAATATAAAAACTGAACGGTGTGGCTTGTTTATTTCAAAACAATTTCCTTACTTGGCTGCTAGTCCAGACAGGGTTCTAGAGGATAGGAGTGCATTAGTCGAAATTAAATGCCCTTCAAAATCGCAAGATTTGTCTCGCGAAGAAGCGGTTAGAAAAAAAAATAATCAAATTTTGGACATTGACAGACAGAGAATTGAAACTAAAAAAAAATCATGATTACTACTTTCAAGTCCAGGGACAAATGCTTGTTACGGGTATTTCACAAGTTTATTTTGTTGTATGGACACCCAAAGGAATAAATATAGAAAAAAATTATAAAAACGAAGAAATATATGTAAAAAGATGGCAGATAAACTTTGCAGATTTTGCTTTGGCGCTTTATTGCCCGAAATAATTGATTCAAGAAGAAAGAGGAACCTGCCTTTGCGAGAGATTTTTTTAAAATAAATAAAATTTGTTTCTATTTTTTTATGTACTTTAATAATTTATTAGGAGTACATTTTTCATCACCAAGACTTGCATATTTTTATTATAAATATATTTTGAAAATGATCTCTCGGCAAATGAAAACATATAAGAGCACTTTTTTCGAGTAAACAATGAAGGGAGAAGTTACTGGGCGTAGGGCTTTTTTAAAACACGTCCTTTCTGGGATAAGTAGTAGATACACTTATACGTGTTAAACAAAAGATGTATTTTATATATTTTTTATTATTATTATAAATATGTTTATTAGTTTTATTAATTAAGAAAGCAAAATATATATTAACAATAATATTACAATGAATTTTTAGTAATCATGTGTATTGAATTCAGGATCCTGAGTGGAGTAAAAATATTATAGTTCCCTAGTTTTAATTCGTTTTATGTAGTACCTCATTGCGTAAAAGTTAATTTCCTTAACAATAGATTACTGCGGCCGGTCCTGGCGGCTTGTTATAAAACTGAGTTCCTTGTCATAAATTAGAAAAATCAGCCGAGAGCTCTAACAATCAGCTTATGGTAAAGCAGGCGATAAGGGTTTTACCTGGAAAGTCGCTTCCGTAAATTTTAGTGGCGCTCCTATCGGCAAAGTACTGGAACTAACTGCTCAAATTCAGTCGAATTGATACGCATTTTTTTCAATAACTGGTAGTTTTTGTTAAAAACTCTGCTAACCAATAGATCATTAATTTTCCTCTGATATTCCTGTTAAAATTATTCGACGTATTTTGCATTAATTTGTGGTATATTTTGATTTTAATAAACACATTATTATTTAAACAAATTGTACCACTAACAAACATTTAATGACTCTGCGCCCTGTAAAAAGTGATGTTTTATCCATGTGCGAATTTTCAAGCGATTCTATGATGGTTATGGCTCAAAAAACTTGAAAAGAAAACATACAATGGTGCTTTTTTACGATATTCCTCAGCCATATTTTTTTAATTGATTGAACTGGTCTCTGCGCTCTAGAATATGAAAAACGCTGCAGTTTGATGTATGATATATCTATATTAATATCATTTTTTCATACAAAAAACCAAAAAAATGTTATACCTCGTCTAGCGAGTCCCCTTAAAGTTTGCATATATTTGGTATAGGGGTTGATATTGGGGACGTACAGCCTGAAGGTATTTAAAAGGGGCTCTATTGTGTAGGCCATAAATTACAGCTTACCGCCTCAGGCAATATTTTGGGTTGCCTAACTTACCAAAATTTGCCCCAAATGCATTGCAGTTTTTTTACAATAACTAAAAGAAGTAAAATTTTAACAGAAAACGAAAAATGGCGTTTTTCACTGTACATATTTATTCATCAGTAGAAATACATAGCCGAAAAAATAGATACATCATAATAAATACTGTCGCCGCAACTCAGTTAACCTTAGGTCTAATTTTCTCATACATAACGTTTTGCATCTTATTCTTCAACGTGTGTTTCTTCATAAAGTGGAATTGGTCCAAAGCGAACTCGTACAGCTCGTTCTCCATCTGCCACACTGGACTCTCTTGTATCTTCTTAATAGTCGCAGGCGATGGCACATCCTTCTGGATAGTCTGCCTCAAATGCGACTTATTGCTCGTCAAATAATGGTCAAGCGCCCCCTTGAATATCCTCGGTAGAGTCTGCTCTAATATCGCTACAAAATCTTCAATTTCTTCAGTAACTCCGACGAGTAAATAGTTGTTGACTAAGTTCTTCTTGGCTTCAGTCAACGCCCACTTGTTCCCTGGTTTCCAACAATTTGAGGCGTGCCCACACAGGAACGGAATTTGTAGCCACATGTGGTTGGGATCACAGTCTGATAAACCTTTTTCAACACACTCATCGAACGACTACAACAAAATTATAGAAATTTTTTCGTAATTTACACACACCTACCATAGTGTTTCCGTGTTTGCGCCGTACGAGATACGGCCGGTAGTTATCCCCGTAACGCACGAAGTAATAATACGAAATGAACCTCTCCAGCGGTTTTCGCAGAATGTTGATGAAAAGCGGCTTGGACACACCGAATTTGCTAAAGTCAACGAAAGCAAAATGCCCATGGTAAATCCCTGGTTTCATTTCTGCCCAATCAGTCACGTTTCGAATGAAACTGTGTTGGTTATTTAAAGAGAGAACGTGGTTGTTTGCAGTTATGTTTACATGTAAAACGTGGAATTTATTTTTTTTGCAGAGGTCGTATGCGACGCCTATGAAACTAGTGGAGCCGGTTTTCGGGACACGATTGTATATAACGACTATATTGTCTTTCGGTGAGGGCTGTTTCTTGGACCTTTGTTCATTTTGATTATGAATTATTTCTGCAATGTTAGTTGTTTGAGGGGTTACACAACGGCACAGTCTTACCTAAAAACTCTATTTTCTCTTGAAGCCTAGCGATTTGTATTTGGTAGATTATGGCAATTGAGCTCATCACAAAAATGGTTAGAAGGTATCCGAATTTTACATTTGACATTACTAGTGAAATAAATTTGAGGATTCTTTTTACGTAGGGAGTCACGACCATGTCATATTAGGTTTAGTATTAAAGACGCGAAGACAAAATAAGTGGAACGATTCTTTCAGCGCATTGTTCATGTTTTGTATAATAACATAATTTTTGAGGTTATGCGATGTTGTTAATGTCAATTGTGTCAGTTTCGTTTTGACAGACTCGTTTTGACAGAAAATTCCGCGTTCTAGCTGTCAATTTGAACTGACTTGTTTGAGGTTTGTTATTTCTGGCTTTGTTTAAAGTTCTTTGTTGGAAAGATGAAGTTGCCAGTGAAAACGTGTGTTAATTGCCCGTTTTGTCGTGTAATAAACTCGTGAAATAAGCCAATTTTTCTCTTCATAGTGTTTTTGGAGAAAATTCAGCCATTACGTCTACGTTGAACTGATAACAGTTGTTGTCGCAAAATGAAGACGATTGTGATGACCCCGGTAAGTGATTTATTTTATATATGGAGTGTTTCAAAGTTTTTTCTCACTCCCCAAAAAGTGAGCCAGAACGTGAATTTCCCCCGATTTCAAATTGTCCCGCCAAAAAGTGGCCCATAATACGAACTTGCGCCTAGAACTTGAGTCTGCTCACCAAGTCAAATTTTCCCGCCACAAAGTGGCCTAGAACCCCCACTATACCGGGTCTCTGGGAAATGGCGGATTAACTTTTCAGTACGTTATGTAGCGGGGGTTTCGGAAGCCCCAAAAAATAATAATTTTTTTTTATGATGTAGATTACGAAAAAAATGTAGTTTTATAAAAGTAAAATTGGCAACGCTGCATGCTAAGATAAGACTGATTTTGACAAATGACATACCTTCTAAGAAAGAAGAGGGTGGGTGGGTGGGGCTAGTACTTTCCAAGTTAAAACTGATTTCGAGAAATGACATACCCTCCAAGAAAAGAGGGTCGGTGGGCGGGGCCAGTGACAGCTAATACTGACCCCGCCCACCGACCCTCTATTTTCTTAGTGTTTTGTGTTTGATAGATTCTTAGGAAAAAATTTTTGTTTTGTTTTTCTGTACGAATCGTTTCCTTCACCTGTTGGGATTGTTATATCTGGTTCTTCTCACAAAGAGAATTTTAACCCAGTCGAGTTTAGCACAGAATTTGTTAGTAAAAAATGATACAGAATTTTGAGGTTCTAGATATTCCTGTTTGGAAAGAATTTGAAAGTGCTTTGGACACTGCAGTGTCTTTTCTTATAATAATTTAATTAAATTTCTTAGAGGATACGTCATTTGCTAAAATCGGTCTTATCTTGGCAGGTACTAGCCCCGCCCACCCACCCTCTGTTTTCTTAGGAGGTATGTCATCTGCCAAAATCAGTTTTATTTTAGCTAGCTAGTACTTGCTAAGATAAGACTCATTTTGGCAAATCACATGCCCTCCAAGAAAATAGAGGGTGGGTGGGCGGGGCTAGTATTTGAATAAGATAAAACTGATTTTGGCACTTTTGAGCACTTTTCAAGTATTTTTGAAAATTAGTCAAAGTCATTTTCTAGCCTCACCCATCGGCCCTCTCTTTTTTTAGAGGATATCTCATTTGCCAAAATTGGTCTTACTTTAACAGGTACATACTATTGCTATTTACTTTTTTTTTTCTTAAGATACGTAGTCATCTTTTCACAAAAAAAACTTTGGCCCCTCGGTCTGACAACGAATGACAAATTCATCACGAGATTAAGCCCCACCCATACTACCTGCCCCACCTTAATAGTGATAAACTTTTCATTAGCCGAGAGACGGAGTGTAATTGTAAAATATCCACGTTTCCCTAGAAAACTTTACCATTTTAAATATGTATGTTTTAAGTTTCTTGTAGTAAAAAGCTGACTACGTATATTAACAAAAAAAGAAAAAATATCAGCCCCACCCACCCACCCTATCTCAATTGTGATGATTTTTTTCTGCTCGCCGTAAGCCGTGGGGCGGATCTTAATTGCAAAATCCTTATTTTTCTACCAGCAAACTATATATAGTGAGTACAAAAGAAAATCAAAACATAAATCCTGCCCATTCGTCTCGCTCTCAATCTGGCTTTAATTTTTACTTAATATAGTTAGTATTCTTTTGAACAACATGATGCTCAAAAATATGTTTTACATGATAATTTTTTGTCGAGAAATAAGGGTTTTGCAATTAAGCTCCGCCCTCTTGGCTCACGACGAATAAAAAATTCGTCACAATTGAGATAGGGCGGGTGGGCGGGGCTTATATTTTGCCTTTTTTTCTTAGTATACGTAGTCATCTTTTCACAACAAAAACTTAAAACATGTATATTATAAAAAATGACAAAATATCAATAGTGTTAAAGTTTTCATTCGTTGTCAGACTGAGGGGCGGAGCGGAATTGCAAAATCCAATTTCCCTACAAAAATTTACCGTTTGAAACATGTTTTAAGTTTCTTGTTGTGAAAAGATCACTACGTAAATTAAGAAAAAAAAAAAAAAAGTTTAGCCTATTGAAATAATTGTGGAGAAAACTTCTGCTTAGTTTTCAGATTACAGGCTATTTTTGTAAAATTAAATGTACATGAAGAAATATACATAAACTAAAGCAGAAATTCGTGAAGAATAAGGAAAATAAATTAAATATAAAAATAAGAATGAATGAAAACATGATCTAAAATAGCAAAAATCATAGATGATATGAAATAATTGAAAAAGAAGCGTTAGGGATTGTGGAAAATCAAATTACAGGCCGTTCTTCTGAAATTAATCATACTCCAAGAAATATTCATCAAGGAAACTATAAATTCATGAAAATTAAAGAAAAAAAATAACATGTAGAACGAAGAATAAATGAAAACGTAATCTAAAATAACGAAAAACGTGGAAGATATGAAAATATTGAAAACTAAGCGGAATCAGATTACGGGCTATTTTTGCAAAATTAAAGATACGTGAAGAAATACATATACAGAAAATAAACCATACATTCGTGAAGAACAAGGAAAAGTAAAGGAAATGTGACTCTAAGAATGAATGTGATGATTCTTTTTTATTCGGCCTGAACCAAGAGGACTTACCTGCAAAATACTTATTTCTTTACAAGAAATTAAAAACATGTTTTTGAGTATCGTGATGTTCAAAGAATACTATGTATATTAAGAAAAAAAAGGCAAAATGTATGGAATCTCAATTCCGATGATTTGTTTTTCTTAGAAACTTAAAACACGTTTAAAATGGCAAATTTTTGTAAGGAAATATGAATTTTGCAATTAGACTCCGCCCTAATGTCTGCCAACGAATGAAAACTTCATTACTATTTAAATCAGGCCAGGTGTGGGTGGAGCTTAATTTTTGGCTTTAATTTTTTTCTTAATATATTTACGTAGTATTGTTTGAATAACACGATTTTCAAAAACATGTCATATTTGGTAATTTCTTGTAGAGAAATAATAAGGATTTTGCAATTAAGTTCCGCTCCTTTGTTTCTCGACGATTCAAAAAAAAAAATCTTCACAATTGAGACAGGGCGGGTGGGCGGGGCTTATATTTTGCCTTTTTTTCTTAATATACGTAGTCGTCTTTTCAGAACAAGAAACTTAAAAATGTTTAAAACGGTAAATTCTTGTGGACAAATATGGATCTTGCAATTAAGCCCTGCCCCTAGATCTGACAACGAATGAAAAATTCATCACAATTGAGAATTGAGATCGGGGTGGGTATGGATGGGGCCTAATCTTTGACTTTATTTTTTTCTTAATATACGTATTAGTATTCTTTCAACAACACGATACTCAAACACATGTTGTTGTTTTCTCGTAGAGAAATAATGATTTCGTAGTTAAGCTCCGCCTTCTTGACTCACGATGAATAAAAAAAAATCATCACAATTGAGATAGGGCGGGTGGGCGGGGCTACGTTTTTCTTTGTTTTCTTAAATGTGTAGACTTATTTCGACAACAAGAAACTTAAAACATGTCTAAAATAGTAAATTTTTGTAGTAATCAACTTAAATCGTCCACTTTTCTTCTACAGCCTCTTTAAATACGTTAAACATGGTTAAAATGGTTCATTTTTGCAAGGAAATATGGATTTTGCAATTATGGGGCGGAGCCTAATTGCAAAATCGATATTTTCTTATACAAATTTTCCATTTTAAACATGTTTTAAGCTTCATATTGTGAAAAGAAGTCTACACATATTAAGACAAAAAGACTTGATGTAGACCCGCCCACCCGCCCGATCTCAATTGTGATGATTTTTTTTGTTCGCCGTGAACTAAGGGGGCGTAACTTAACTGCAAAATACTTATTTCTTTACGAAAAATTAAAAACATGGTTTTGAGTATCGTGATGTTCAAAGAATACTATGTACATTAAGAAAAAAAGACAAAATATAAACCCCGCCCACCCACCCCATCTCAATTGTGATGATTTTAATTTCTTAGAAACTTAGGACAGGTTTAAAATGGTAAATTTTTGTAAGGAAATATGGATTTTGTTATTAGGTTCCACCCCTAAGTCTGCCAACAAATGAAAACTTCATCACTATTTAGATCAGGGCAGGTATGGTTCCGCTCCTTTGTCTCTCGACGATTCAAAAAACAAATCATTACAATTGAGATAGGGGGCGTGGGCGGGGCTTATATTTCAGTGTTTGCTACGATAAGACTGATTTCGGCAGATGACATATCCTCTAAGAAAAGAGAGAGCGGGTGGGGGGGGGCTAGTACTTGATGAGATAAGACTGATTTTGGCAAATGCCATGCCCTCTGAGAAAATAGAGAGGGGGTAAAGATAGTTATATTGAAATTACTCTATTCAGTTTTAAATTTTTTCCAAAAATTCTGGATATCTAGGGAGAAAATTCGACATGGATTCACACACCACAAGTACAACAGTATCTTATTTTATCAAATTAAAAAAACTTTTAATTATAAATTTTGGAGATGACGTCATCAAATTGTTGGTAGTCTTATTTTAACAAGACTAATCCCACCCACCCACCCTCACTTTCCTCAGAGGATAGTACTTGCTAGTACTAGCTAAGATAAGTCTTATTTTGGTAAATGACATATCCTCTGAGAAAATAGGGGCGGGTGGGCGGGGCTAGTACTTGCTGAGATAAGACTGATTTTTTCTTAATATACGTAGTCGTCTTTAATCCCCGCCCCTCGATCTAACAACGAATGAAAAATTCATCACAATTGAGAATTGAGATCGGAACGGTTATGGGTGGGGCCTAATCTTTAGCTTTATTTTCTTCTTAATATACGTAGTATTCTTTGAACAACACGATACTCAAAAACATGTTCTTATTTTCTCGTAGACAAATAAGGATTTTGCAGTTAAGCTCCGCCTTCTTGGCTCACGACGAATAAAAAAAATCATCACAATTGAGACAGGGTGGGTGGGCGGGGCTACTTTTTTCTTTTTTGTCGTAATATATGTAGACTTATTTCGACAACAAGAAACTTAAAACATGTCTAAAATGGTGGTGGTGCTGCATCACTGTCACCTGTCAAAATTCAACGCGGGTAGTTTTAATATATATTTTTTTGCGTTTATTAGACTTTATACTTTGCCTTAACATTTTTCAATTAATAATCACATTAAAGAGTTTTTAAATAGCATGAGTATACATCACAGTTCTTTGATTCTCTCTAAGCAGCTGCGAAAACAAACTTTCCGAATTCTGCATTAAACAGTCAGGCCGATCAGACTCCACAACTTTGCCATCGTCCATCACCAAAACCCGATCCGACTTCAAAATACTGCTCAGTCTGTGGGCTACAGTGATGATGGTACAATCCTGAAAGTTCTCTTCAATGGTTTGATGGATCGATCTTTCGGTTTTCGAATCAACATTAGCGGTAGCTTCATCCATCACGATGATCTTGTTTTTCCTCAAAATGGCCCTTGCTAGACACATCAGTTGTTTTTGACCGACGCTAAAGTTGGAACCACCTTGAAGTATTTCGGTATCAAGGTGCTGCGGCAATTCTAGTACCGCATTTTTTAGTTCCACTTGTTCTAGAATTTTCCATATGGTACTGTCGTCGAATTCGTGGTAGGGGTCTATGTTGGTTCGCAGTGAACCAGTGAAAAGAATTGGGTCTTGAGGGATGATCGATATTCGTGCTCTTAGTGTGTCCAGTGGTACTGTTCTGACGTCAGTGTTGTCGATTAGAATTGTACCATGAGTGTCGTATAGACGGAATAAGGAAGACACTAGGGATGATTTACCAGCACCCGTTCGTCCTACTATCCCTATTTTTTCTTTTGATTTGATAAGAAAATTGACGTTGTCGAGAGATGGACACTGTTTATCGAAATAAGTTAGTGACACAGATTGGAATTTGATTTCGCCGTTGTTTGGCCAGTTTTGAAAATTGTCTCTGGTTCGTGAATCCGGTTCTTGCGCGACTTTGGTGTAGTCGAGGACACGTTCCACTGTAATCATTTGGTTTTCTAATTCGCTCCATTGTCGGATTCCCCATTGTAGTACTCCGATTAAGTTTATGGATTGGGTTATGCTTAAACCAGCATCAGCGGCGGATGTGTCTACAAAAATACGGTTCGTAATGAAGTGGGTGTGTACTGGGTGTTTTTTACCGGTTAACATTGTGGCTGTTATTACTACAATAGTGTAGAACACGCAACTCATGTCTAACCAAAAACCGAAAGCTCTGTTGCAGGTCATGAAGAGGTAGAACGCCGAACTGTGGAGGTTCTGGTGATAATCGAACTCTTTTTGTAACGTAGTTTGAACGTTGAAGGTGCGAATGGTAACTAAGCCCTGCATCGAGGCATGCATGTGGTTGTAGATCGGGCTTCTAGCTAAAACTATTGTTACAGAAGATTATAACTTCGTTATTAGAATTACCTTCGGCTTCTAATCTTTTTATGGTACGAGTTTTGGCCAAGAAGATGCTCTTGAACACGAAGAATACTAGAAAAGCGGCAGCTGTAGGTGCTAGCATCCACGCATTTACAACTGATACCAATACGACGCTCCCTAGTACAATGAACGCAACCTAAAAACAACTAGACAATAGAAGTAGATGAATTATCTAGTATTACTTGAAACGTGTCCATCAAGAGCAACGGTAGAGTCTCATCCATCAACCCTATATCTTTGGAAAAACGATTCAAAATTCTTCCAGTCGGATTTGTCTTAAAAAACAACATCGGCGCTTTGCTGATCCTTGCAAACATCTGTTTGTGCAAAGTGATAGACGTCTTCATGCAGTGTTGGAAAAAGAAAATCGATCGACCGATTGATACAGTTACAAGGGTGATAATTATTGTGACGTATACATATATACATAGTGTGAAGACACTTCTTGCATTCTGTCGTCCATTCAAGTCGGACCTGAAAGTCAGAATTGTCTACAAAAGACGTTTAAGAAGTCAAAACACCTAACCAAAACGCCACGAAGTAGTCGGCACCGCTTGCCGCAGTTTGGGTGACAGCAAATAGTATAAACAACAATATAATTTTGATTTTGTGTCCTCCAGCTTCTGCATACTTTTGATATACTTTAATAGACACTTTCCCGGTTCGTTGTTCGATTTTTTCTTTCTTTGGTTCGGTTCTTAGTTGTTCAGTGTTCTTAGAGGTGACATCTTCGTTCCTGGCGATGTCGGTCTTCTGATAACTAAAATCATTGACCAATGTTCCGTTATCCAACGCGTAGATTTTAGTCGCAGCCCCGACAAGATAATTCGAAGAATGCGTAACCACAATCCTACATTTGTCTCTCAAGTACTGTAAAATACAGTCGTTGAAAATTTTCACTCCCACTTTTGCATCTACAGCCGCTAGAGGGTCGTCTAATAGGTAAATATCTGCATCTTTGTAAAGAGCGCGTGCTAAACTGATGCGACTTTTTTGACCCCCACTTAGCAAACTTCCACGCTCTCCTACTAAAGTACCATCACCATCCACTAAAGCCGAAAAGTCTTTTTCCAGTTGACAGATTTTGATAATTGTTCTATATTTGTGTTCGTCGAATTTCGACCCAAATATAATGTTTTGTCGGATGGTCCCCGAAAACAACCACGGCTCTTGGGATGAGTACGAAATGGTACCTGTTACACTAACACTTCCTGTACTGTGCGGTACTTCGTTTAAAATGGTGTAAAGGAGAGTTGATTTCCCACTACCGACGACTCCAGTTATCACAACTAAGTCATTAGCGCCGACTTCAAAGGTCACACTTTTCAAAACGTGGACTAAAGGCTGCCACTTCACGGATACGTTCTTCAAATACACACCAACCGTTCCAGCGGCATCCACATTTACTATAAGATGTTTCTTCTCTTCGGGTTCTTCACCAGTGATTTGGTTTTGTCGTTGGTCGACCGTCGTCAAAAACTCTCTAATTCGTCTGACCGAAACCTTGGTTTCGCAGAAATTTTGAACCCCGAAGGGAAAATATACAGTTACGGTTTGACGCAAGATGGCGTAGAAAGAAGAAACGACGAAAACGTACGTGGCGTTGACTTCTCTTTGCGTTAGTGCGTAGGATAGAATGCACAGGAAGATCCCAGACCGATTCATGAAGAGCATCGAAGCCACATTCAATGCCCGAATAAACGAAGCTTTCCGTATTTGACGAATTTCGTCTCTGAAACCTTGCTTTTAGTGCTCGGATAACCCTACTTTTGTATACTTTCTAGCTTGTTCGACGGTTCTTGCGAAAAATTTTTCCCAAGTGAACATCTTGATGACCTGGATTCCCGTGAGGATTTCCTCCATGAGTTTGATCCTTTGGTCTGTTCGAGACGCCGTTTGTTGCCTGTAGGTCGTGGTTAGTTTTCCCGTTAACGCTACAATTAGGTATCAAAAGTAAGACGGCTTTGTTTGGTTAGTGTTAATAGTACTTTGGAAAGGTACGAACAGGAATAGTAGTACGATTCCGGCGACAGCCGTCGCTCCTACTGTTGCATATAAAAAATATATTATGACGATGGTTTCAATGGGTGCTACTAAAAGCTGGAGAAGGTGCATGGCTGCCAAGTCGAAGCGGTTGACGTCGTTTGATAGGAGGTTGATGATGGTACCTACGTTTGATGCAGCTGCAGCGTTTTTGTTGATTTTTAACGCGGTTCGATAGATTAGGGAGCAACAGCCGATTCTGATTTTCATACCCAGGTGCTGGATTTTGAGTTGGTAGAAGTGGGATACGAGGACGCTAAAAAAATTGGCTAAAATGATTAGGGTTCCGTAGAGGTAGCTGCTTTCTTTTAGAGCTGTGGTGGAGGTGGAGGTGTGGGTACTCATGAATTTTCCTATGAGCCAGGGTTGGCTCAACCTACGGGGAAAGTGGTGGTTAGTGGTAGTGGAAGTAGAATATTGTAAATATCATTTTCGGTATCAATATTATTATAACATTATTTTTTAGAATTCTAGAAAATATGCAAAAAAATATTGCTTTATAAAGTCGTCATTATACATTCTTCAGTGGTACCAATTGCATTTCTGTCACCTAGTGGAAAAAAAATGTTTTTTTTGGCAAACATGTGTAAGAAAAACGATAGTGATTTATGTTGTGTTTTTTGACTCTAATGGAATTGTAGAAATCTTGAGTTTATATACGCAATAAATACTTTTGGCAACACTGAAAGTTGTTTAAACATTTTTATTTTTGTATATACAGGTGTCCCAATTATTTTGAAATACGCATAATGTTCCATGTTTTTAAATGTATATTTTTTTAGCTTTAGTCTCATTGGGAAAAAAAAGAAAAAAAATTGAATCAGAGACAAGCTAAGTATTTAGTTATTTATTAAAAAATAAAAATTTTCACTTGGCATGTTCATGGTCACGGAGCAATATTTTGAAAAATTTAGCTTTGAAGTCAAATTTTTCAAAAATGTCAAAAATTGCGATAATTCATTGAGGAATTCTGGAAAAACGGTTGGAATTATCGAAGAAACGGGCCCGGAAATGACTTCTAGAGCTCGAAATCTACAAGACAAAGTATTTAGTTAAGTTTCGAAAATGTGTGGAAATTCGAAAACGAAAAATTCTACTGTTGAAAAAGTTGCCTAAAAATCCACGAAAAATTCTGGGATATAGACCTCGACGTGGTGATTTCAAAAATATAGTGCGTTTATTGACACGGAACAATATTGTCAAAATACTTTAAAGTCAAATTTTTCAAAAATTTGAGAAATTGCGATAGTTCAGTGGGCAATTCTGGAAAAACGATTGGAGTTATCCAAGAAATGAGGCCGGAAGTGACTTTGGTGGCTCGAAATTTACAAGAAAATGTGTTTAGTTAAATTGCGAAAATCGTCGAAAAGAGTCGAAATTTCTATAACTGGGGAGGTATACATAGTGGAAAATTTGATTTTTGAAAAATTCTCAAAAAATTTAGGGTTATATATTTTGACTTGTTAAATCCAAAAATATAGCGTGTTTAGGGCCACGGAGGAATATTTTCGAAAAATTCGGAGTGAAAATCGAATTTTTAGAAATTTTTAAAAATTACGATATTTCATATTCTGGAAAAACGGTTGGGCTAATCAAAGAAACGAGGCGGGAAGTGACTTATAGAGCTCGAAATCTACAAGAAAATATGTATTTAATTAAGTTTAGAAAATGGGTCGAAATTTGAAGAAAGGGAGTATTGAAAAATTTCACTTTTAAAAAAGTTACCTAAAATAAAGATCCACAAAAAATTCTGGGATCTATTTTCCAGAATTTTTTCAAGATCTATATCTTGAAGTAGTGATTCCAAAGATATGGTGCGTTTATAGTCACGGAACAATATTTTCGGAATATTCGGTTTTAAAATCAAATTTTTCAAAAATTTGAAAAATTCAGATATTTCAGAGGGCAATTCTGGAAAAACGATTGGAGTTATTGAAAAAATGGGGCCGGAAGTGACTTCTTCGTCCCGAAATCTACAAAAAAAAACGTATTTAGTGAAATTTCGAAAATCATCGAAAATGAATTGAAATTTACATTGTCGAATTTTTCATTTTTGAAAAAATCGTCTAAAAATTCTGAAAAAATTCAGGAATATGTATCTTGACGTGCTGATTCCGAAATATATCATGGTTAGGGCCACGGAGCAATATTTTCGAATTATTCGGTGTGAAATTCGAATTTTTAAATTTTTTTAAAAATTGCGATATTTCAGCTGGCGATTTTGGAAAAACGGTTTGGGTAATCGAAGAAATGAGACCGGAAGTGACTTTGGCGGCGCGAAATTTACAAGAAAATGTATATATGTAGTTAAATTTTGAAAATCGTCGAAAATGGATCGAAATTTATATTGGCGAAAATTTCATTTTTTAAAAAGTCGTCTAAAAATTCCGAAAAATCTTGGCGTGCTGATTCCAAAAATATAGCGTGTTTAGGGTCACGGAGCAATATTTTTCGAATTATTCGGTGTGAAATTTGAATTTAATTTTTTTTTAATTGCGATATTTCAATGGGTCATTCTGGAAAAACGGTTTGAAAATGAGTCGAAATTTTTATAACGGGGGAGGTATACATAGTGGAAAATTTCTTTTTTGAAAAATTCTCAAAAAATTTAGGGTTATAGATCTTCACGTGCTAATTCCAAAAATTTAGCGTGTTTAGGACCACGGAGCAATATGTTCGAAAAATTCGGAGTGAAAATCGAATTTTTAGAAATTTTTTAAAATTGCGATATTTCATATTTTGGAAAAAAGGTTGGAGTTATCGAAAAAATCAGGCGGGAAATGACTTCTAGACCTCGAAATCTACAACAAAATATGTGTTTAGTTAAGTTTAGGAAATGGATCAAAATTTGAAGAAAGGGAGTATTGAAAAATTTCATTTTTGAAAAAATTATCTAAAATAAAGATCCACAAAAAATTCTGGGATATAGATCTTGAAGTAGTGATTCCAAAAATGCGTTCATAGTCACGGAACACTATTTTCGGAATATTCGGTTTTAAAATCAAATTTTTCAAAAATTTGAAAAATTCCGATATTTCAGAGGGAAATTCTGGAAAAACGATTGGAGTTATCGAAAAAATAAGGTCGGAAGTGACTTCTGCGGCCCGAAATCGACCAAAAAAAAAAATGTATTTAGTGAAATTTCGAAAATCGTCGAAAATTCATGGAAATTTATATAGTCGAGAATTCCATTTTTGAAAAAATCGTATAAAAATTCGGAAAAAAATCAGGAATGTCTTGCCGTGCTGATTCCAAAAATATAGCGTGTTTAGGGTCACGGAGCAATATTTTCGAAATATTCGGTTTTAAAGTAAAATTTTTCAAAAATTTAAAAAATGCGATATTTCAATGGATAATTCTGGAAAAACGGTTGCAGTTATCGAAGAAATGAGGCCGGCATTGATTTCTGCGGCCCCAAATCTACAAGAAAATGTATTTAGTGAAATTTCTAAAATCGTCAAAAATGAGTAGAAATAATAGTGGAAAATTTCATTTTTGAAAAAGTCGTCTAAAAAGTAAAAAAAAAAATTCAGCATTATAGATCTTGACGTGCTGATTTCAGAAAAATGGTGTGTCTAGGGTCACGATGCATTATTTTCGAAATATTCGGTATGAAATTCTAATTTTTTGAAATTTTTAAAAATCGTGATATTTCAATGAGCAATTCTGGAAAAACGGCTGCAGTTATCAAAGAAATGAGGATGGCAGTGACTTCTGCGGTCCGAAATCTACAAGAAAATGTATTTAGTGAAATTTCGAAAATCATCGAAAATGAATAGAAATTTTTATATTTGTGAATAGTGAAAAATTTCATTTTTGAAAAAGTGGTCTAAAAATTTTCAAAAAATTCAGGAATATAGATTTTGACGTGCTAATTCCAGAAATATGGGGTGTCTAGAGTCACGGAGCAATATTCTCGAAATATTCGGTATGAAATTCAAATTTTTTGAAATTTTTAAAAATCGTGATATTTCAATGAGCAATTCTGGAAACACGGTTGCAGTTATCGAAGAAATGGGACCGACAGTTACTTCTGCGGCTTGAAATCTACAAGAAAATGTATTTAGTGAAATTTCGAAAATCGTCGAAATGAGTGGAAATTTGGATAAGGGAAATAATAGTGGAAAATTTCATTTTTGAAAAAGTCGTCAAAAAATTTTCAAAAAATTCAGGATTATAGATCTTGACGTGCTGATTCCAGAATTATGGTGTGTTTAGAGTCACGGAGCAATATTTTCGAAATATTCGGTATGAAATTCGAATGTTTTGAAATTTTTAAAAATTGTGATATTTAAATGGGCAATTCTGGAAAAACGGTTGCAGTTATCGAAAAAATGAGGCCGGCAGTGACTTCTGTGGTCCGAAATCTACAAGAAAATGTATTTAGTGAAATTTCGAAAATCGTCAAAAATGAGTACAAATAATAGTGGAAAATTTCATTTTTGAAAAAGTCGTCAAAAAATTTTCAAAAAATTCAGGATTATAAATCTTGACGTGCTGATTCCAGAAATATAGCGTGTCTAGAGCCACGAAGCAGTATTTTCGAAATATTTAGTTTTAAAATAATTTTTTTCAAAAATTTCAAAAATTGCGATAATTCAACGAGGAATTCGGGAAAAACGGTTGGAATTATGGAAGAAACAAGCCCGGAAATGACTTCTAGATCTCGAAATCTACAAGACAATGTTTCGAAAATGCGTTAAAATTTGAAAAATTCCACTTTTGAAAAAACTGCCTAAAGATCCTCAAAAAATTTTGGGATATGGATTTCGACGTGGTGATTCCAAAAATATAGCGTGTTAATGGTCGAAATATTCGGTTTTAAAATAAAATTTTTCAAAAATTTGAAAAATTGCGATAATTCAATGACTTCAAGATCATGACATTTACAAGAAAATGTGTTTGGTTTAGTTAAGTTTCGAAAATGGGCCGAAATTTGAAGTTATCTAAAAATCCACAAAAAATCACTAGAATAAACTTCAACAATTTTGGTATCAAGTATATTATTCTTTGAAAGTATTTTAACATCTAGGTGTCCCGTTTTAGACAACTTTTTGAAAAATTTGTCTAAAAATCCACAAAAAATTCCGGGATCTCGACGTGGTGATTCCAGAAATATAGTGTTTATGGTCACGATACAATGTTTTCAAAATATTCGGTTTTAGAGTAAAATTTTTCAAAAAATTTTTCAATGAACAATTCTGGAAAAACGGTAGGAGTTATCGAAGAAATGAGAGCAAGACTAACTTCTGCAACCCGAAATCTACTACAAGAAAAAGTATTTAGTCAAATTTCGAAAATGATCGAAAATGGATCTAAATTTGTATAGTGGAAAATTTCATTTCTGAAAATGTTGTCTAAAAATTCTCATAAAAATCAGGGTTATAGATCTTGACGTGTTAATTCCTAAAATATTGCGCTCTTTTGGTAACGGAGGAATATTTTCGAAAAATTCGGAGTGAAAATCGAATTTTTTGAAATTTTTAAAAATTACGATATTTCATGGGCGATTCTGGAAAAAGGGTTAGAGTTGATGAAGAAATGGTGCCGGAAATGACTTCTGCTGCCCGAAATCTACAAGAAAATGTATTTAGTTAAATTTCGAAAATTATCGAAAATGGGTCTAAATTTGCATATTGGAAAATTTCATTTTTGAAAAAGTCGTCTAAAAATTCTCCAAAAAATTTAATTCCTAAAATATTGCGCGCTTTTGGTAACGGAGCAATATTTTCGAAAAATTGGAATTTTTTGAAATTTTTAAAAATAGCGATATTTCGACGGGCGATTCTGGAAAAAGGGTTAGAGTCATTGAAGAACTGGTGCCGGAAATGACTATGCCTCGAAGTCTACAAGAAAATGTATTTAGTTAAATTTCGAAAATCGTCGAAAATGGGTCGGAATTTGTGCAAGTGTCGAAAATTTCATTTTTGAAAAAGTATGTCTAAAAATTGTGAAAAAATTCAGTGATATAGATCTCGACATGATGATTCCAAAAATATTCGGTTTTAAACTCAAATTTTTCAAAAATTCGAAAACATACGACATTTCAGTGGGCAAACGAAGCTCGAAATCTACAGGAAAATGTGTTTAGTTAAATGGTCGAAAGTGGGTCGAAATTTGAAGTTGTCTAAAAATCGACAAAAACCACTTCAACAACTTTGGGATTAAGACAAAATTTATTTAAAGATAAGTTTGAAAGTGTTATAACATAGAGATGAACTTTTGAATTTAACATCATGGTATCATCTATATTTGTTTTAATGCATAGAGGTTCACAAATCACAAATTAAATTCGCAAAATCAAAGTTTTTAATTTCTCAAAAAAGTCAGTGCTGTTAAATTTTGAAACGAAACACCCGTATATTTAAATAATTGTAGGACATCCTGTATAATTGTCTTCAGTAAATAGTATAACGAAATTGATCTTCTGAACCCACAAAGTCAATTTTTTGGAATTATTATTAATTTATTACATAAATATTATACAGGATGATCGAGCAATAGGTAGATAAACTTTACCCAGATATATAGAAAAGTTTGATACGAAATGGTAGCAAGAGAGATCAGTCAGCGGTTCTCAAAAGTTCCATCCATTTTGTGCCTCAATATGACAAAAACTTGTAAAATTTACCCCCGTATTTTACGACCACCCTTTTTATAAAAACCCGCAAAAGTTATATAAACACAACTGACATTGATGTGCTATTCAATTACTTCAAAATAAACTCGGAAAAAACAAAGAGCAAACCCAAAGCTATAAACTCCAAGTAAAATATATTCCAAATGACGCGCCACAAGTTTGGACTCGTAGTTTTCCATTCCTCCTCAAATCTATTACCCAAGTAGTCGGATTCGTGATTTTTAAGCGGCACATAATATTCTTGAGTGACGCTTTTACCATAACTTTTGTAAAACATAGCTGGCGCCCAACTGCAATATTTTTTAATGTAGTTACCACCAAATTCGTGGTGCTTTTTACCAGAAAAATAGTTTCGAGAGCAACGTGGCTCGTTCGCTGGGTTGCAGCTTAGACGGTTTATGCAAATGTTTGTATTCTTCCATTACTTTTTTCGAAAATTCTGAAAACAAAACAAGTTGTTATAATTTAGTTAATAATTATAGAAATAAAATAAAAATAGTAGACAGTTAGTAATTATTGGCATTTTTTAAATTGTAGATTAACCCAGACGGTTTTTTTTTTTGTAAACAAGCGACTTGCGAATTTCGTTGACGTTTAAATAACGGTAACTTATCAGCAGACTGATAAAATATAATGACGCCACTGCAAAGTTAATAAAAGCAATACATACAGATTAGTTATAAATAAATTGATGGTGTTGTAGTTTATGACACAGTGACAAATCGCTGCTTCACCACTTGCAACAAATAGCTCGACTGACTTCACTCGTCGTCGCTTCTCGGACTAATTTCTTAAACTACATATTTATGTAAGACATGTCTAGAAATTGTACAATCCAGTAATCGTTTAATTCACTTTATTGTTTCATTCAAAAGCGTGTATCTGGGCAAGGTTGATGAGATAAGGTAACAGATACCGATGTTGACTTTTTTAAGAATTCCACTCGAAAATAAAATTTTGTCAGTTTTTTGTAATAATAATAATAATTAATTTTCGGCATGCTAAATGCGGCTGGGAGAGCACAGGAAAGGTTTATCGTGCTGTTTGATTAATGGGTCATTGCTTACTTTAAGAAAATTAAATAAATTGATGCTAATGACAAATAAATATCTAGGGATTCGACTCTCACTGCATGATAAAATCGTCTCCGGGCTGTTACAAATGGAAACTAAATAAAAATTTGATTTTTTCGACATTTTTTTCCGCAGGTGTCAACATTGCTATTTAGTAGAACTGATAAATAAATAATAATAATAATAAATTGAAATTTTTTGCGGTGAGCGTAGGTCGTTGTGTAGGCTGGGCCTTGAAAAGTTTATTCACACGACTTTATTTTTCCAAATTCCGCTTTTAAATAAGACAAGTACTTACCTCACATCACTCCAACACCACTTAACTTTTAAATTAGCTTTTTGAAAATGACAAAATTAGTGACAAACTTGACGAACTAAAGTCCGACTGTACAACTGCGCAAAAGCACGTTCAACGATCATGAGTCCGTGCAAGTCACCTGAAACTAGGGGAATCCCCGGGGTGGTTAAAATACTTCGTTGTTGGCACACTGTGCCAACGTTTTGGCGAAAAATAAGATCAGTGCTTCGTTTAACAATTTTTATTTATTGTAAGTTAAGGACTTGACGAAATTGACAAAATAAATAATCAAGTACGAAATTATAAATTATATTATTATTATTATTTTAGTCACAATTATTCCATTGAACACTCAGTCCTCTAAATGCTCCTGACGCTGGTAATAACTCTGCAAAAACAAACTCAATCTGGTTAATTTCCAACCCGAACACTTACCTCGTTCGCAATTTTGATCAAATTTTCCACCATTCCCTTCCCAGTTTGTTTAACCAACCCATAGAACACCCCGTCGGTATTTTCCAAAAGCACGTGAGGATGGTCAAACTCGACCGCATTTCCGGCGCTCATTACAAGAACTCGGTCTGAATCCATAATCGTGTGGAGCCTATGCGCTATGGTCAGAACGGTACAATCCTTGAACTTTCGTCGTATGGTATTCTGGATCAGTTCGTCGGTTTGTGGATCAACATTAGCTGTGGCTTCATCCAAAACCAGAATCTTGTTGTCGCGCAAAACTGCTCTAGCCAGACACAGCAGCTGCCTCTGACCCACACTGAAGTTCGATCCTCCTTCAGAAACGGTACTTGTTAACCCAGAAGGTAGTTCCGACACCGCAGATTTCAGTTTAACTTCATCTAAGGCGTTCCACACTTGGTCGTCTTTGTATTCGTCAAAAGGATCCAGATTTTTGCGTAGCGTCCCTGAGAATAGGACTGGTTCTTGAGGGATGATGGAAATTTTGGAGCGTAGATTCTTCAACGAGATCTGTTTGGTGTCGACGTCGTCTACGATGATGTTACCATCAACGGGTGCTAAGCGGAACAATGCTGTGATTAGTGACGATTTTCCAGCACCCGTTCTTCCCACGATCCCGATTTTTTCCTTCGGATTGATTACAAACGACAGATTTTTCAGAACGAAGGGTTCTTCGGGGGAATATTGCATGAACACTGATTGGAAATCAATTTTGCCTTCGGTGGGCCACTTTTTGGGTGGTGGTTTCGCCTGGTCGTCGGGTTCGGATTCGATTTCTGTGTATTCTATGACACGTTCGACTGAGGTCATTTGGTTTTCGAGTTCGCTCCACTGGCGCATTCCCCATTGCAACATGCCCGTCATGGTGATGGACTGGGTTATGGCAAGTCCGACGTTGCCTCCGTACGTTTCTGAAAACGTATGGGTTAAAAACGTGAAGAACGACAAATGGGTTTTACCTGTTCCTAGAAATAGGAAACTTAGGATGACTAAGCCGATGTACACTATGCAGTTCATGTCCAGCCAGAAGGCGAAGGTTCTGCTGCACCCTACGAACATGTAGTAGGCCGAACTGTGAAGGTCTTGGTGGTTGTCGAACTCTGACTTTAACGCTTGTTGGGCATTGAAAGCCCGGATTGTTGAGAGTCCTTGTAAGGAGGCTGATAGATGCGAAAAGACGGGACTCCTGGCTGAAATAGCAAAATTAGCTTGACAATGATAACCTAGACCGTACTAGTACTCACTGGTGCCTTCCATTCTCTTCAGGTTTCTGCTAGTGGCTAGAAATACCACTTTGTATAAGTAGAATATGACGAAAATGATAACAGTTGGGATTATAATCCATGGGTTAATTGAAGACAAGACCATAGTGATAGCGAAGACATTCAACCCCACTTGTAGCGTATCCGTTATGGATTGTGGTAGCGTTTCATCTATGGACCCCATATCCTTCGAAAACCTATTCAAAATTCTTCCAGATGGGTTTGTGTTGAAGAACCTCATTGTTGCGTTTACGATGTTCGCAAACATGTTGTTGTGCAAATTTTTAGACGCCTTCATACACACTTTGAAGAAGCTCAAGGATCGTGTTAACGTAATTATAATAAGAAAAATGATAATGAAGGAGTGGATGTAGATGCAGATGTCGGGAGTGAAAAATCTGCTCTGCCACGACTCCGTAACCTCAGTGTCGTTCTTAGATTGTCCGAGTCTTTCCTGTTCTAAGTTAACCCAAAAAGTTATAAACAAGTCGGACGCACTACCAGCCCCTTGTGCTAGAACGAAGAGGAGCAAAATGAAGATAGAAACGAAGTAGTTGCCCCCTGCTTTCAAGTAACGTAGATAGATCTTCTTGGACAGGGTCCCGGTACTTCTGTGCTCTTTCACTTCCACCGGCTTGTCACCCTTTTCTAAACTCTTCAAAGATTTGAGTTTTTGGACCACTGCGGTTTTCTTCTTCTCTTCGTCCTCGTCGGGGTTACTCATTTCTTCAAGTAGCTTGACGAACTCGCCTCCTGAATTTCGCAGTTCGTTGTAGGTACCACTAGTCGTGATGGTACCGTGCTCCAGAAGATAAATCCTGTCGACGTTGTGCAGATACTGGAGTTGATGGGTCACCAAAATCGTGCACTTGTGTCTCAAGTACCCCGAAATGCAGTCGTCGAAGAGTTGTTTACCCACGTGGGTATCCACAGCTGATAACGGGTCATCCAATAAATAAATATCGGCGTCTTTGTACACCGCACGTGCCAGATTTATTCGAGCCTTTTGACCCCCGCTTAGCATCACCCCACGTTCTCCGACGATCGTGCGATCACCATAAGGGAACAGAGAAAAGTCGCGCTCCAAAGCACACACTTTAATGACTTCTTGGTACCTTTTGGTATCCATTTCGGTCCCGAATAGAATATTCTGGCGGATGCTAGCGGCGAAAAGCCAGGGTTCCTGCGCGGCGTAGGAAATCCGACCTCCGACGTCCAAAGTACCTTTGGTCAACTCAATCTCTTTTAGAATTATGTGCAGCAGAGTCGACTTTCCACTACCCACGGGACCCACAACACCTATTAGTTGTCCAGGACCGACGTTGAAGTTGATGTCGTTCAAAGTATTGTCTTCTGAAGATGAAACCCACTTCACCGAAACGTCGCTCATGGAAACACCGATCTCTGGTTTGGCGTTTTCGTAGTTATCTGGTACTGGTTTATCGGGTTTGATTTCGCCGTAACAAAGGAACTTTTGGACTCTTTTGACAGAGACGTTGGTTTCGGCTAACAGTGTGATCGCTCGGGGTAAGAACATGGTTAAAGATTGTCGTAAAATGCTGTAGAAAGACGTGACGACGTAGACGTATTCGGCTTTGAGGGTGTTTCCAGTTAAGACGTACGTCAGAACACAGAAGTAAATGGCGGCACGGTTGAGGAAGATAATGAACGATACGTTGATGGCTTTGAGGTACGAACTTCCACGAATTTGGCGGATTTCAAGTCTGAAAACGCGGATTAGTGGTACTAAGTAAAAAAATAAACAAATAGGAATACGTACTTCCTGGCTAGTTCCACTAGTTTCGCGAATGGCTTCTCCCACGTGTACATTTTGATCACTTGAATCCCCGTGATGATCTCGTTCATCAGTCTCACTCTTTGATCAGTCTTGATTGCCGTTCGGTAACGGAAAAACGACGTCTTCTTACCCAGGTACACTGAACCGAATTAGGTTAATTTAGTCAGTTTTATAATAGTTTGAGGTACGACTTACGTTGTAGCGGTATGAACGCCAGAAGTAGCCCTGCTCCGGCGAGGGCCGCCGGATCCACCGTCAGATACAACAACACAATGACAACTATAGCCTCCAACGGTGCCACAATCAAGTGATGAAGATACAAAACGAGATAATCGAAACGGCTGACATCGTTAGACATTAAATTAACCATCTGTCCGACCGTGGTCTCCGCCATCGCACTCTTACTGAGCCTCAGCGCTTTTCGGTAAATCAACGAACAAAAAGCCACTCGAATCTTCAGCCCCAGGTGTTGTAAGCCGAAGAAGTACGAATGCATGATCATGATGTTCAAAAACGAGATGGCTATGATTCCACAAGCGAACAAGTAGGCTTGGTTTTTGCTTATTTCGGTTTGTGAAGGGTCGTAGTAAGCCATGAGGCGCCCGATTAGCATGGGGTGTGCCATCCTGAAACGAAACAGTTAACTTTGGGGCAAATGCGTCGTGGCTGGTAGTACCTTACGATTAGTTCCTGGACGAGAAGGAATATCCCGTACAGGCCGATTTCTACCCCGTACACTTTGATTAGGGTTTTCCAGAGCGACGGGTGTCTGCGTAAGTTGGCTTCCTGTAGCCACGATTTTTCGAGCTTGTCGCCTAAACGACTGGACTCGTGGGCTTTCAAAGGGTCGTATAAGTCTTCTTCGGTGAGGTCTTTCTTGAATCCTTTTACGAACATAGGGAGTGCCCAGCTGGAAGATAACGTTAGTGTTTGGTTTTTGGGGAAAGTACTGCGTTACCAAAAAAATAATTTCGATAGAAAGTTGGCTCTTTGTTGGGGGTGGATTCTAACTTTTTTCGGCTCTTCGAGGCCATTCTCTTTCATTGGTTCTTTCTCTTCCATTTTTTGAAATTTACTGGAACACTACTAATAAAAACGATAAAATTGTTTAGTTTACATACAGTTAAAAGTGTACCTCTGGAGAATGTCGATGGAGGTCGCAGAAACCCGATATTACATAACGTATTTTGCAATCACTAAAACACACTTATGTATTTCTATATGACGAGGTATATGATGAAATGTGATTTTTGCGCCTATGGATAATGGTTATATCGTTAGAGCGATAAGTATTTTGTGAATAGCACACGCGTTATCTGATAATAAGGTTTATCAACAAGTTGCACATGTAATGAAATGATAACTAATGATGATGGACAAAATTTCATTTACTTACTTACCTTACATTTTTTGTGGGAGAAGTGCGTGTAATGACATGACGCCATCGAATGAACGTTAGCTGTAACTACTTCCTGCAGATTTAGCTGGACATGTGTGTAATAATTTTTGTGTTTTATGATGCACTTGTTTTGGTTTTTTATCATACATACTCAATTTTTATAATTTTCAACATTTGGTGTAATAAGTGGCAATTTGTCGAAACAATAATTGGGTTTCGCAATCTTACACAGACTTAGTTAGATTAAATATTTATTTGTCGGATCCTCAAAAGAAAGCCTATTCTCAAAAGAATGTCACTTGCTTCGTCATGCACGCTCCTTACAAGAATTAACAAATTTTAATCAGAGTGAAACAATGGCGAAGATTAAATCTGGTGTTTGGATAGATTACTTTCAGTTCTTGTATATTTGATTATTCTTTAAATTTTAAATAACGTTGTGGGTTATTTACAAAATCCGTCTTGATTTCATTTTTTAGATTCGTTCCTAAATTTTGACTTTTTTGAAAGAATTTTTGTCGAAGTCAAGAGTTCAGTGATGGAAATATTGATAAAGTGGTGGTGGAGAGATTTTTATCAATACATAAAGGCTTACATGCAATAAACAATACAATAGGTATTCGAAAAGACAATCATATTCTTGATCAATGGTGTGATAAGAACTGGAGTGAACTACCGCGGTTTGATAATATTTTGATAATGTTTACTAATATCAAGCTATTACTTTCGATTGTCTAGAAATTATATTTTAATTAAGTTTCAATTGGTTTTGATCACCCGAGTGTCGTATGCAAAAACCGAAGATAAGTAATTTTTTTGAAGTGTGGCTGCTCTCCAGAATCTATCAGATATTGTTAGATATTTTGTCTCGTTTGTTTTTCTTTTAAACTATGCCGCTAAGTTTCCAACTAACTATGTCAGAAGTGGTTTGTTGTGTAACAAATTTTATAAACGCCTCTTTAGACACGAGTTTTTAGCCAAGCCATGTTTAATGAACAGGAAAACTGCCAAGACGTGTCTAATGAGTGCAAACACAGCTTCGGTCCGTGTTTAAACGCTCTGTGCTAACAAGGTTTTAGATACGGGAGAAGAAAAAATCTTGTTACAGTTTGTAGTTTTTGTTGCTAGGTATCAGTTGACATGATTCTCAAGTTCTCGACATTTGTATTAAGATTTTATCGCCTTTTTAAAGATTTTTTAGGATTCTGAAGTTTTCCTTATCTCCATTTTTTTGGTAATGTTTTAAGTTTAAGTGCAAGATAATTTGTTTTATCAAATTGTTATAATTTTATTGTATTTCAAAATATTGTTTTTCTTTTTATATTTCCAATTTTATAAAATAAGATACTCCTGTACTTGTGGTATATGAACCCGTGTTGAATTTCCACCCTAGATATCTAGATTTTTGGAAAAAGAAAATACAATTGCATAACAACATCTTGCAAATTAACTTAAAAACTGCAAAACTGAATGATTTGAAATCTTACAAAAGATTTTAAGGTTATCGTAATGATGGTAAATTTTTAATAAAAAATTATTCATTTATCCCCCCAAAAATTGATGACGTCATCTCAAAATTTTTGGGAAGAAATACTCCTTGAAATATGCAAAGTATTATGACTATAGTGTGGTTTGGTCAATCACTCATAGTTCTTAGAATCACTAATACTCGGAAACATTAATGCATGACGCAATCCATTGTATCGAATCATTCCATTTTCCTGAAAATTTGGGGAGACAGTACTGTTATTACTAATATTACACTGCATATATCCCCCTTTGCAAAATCAATTCTAAATCTAATTATTTTTCAAAAATCTGGATTTAGGATATTATTGAGTTTTTTTGTAAAAGGCAGAGTATTTGACAAAAAATGAAATTTTAGAAATATGAAGTAAGCCAAAAAACATGTAATGTGTAATTTTTTTATACCAGAAAACCAATTTTTATTTGATTAATTTTCTTTAAATTTTTGATTTTTCAATTTTTCGAGATGCACTTTATCGTATTTTCAAATTTTGGCTTTTTCAATTTTTAGATTTTTGAACTTTTACGATTTTGTTGTTTTTAGTTTTTCAATTTTTATATTTAATTTGTTTTAACTTTATGATTTTTAATTCAGAGCACATTTGTATCATTCGAATGTTCTTGGTTTCGCCACGTTTATTTACACGTGTTGACTGAGAATTTTTTAATAACACCCATTTTCGAATTTTTAAAAATTTAAATTATTTTGGTTTTACAATTTCTCAGTTTTTTTATTTTTTTGCAATTTTTTAATTGTATAATGTTTCTATTTGGAAGCTTGTAGAGTTTTCAATTTTAAGTTTTTAAAAATTTTGATTCATCAACATTTGATTTTTTCAATTTTTTAAAATATATACAAAATTTCGATTTTATATGTAGTTAGCTCGATTTGTCAATTTCTAGGTCGTTTATTCAGTTTTTGGATTTTTAATATTTCAATTTTTAAATTTTCCATTTGTAAACTTTTGTTTCTTTAATTTTTCAATTTTACATTTTTTGGAATTTTTATTTTTTGATTTTGTAATTTTTCTGTGCCCCAGATTTTTCATTTACAATTTTTCTATATTTTAACTTTGCACTTCCTCAATTTTTCAATTTGTAGATATTTTAATTTTTCTTTATTTCAATTAATCAATATTTAATTTTTTTTTAGCTTTTAAGTTTTTCAAGTTCTCAATTTTTTATCATTTTATTTTCCCAGGATCTGATTTTTAATTTAATTCAAAAATCACAGATTCATTAAAACTGAAATTTTCACGATTTTACAATCTTTGGATTTTTCAACTGTTATATTTAAATTTTTCTTAACTAATTAATTTATAATTGCTTTCACTTGCTATAATTTTTTAATTGTACAATGTTTCTATTTGGAAGCTTGTAGAGTTTTTAAAATTTTGATTTATCAGCATTTGATTTTTAAAATTTTGTAAAATATATACAATTTTTCGATTTTATAGTTAGCTCGATTTGTCAATTTCTAAATCGTTTATTCAGTTTTAGGATTTTCCAATTTCTCGATTTTTAATATTTCAATTTTCAAATTTTTCATTTGTAAATTTTTGTTTCTTTAATTTTTCAATTTTACAATTTTTGGAATTTTTATTTTTTGATTTTGTAATTTTTCGCTGTCCCAGAATTTTGATTTGCAATTTTTCGATATTTTAACGTTGCACTTCCTCAATTTTTCAATTTGTAGATATTTTAATTTTTCCTTATTTCAATTAATCAAGATTTCAATTTTTAATTTAGCTTTTAAATTTTTCAAGTTCTCAATTTTTTATTGTTTTATTTTCCCCGGTTCTAATTTTTTATTTAATTCAAAAATCACCAATTTATTGAAACTGAAATTTTCACGATTTTACAATCTTTGAATTTTTCAATTTTTATATTTAAATTTTTCTTAACCAATTAATTTATAATTGCTTTCACTTGCTGTAATTTTTTAATTGTACAATGTTTCTATTTGGAAGCTTGTAGTTTTTAAAAATTTTGATTCATCAACATTTGATTTTTAAAATTTTGTAAAATATACACAATTTTTTGATTATAAAATCGAACTATAAAGTTAGCTCGATTTGTCAATTTCTAGATCGTTTATTCAGTTTTTGGATTTTCCAATTTCTCGATTTTTAATATTTCAATTTTCAAATTTTCCATTTGTAAATTTTTGTTTCTTTAATTTTTCAATTTTACAATTTTTGGAATTTTTATTTTTTGATTTTGTAATTTTTCGGTGTCCCAGAATGTTGATTTGCAATAACTTTTCGAAATTTTTGCTTTGCACTTCCTCAATTTTTCAATTTGTAGATGTTTTAATTTTTCTTTATTTCAATTAATCAAGATTTCAATTTTTAATTTAGCTTTTAAATTTTTAAGTTCTCAATTTTTTATTGTTTTCTTTTCCCAGGTTCTAATTTTTAATTTAATTCAAGAATCACATATTTATTAAAACTGAAATTTTCACGATTTTACAATGTTTGGATTTTTCAATTTTTATATTTAAATTTTTCTTAACTAATTAATTTATAATTGCTTTCACTTGCTATAATTTTTTAATTGTACAATGTTTCTATTTGGAAGCTTGTAGAGTTTTTAAAAATTTTGATTTATCAACATTTGATTTTTCAAATTTTGTAAAATATACACAATTTTTCGATTATAAAATCGAACTATAAAGTTAGCTCGATTTGTCAGTTTCTAGATCGTTTATTCAGTTTTTGGATTTTCCAATTTCTCGATTTTTAATATTTCAATTTTTAAATTTTCCATTTGTAAATTTTTGTTTCTTTAATTTTTCAATTTTACAATTTTTGGAATTTTTAGTTTTTGATTTTGTAATTTTTCGGTGTCCCAGATTTTTGATTTGCAATTTTTCGATATTTTAACTTTGCACTTCCTCAATTTTTCAGTTTGTAGATATTTTAATTTTTCCTTATTTCAATTAATCAAGATTTCAATTTTTATTTTAGCTCTTAAATTTTTCAAGTTCTCAATTTTTTATTGTTTTATTTTCCCAGGTTTTAAATTTTAATTTAATTAAAAAAATCACAAATTTATTAAAACTGAAATTTTCACGATTTTACAATCTTTGGATCTTTCAATTTTTATATTTAAATTTTTCTTAACTAATTAATTTATATTGCTTTCACTTGCTATAATTTTTTAATTGTACAATGTTTCTATTTGGAAACTTGTAGTTTTTAAAAATTTTGATTTATCAACATTTGATTTTTAAAATTTTGTAAAATATATACAATTTTTCGATTTTATAGTTAGGTCGATTTGTCAATTTCTCGTTCGTTTATTCAGTTTTTGAATTTTCCAATTTCTCGATTTTCAATATTTCAATTTTTAAATTTTCCATTTGTATATTTTGGTTTCTTTAATTTTTGAATTTTACAATTTTTGGAATTTTTATTTTTTGATTTTGTAATTTTTCGGTGTCCCAGAATTTTGATTTCCAATTGTTCCATATTTTAACTTTGCACTTCCTCAATTTTTCAATTTGTGGATATTTTAATTTTTCCTTATTTCAATTAATCAAGATTTCGATTTTTAATTTAGCTTTTAAATTTTTCAAGTTCCCAATTTTTTATTGTTTTATTTTCCCCGGTTCTAATTTTTTATTTAATTCAAAAATCACCAATTTATTGAAACTGAAATTTTCACGATTTTACAATCTTTGGATTTTTCAATTTTTATATTTAAATTTTTCTTAACTAATTAATTTATAATTGCTTTCACTTGCTGTAATTTTTTAATTGTACAATGTTTCTATTTGGAAGCTTGTAGAGTTTTTAAAAATTTTTGATTCATCAAAATTTGATTTTTAAAATTTTGGAAAATATACACAATTTTTCGATTTTATAGTTAGCTCGATTTGTCAATTTCTAGATCGTTTATTCAGTTTTTGGATTTTCCAATTTCTCGATTTTTAATATTTCAATTTTTAAATTTTCCATTTGTAAATTTTTATTTCTTTAATTTTTCAATTATAGAATTTTTGGAATTTTTATTTTTTTATTTTGTAATTTTTCGGTGTCCCAGAATTTTGATTTGCAATTTTTCTATATTTTAACTTTGCACTTCCTCAATTTTTCAATTTGTAGATATCTTAATTTTCCCTTATTTAAATTAATCAAGATTTCAATTTTTAATTTAGCTTTTAAATTTTTTTCAAGTTCTCAATTTTTATTGTTTTATTTTCCCAGGTTCTAATTTTTAATTTAATTAAAAAATCTGAAATTTATAAAATTGAAATTTTCACGATTTTACAATCTTTGGATTTTTCAATTTTTGTATTTAAATTTTTCTTAACTTAACTTATAATTGCTTTCACTTGCTATAATTTTTTAATTGTACAATGTTTCTATTTGGAAGCTTGTAGAGTTTTTAAAATTTTGATTTATCAGCATTTGATTTTTAAAATTTTGTAAAATATATACAATTTTTCGATTTTATAGTTAGCTCGATTTGTCAATTTCTAAATCGTTTATTCAGTTTTAGGATTTTCCAATTTCTCGATTTTTAATATTTCAATTTTCAAATTTTTCATTTGTAAATTTTTGTTTCTTTAATTTTTCAATTTTACAATTTTTGGAATTTTTATTTTTTGATTTTGTAATTTTTCGCTGTCCCAGAATTTTGATTTGCAATTTTTCGATATTTTAACGTTGCACTTCCTCAATTTTTCAATTTGTAGATATTTTAATTTTTCCTTATTTCAATTAATCAAGATTTCAATTTTTAATTTAGCTTTTAAATTTTTCAAGTTCTCAATTTTTTATTGTTTTATTTTCCTCGGTTCTAATTTTTTATTTAATTCAAAAATCACCAATTTATTGAAACTGAAATTTTCACGATTTTACAATCTTTGGATTTTTCAATTTTTATATTTAAATTTTTCTTAACCAATTAATTTATAATTGCTTTCACTTGCTGTAATTTTTTAATTGTACAATGTTTCTATTTGGAAGCTTGTAGTTTTTAAAAATTTTGATTCATCAACATTTGATTTTTAAAATTTTGTAAAATATACACAATTTTTCGATTATAAAATCGAACTATAAAGTTAGCTCGATTTGTCAATTTCTAGATCGTTTATTCAGTTTTTGGATTTTCCAATTTCTCGATTTTTAATATTTCAATTTTCAAATTTTCCGTTTGTAAATTTTTGTTTCTTTAATTTTTCAATTTTACAATTTTTGGAATTTTTATTTTTTGATTTTGTAATTTTTCGGTGTCCCAGAATGTTGATTTGCAATAACTTTTCGAAATTTTTGCTTTGCACTTCCTCAATTTTTCAATTTGTAGAGATTTTGATTTTTCCTTATTTCAATTAATCAAGATTTCAATTTTTAATTTAGCTTTTAAATTTTTCAAGTTCTCAATTTTTTATTGTTTTATTTTCCCCGGTTCTAATTTTTTATTTAATTCAAAAATCACCAATTTATTGAAACTGAAATTTTCACGATTTTACAATCTTTGGATTTTTCAATTTTTATATTTAAATTTTTCTTAACTAATTAATTTATAATTGCTTTCACTTGCTGTAATTTTTTAATTGTACAATGTTTCTATTTGGAAGCTTGTAGAGTTTTTAAAAATTTTGATTCATGAACATTTGATTTTTAAAATTTTGTAAAATATATATAATTTTTCGATTTTATAGTTAGCTCGATTTGTCAATTTCTAGATCGTTTATTCAGTTTTTGGATTTAGCAATTTCTAGATTTTTAATATTTCAATTTTTAAATTTTCCATTTGTAAATTTGTATTTCTTTAATTTTTCAATTATAGAATTTTTGGAATTTTTATTTTTTTATTTTGTAATTTTTCGGTGTCCCAGAATTTTGATTTGCAATTTTTCTATGTTTTAAGTTTGCACTTCTTCAATTTTTCAATTTGTGGATATTTTAATTTTTCCTCGTTTCAATTAATCAAGATTTCAATTTTTAATTTAGCTTTTAAATTTTTCAAATTCTCCATTTTTCATTATTTTATGTTCCCAGATTCTAATTTTTAATTTAATTCAAAAATCACAAATTTATTAAAACTGAAATTTTCACGATTTTACAATCTTTGGATTTTTCAATTTTTGTATTTAAATTTTTCTTAACTAATTAATTTATAATTGCTTTCACTTGCTATAATTTTTTAATTGTACAATGTTTCTATTTGGAAGCTTGTAGAGTTTTTAAAAATTTTGATTTATCAACATTTGATCTTTAAAATTTTACAATTTTTCGATTTTATTGTTAGCTCGATTAGTCAATTTCTAGATCGTTTATTCTGTTTTTGAGTTTTCCAATTTCTTGATTTTTAATATTTCAATTTTCAAATTTTCCATTTGTAAATTTTTGTTTCTTTAATTTTGCAATTTTACAATTTTTGGAATTTTTATTTTTTGATTTTGTAATTTTTCGGTGTCCCAGAATTTTGATTTGCAATTTTTCTAAATTTAAACTTTACACTTTAGCTTTTAAATTGTTCAAGTTTTTTTTTCAATTGCTTTCACCGCGTTTATTTTTATTGTGTTGACTGATCATTTTATTAATAGCACCCATTTTTCAGTTTTCTAGTTTTCAATTTTTAGTCTTTCCAAATTTTAGCTTTTAAATAATGAAGTTTTCGTTTTTTTATTTTTAAATTTATCACAAAAAAGACAAGTTTATTCGAACTAAAATTTTAAAAATTGTAAAGCAGGAGTTTTTTTTTTCAGATTGCTCTTGTATTTTCGAAAAATGGAAACATCCAAAATAATAAAAAATCAAAATATTGGAAATCTAACAATTGAAAAAACGAAAAAATAAAATATCGAAAAATTGAGCAATCTAAAAATAATAGTAGAGAGAACCAATCTCAAAAAATTACAAATCAAAGAACTGCGGAAACGAAAAATTAAAAATCGAAAAACGGAAAATTCGAAAAATTGATAAAGCAAAATTTTAATTTTGAGATTTCAAAAAAATTGCAACACGAGAAATTAAAAAGGTGAAGTAACGAAAAACTAAAAAATCGAAAAATTAAACTGGAAACTCAAAAAATTGCAAGTCAAAATAGTGGAGAACGGAAAAATTAAAAATCGAAGAACGGAAAATTCGAAAACTGAAAAAAGGAAAAATCCGAAAATCGAAAAATCTAAAAATGAATTTATTGAAAAATTCGAAGAGTACGAAACTACCCCACCAACAATTTTATGACGTTTTCTCAAATTGCTTAGTACAGCCATATAAATTTTACAAAATAACATACTCCTGTAATTGTGATTTATGAATTTGCCTTGATTTTGTTGGTTATTACAACTTTTTTTCTTCAATTACAATATATTAAGAAATACTCCTATTCTACTTTCAACAAAATTAGGCGAATTATCAAACAATCGTGAATTGTGACCGTCGGCCTGTTCTGAGTTTATGGTTTCTTAGAATAATGCGTTTGTATCAATCAAAATCGAGTCCTCGAAAGCAGAGGAGCCCTTAAAAATCCATAATAATGCAAAAATTCACTTGAAATATTTATGTCTCTAAAATTTTAATAGATCACAAATACAAGACAAGAAATAATAAAACAAAATAATGCGCACATAAAAAGTTTATTTTCCAAAGATATATAAAATATTTAATGATTGTAAATCACGTTAACAGTTCTTTGAAATATTTCCCTTATCATCTTCGTAGTTCAGTAACGTTTTCATTCCCTATCACTTCTGTGGTTTAAAAAAAGTTGTGGGGCACCAGCGGCATATGGTCCTTGTCCGTTGTGAAAATTCTGAAAAATTAAAAAATGTTGTTTTCCCTTAATTATTATTTACAAAATTTAAATTTCAATTATATACCTGAGCCGCTGTCGTTTTCAAATTTTCGGCCATAGCCGCCCCCGTTTCGTTTACCAGCGAATAAAACAACCCTTCTGTGTTTTGCAAAAGCACATGCGGGTGATCAAACTCCACCGCGCACCCCCCATCCATCACCAGCACCTTATCAGAATCCATAATCGTCTGCAACCTATGCGCAATAGTCAGCACAGTGCAATCGCCAAACTTCCTCCGAATAGTTTTCTGAATCAACTCATCAGTCTGGAGATCTACATTCGCCGTAGCTTCATCTAGAATCAATATATTATTTTTACGAACGATTGCTCTTGCCAGACACAACAGCTGTCTTTCCCCGACACTAAAATTCGATCCTCCCTCTGCCAACTTCGTCGACAACCCAGCAGGTAAATCAGACACCAGTTGCTTCAATTCAACTTCTTCTAGCCCATTCCACAGCTCCTCGTCGCTGTATTCGTCAAAAGGGTCAAGATTTTTTCGTAGTAAGCCGGAAAATAGTACCGGTTCTTGAGGAATGATCGACATTATTGAACGCAGATTGGTTAAAGGGAGTGATTTGGTGTCAATGTCGTCGATTTTGATAGTACCTTCAACCAACGCGAGACGGAACAAAGCTGAAATTAGAGACGACTTTCCGGCACCGGTACGACCCACGATACCGATTTTTTCTTTGGGTGCGACTGTCCAGGATAAGGTGCGGAGGACGTAAGGACTATCGACGGAATACTTCATTGATACTTTGATAAAGTCGATTTTGCCTTGCTGTGGCCAGTTTTTGGGTGGGGTAGTTTTGCCTAGGTCGGGCTCGGGGGAGAGTTCTGTGTATTCGACGACCCGTTCAACTGAAGTCATGTGGTTTTCGAGTTCGCTCCATTGTCGGATGCCGCGTTGCAACGTTCCGGTCAAAGCGATGGACTGTGTGATGGCTAAGCCAACATTACCACCGTAAGTTTCTGAAAAATGGGATTAGTATTTTTTGGATTTTGCTTTTGGGGGACTTACCGGTACCGATGAAGAGGAAACTGAGGATCACGAGTCCAATGTAAATGACACAGTTGACGTCCAACCAGAACCCGAAGGTTCGGCTACAAGACATGAACATGAAGTACGCCGAACTGTGGTGGTCTTGTATATGGTCGAACTCCAGTTGGAGGACCTTTTGGGCTCCGAAGGCTCTTATGGTTGACAGACCTTGCAGAGATGCAGTGAGGTGCGAGAACAATGGACTTCGGGCTGAAAATTTCCTATTAACTGAGGTCATTCAACGAAAGTAGTCGTACTTACCGGTACTTTCTATGCGTTTCAGGTCTCTACTCGTCGACACGAAGACGAATTTATAGCCGTAAAAAATCACGAAAATGACAATCGTTGGCAGTATTATCCACAGGTTGACCAGCGAGATAATGAAAGTTATGGCAAGTACGTGCAGAAAGACCTGGAAAAAGATACATTCAGTGTAGATGATTCGCGGGTGCGACTTTAAGTACTTACTTGTACTGAATCCGTCATCGATGTTGGCAGCGTCTCATCTACAATGTTCATATCTCTAGCAAACCGATTGAGGATTCTTCCCGAAGGATTCGTGTTGAAGAACCTCATCGTTGTGTGTACGGTCTTATCAAACATATAATCGTGCAGACGCTTTGCCACCATCATCGAATACTTAACAAAACACACTGATCGCAACAAAACCAAGAAAATCAAAAGAGCGATTAGCGACCCATACAGACACAAAAGATTATCAGAAGTGAAAAAACTTTCCTCGAACTCGACTCTGTAACTCTCTGTGTCATTAACCGTTTGTTGGTCTTCCAACCGCTTCTGTTCAAGATTTACCCAAAAACTAAGAAAATAGTCAACTCCACTTGCACAAATCTGGGTTAACAGAAATGTAGTAAACACGAATAAAGGAAACAAATAACTACCTCCCATCCGGAAGTAATGCAGATAGACTTTTTTCGAGATAGTTCCGACACCTCTTTGCTCTTTGACTTCCTTAGGCAAGTCAGTTTTTTCCTCGAAACCTATCGACTTTCGTTTAACTGGTGACGTTTCACTGGTGTCTTCTTCCTCTAAAACCTCATTTTCGACCTCATGCAATAGTTTGATAAAGTCGCCTTCGACCTTCTTTAATTCCGCATACGTACCGCTCGCACTGATAGTACCGTTTTCGAGGACGTAGATTTTGTCTACGTTACTCAGGTACTGAATCTGGTGAGTCACCAGAACGACACACTTATCCTTGAGATAACCTGTGATGCAACCTTCGAAGATTTGCTTACCGACTTGGACGTCTACCGCTGATAAAGGGTCATCGAGGAGATAAATATCGGCTTGTTTGTAAATAGCCCGGGCTAGACCCACTCTAGCTTTTTGGCCGCCGCTCAACATTATTCCTTTTTCTCCCACAATGGTACGATCCCCGTACGGGAACGACATAAAATCCTTTTCCAACGCACACACCCGAACTACTTTTTTGTACCTTTCGAGGTCCATGTCTTCGCCGAAAAGTATATTTTGTTTGATACTGGAGGCAAAAAGCCAGGGTTCTTGGGAAGCGTAGGACATTTTGCCTTTGACTTGGAGCGTCCCGGAGGATAGGGACGCTTCTTTGAGAATGGTCTGGATGAGAGTGGTCTTGCCGCTACCCACCCGACCCACAACTGCAACCAGTTGATTGGGTCCAACGCAAAAGTCAATCCCGCTTAAGTTCAAGTCTGACGACGATTTGTCCCACTGGACGTCCACTCCTTGTAAACTAATTCCCACTTCTGGGGTTGGAATGGTTGATGGGTCGTGACTGTCGACTTCGTCGTTGAGGAGGAAGGATTGGATTCGTTTGAGGGATACACCGATTTCGGCTAACATGGCGACGCATCGGGGTAGATGAAGGGTTAAGGGTTGTCGGAGGGTTCCGTAGAAGGAAGTGGCTACGTAGACGTAGTGGGCTTGTAACACGTGACCAGTGCTCACGTAGGTTAGAACACACAGGAAAATAGAAGTAGGGACGATGTACATAGACGTGGACATGTAGATAGCCCGAAGGTACGCGTTGGCTTTGATTTCGTGGATTTCTAACCTAAATAAAACAAGAAATGTAGTTTGTTTGGTACATGGCTTAAGTTTGACTTACTTTCGCGCTAGTTCTATTAATTTGGCGAACGGTTTCTCCCAAGTGTACATTTTGATTACTTGTATCCCCGAAATGATCTCGTTCATTAGGCGAATCCTGTAGTCCGACTTAAGCGCTGTCCTGTATCTATACCGGGCCGTCAATTTTCCGAGGTAGACTAGAATCGTGAGTTTAGACAAACAAGGGACGGGTTCAAGGTACTTACACAAAATCGGAATGAATAGCATCAGTAGTCCGACGCCGACCATGGCCGTAGCATCCACAGTCGCAAAAAGCAAGTACAAAGCGATCATCGTCTGTATCGGAGTCACGAAAATTTGGTACAAGTGTAGACAGATATAGTGGAACCTGCTGACGTCGGTTGATATTAAATTCACCATTTGGCCTACAGTGCTTTCCATCATCGCGGTTTTGCTCAGTTTTAGGGCCTTCCGGTATATCAAGGACCGGCAAGCTATCTGCATCTTGATTGAGAGATGTTCAAGACCGAAATAACTCCCGTGTACTATCATCACGTTTAAGAAAGAAAACAGGATTATTCCGGCAGCGTACATGTAGGCTTCGTTTTTCGATATACCGTTGGGTGTGTAGTATTCCAACAATTTACCGACGAGTAAAGGTTGCCCTAGTCTAGAAATCGGGATTAAAATTGGTACACAAAAAAAACAGGTCGTACTTACTTTAGTACCAGTTCTTGAATCAACAGGAAAAACGAATAGAATATGATTTCGCGGTAGAACACTTTGACTATTATTCTTCGTAGGGACGGGATTCGGTGCTGGTTTTCCTCATTCTCCCAGGCCTTTTTCATCCGGTCTCCTAGTATTCGGGACTCGTGCGATTTTAAAGGCCCGTAGAGGTCGTCGTCACCGAGATCTTTTTTAAGTCCTTTTCGGAAAAAGGGTAGCGCCCAGCTGAAAATGGGTGCTTGAAGCGATCCTTAGCTTTTTCGTATATGTACTAACTTACCAAAAGAATAAAGTTGATAGAAGATTAGCTCTCGCTTTTGGGTGGATTTTCTTGACGGGTCGGGTTCGGTTTTTGCGCTCGAGGTCTTCCATTTTGGACTGGTAATAAGATGAAAATTGGGTTAATAAAAATGTGACTTGTTTTAATGTGTGTAAAAAAATTGCCCTGCACTTGTGACAGACATGTGACATATAAAAACTAGTGTACGTAGTGTTACTAATAATCAATAAAGACAGTAGATTAAATAAAAAAAAAACATTTAGGTTTTCAAAATCACGAATTTCGCATTTCACTCAAAAACAATCATTTACCGATTTTTGTTAATTTAATTGTTATAAACTAATAACGTTACTTACGTTGACAGTTGTCGAACAAATTGACTAACAAATCGTTGATTACACGTTGCCGACGAACACCAGAGTTTCCATGCGTCGACCGAGCGCACTCATCGATTTCAGCTCTCGCACTAACAAAATTGTAAACATTCAACAATACTTATTCATATTTATCTCGTCTGTCCCGGTTCTATTGTTCTGATTGTCAGACAGGTGGTTTTAGAATCATTGCAAGTCTTAACTGGTTTATAAATTAAAACTGCGTCATATTGCGCAATGTATGCGGAAGTATGCTTTTTGAGTTTTGAAAAAATTTTTGGCGTCACTGTGTTTTGATAAAGTACGTAATGTAGTACCTGCGCGTTCGCAAAAAGTACAATGGTTTTCCAGTGTGACGGTGATTACCGTGTAATGGTGCTTCAAACTTCAAGGTTGCCAAATTGAAATAATTATTTGTACAATTTGAACAATTTCGTCTTATATAATAATTATAAATAAATAAAGCTTAGGATTTAAAAAAATAAACTTGCGGTAAGTATGACTGTGATTAAATTGGCGTGAAAAATACGTAAACTAGTGACTGGTAATTGTGGAATAAAAATACGAGTGCAGTGTGACATAACGTGTTTTTTACGAGGCTGGAGATTGATTTCCTGTGCGAATGATAATACTGCTAATGGGGACACTCCAACTAACAAACTATGTACAGTTAATAATGTTCTTCTAAATCTATGTTTTTAGTAATTCGGCTATCACCACAAGAAATTTCTTTAGAATTTTCAATTGAATCACATTTATCAATCTCGATAGTGCATAGAACGAGATAGCGGTGTCTGCACTATATAGAGTGTGTTTTTATGCGATATGAACAAGATATTGCTTCTAGGAAAAATATTTGAAATACTTTGATATGTGATCGATTGTCTTCAATGTTTACATCAACAATGTCCTCGTTTTGTCTACGCTGTAGTCAAAATGTCCACACTTCCAGTCAGAAAATCTTGTCTTTGTCAATTTAACTTCTTCGTGAAATTGATATTTTTTTCCAAGAACACGTAAGCCTTCGTTCGTGCGTCAGCGATGTTCCACGAAAGCTAAATATGTGATTTTTTAGTGTGACGTCGCTTTAACGTAATCGACTAATAAACAACGTTGCCATTGTTACGTTTCTGTAGACGTATCACGTCGGACATGAAATAGTACTGGTACCAAGATTGAAGTTTGCGGAACACCTTGAAGATTGTTTGACCGTCAGAGAATTTATTTTTTTAATGTATGCAAATTTTCTGTGTTTGATACATAAGCTAAGTCGCCCTGTATAAGCAATTCTAAATTAAAAATGCACTCTTAGAATGTACAAACTTTCTATAATAAAATAAAAAAGTTAACGGCGTTAGTGGCTTATAAAGTACGGCGTGCAAATATACGGGGTGTTTACTTAACATGTGGCAAACATCAGGGGGTTATTCCTGGGGTCAATCTAAGATTTTTTGTCCTTGAATGATTTTCGGAAAGACCATTTGTTTCCAAGATACGGTGCGATAAAAGGAAAGTGTACTGCAACATACGAAAATCGCGGGATGGCCTGCTCCATCCCCAGACTTAAATCCTTTGGATTGTTGTAGAGTTTTATGTATATAGAGTTTTTTGAAAACACTAATGTACACTACTGTAGCGGGAAATGGAGAATTGGAGAATATTCGAAAAATCGGGTAATTACTTTTAATTTAATTTTTACATGTGATACGAATTCATAAAATTTTGTTCTTTTTTCGAAAAAATTTTAAAATTTTCAATTTTTTGATGTTTCAACGTTAATTTTGTTTGATTTTACAAAATATCATTGGCTTATTTAATTTACTGTGAGATGAGGATTTTATTTTAGCAAGTGGTAAGATCCAAGATTAAAGAAAAAACTTCATAATTGCTCAACCCCGATTTCTTTTTGATCACCCATTTTACTGGATGAAAACGGGAACTTATATTGATAAATCGTGGAATCCAGACAAAAAAGGTAAAACTAACCCCACCTACGCTTTTTAATTTCATTGGCTTATTTAATTTACTCTGAGGTGAAAACTGGATTTCGTTCTATAGCGAGTGGTAAAATCTACCATTAAAAAACCTTCAAGTGGTCCGACCCACTGATCCCGTTTTCTTTTTTAATCACTCATTTAATTGGACGAAAAGTGGTTTTTATATTGATAAATAGTGGAATCCAGATAGTAAAGTTAAAACTAACCCTCAAAAGCCAAAAGTTGAAAATTCTAAAAACTAACAAAAAAAAATGAAAACTGGATTTCGAATTCGTCTTTATTTTCTTAGAAGAATAAGTCGTCTGCCAAAATCATTCTTATCCAGACAGTAAAGTTAAAACTAACCCTCAAAAGCCCAAAGGTGAAAATTCTAAAAACTAACACAAAAAAAAATAAAACTGGATTTCGAATTCGTCTTTATTTTCTTAGAAGAATAAGTCGTCTGCCAAAATCATTCTTATCTTGACAAGTACTAGCCCCGCCCACCCACCCTTATTTTCTCAGAGGATATGTCATTTGCCAAAATCAGTTTTATCCTAGCGAGTACTACTAGATTTTTCAGGTTTTGGATTTTTCAACTTTCGAATTTTTCAATTTCTCGCTTTTTAAATTTTGGCAATTTTTCGATTTCTCTAGTTTTCGATTTTTTATTTTCTCGATTTTTGATTTTTTTTTTCATTTTTAGATTTTTGAATTTTGTGATGACGCCATCGAGTTTTTGGTGGAAGTAAAATGTAAATTTTGATCAGCGAGTACATGTTTGGCGTAACCTTTACACAATTGAAAAATTTAATTTTTTGATTTTTCGATTTTTCAATTTTTCAATTTCTCAATTTTAAAATTTTCATTTTTTCGATGTTTCAACGTTAAAATTTTTTGATTTTACAAAATATCATTGGCTTATTTAATTTACTGTGAGATGAGGATTTTATTTTTAGCAAAATTGCCCCACCCACCCACCCCGATTTCTTTTTGATCACTCATTTTATTTGACGAAAACTGGAACTTATATTGATAAATCGTGAAATCCAGACAAAAAAGGTAAAACTAACCCCACCTACGCTTTTTAATTTCATTGACTTATTTAATTTACTCTGAGATGAAAACTGGATTTTATTCTATAGCGAGTGGTAAAATCTACCATTAAAAAAACCTTCAAGTGGTCCGACCCACTGATCCCGTTTTCTTTTTTAATCACTCATTTAATTGGACCAAAGGTGGTTTTTATATTGATAAATACTGGAATCCAGACAGTGAAGTTAAAACTAACCCTCAAAAGCCAAAAGTTGAAAAATCTGAAAACTTACAAAAAAAAAAATTGAAAACTGGATTTCGAATTCGTCTTTATTTTCTTAGAAGAATAAGCCATCTGCCAAAATCAATTTTATCCTGACAAGTGCTAGCCCCGCCCACCCACCCTTATTTTCTTCGAGGATATGTCATTTGCCAAAATCAGTCTCATCTTGACAAGAATTAGTAAAGTTAAAACTAACTCCTCCCCCTCTGCCCTTTGCTTTTGAATAATTGAAAAATCAAACGATTGTAATTAAAAACTGCAAAATTGTCAAACAAATTATCAAATGGAATATTCAAAAGTTGAAAAATCTATAAACCTAAAAATATGAAAACTGGAATTTTCAATTCGATTTTATTAGATTTGTTTTTTTTTTTCAATTTTTCGATATTTCAATTTTTGATTTTCCGGCTATACAGTTGTACAATTTTCCGATTTCTCATTTCTGCGATTATTCTATATGTCGATTTTTGATTTTTTAATTTTTTTGTTTTTAGCAAGTAGAAGAATAAGTCAAACTAATAAAATTCAATAGAAGAATAAATAAATAAATCTTATCTTGGCAAGTACTAGCCCCGCCCACCCACCCTTTATTTTCTTAGAGAGTAGATCATTTGCCAAATCAGTCTTATCGTAGCGAGTACTATTAGATTTTTCAGTTTTTGGATTTTTCAACTTTCGAATTTTTCAATTTCTCGCTTTTTAAATTTTGGCAATTTTTCGATTTCTCTAGTTTTCGATTTTTTATTTTCTCGATTTTTAATTTTTTATTTTAATTTTTCGATTTTTGAATTTTTGATTTTCCGACTATACAGTTGTACAATTTTCCGATTTCTCATTTATCCGATTATTCTATATGTCGATTTTTGATTTTTTAATTTTTTAATTTTAGCAAGTAGAAGAATAAGTCAAACGAATAAAATTCAATAGAAGAATAAATAAATCAATTTTATCTTGGCAAGTACTAGCCCCGCCCACCCACCCTTATTTTCTTAGAGGATATGTCATTTGCCAAAATCAGTCTCATCTTGACAAGTACTCGGCCCGCCCACCCACCCTTTATTTTCTTAGAAGAGTAGATAATTTGCCAAAATCAGTTTTATCGAAGCGAGTACTACTAGATTTTTCAGTTTTTGGATTTTTCAACTTTCGAATTTTTCAATTTCTCGCTTTTTAAATCGTGGCAATTTTTCGATTTCTCCAGTCTTCGATTTTTTATTTTCTCGATTTTTGATTTATTTTAAGTTTTCAATTTTTGAATTTTGTGATGACGCCATCGAGTTTTTGGTGGAAGTAAAATGTAATTTTTGATCAACGATTACATGTTTAGCGTAACCTTAACACATTTGAAAAATTTAATTTTTTGATTTTTTAACTTCCAAATTTTTCAATTTCTCAATTTTAAAATTTTCAACTTTTCGATGTTTCAACGTTAAAATTTTTTGAAATTTACAAAATACCATTGGCTTATTTACTTTACTGTGAGATGAGGATTTTATTTTAATAAGTGGTAAGATCTAAGATTAAAGGAAAAGCTTCAAAATTGCCCCACCCACCCACCCCGTTTTCCTTTTGATCACTCATTTTATTAGACGAAAAGTGGAATTTATATTGATAAATCGTGGAATCCAGACAAGAAAGGGAAAACTAACCCCACCCACCTACGCTTTTTAATTTCATTGGCTTATTTAATTTACTCTGAGATGAAAACTGGACTTTATTCTATAGCGAGTGGTAAAATCTACCATTAAAAAAAACCTTCAAGTGGTCCGACCCACTGATCCTGTTTTCTTTTTTAATCACTCATTTAATTGGAGGAAAGGTGGTTTTTATATTGATAAATAGTGGAATCCAGAAAGTAAAGTTAAAACTAACCCTCAAAAACCAAAAGTTGAAAAATTTAAAGACTAACAAAAAAAAAATTAAAACTGGATTTCGAATTCGTCTTTATTTTCTTAGAAGAATAAGTCATCTGCCAAAATCATTCTTATCTTGACAAATACTAGCCCCGCCCACCCACCCTTATTTTCTTAGAGGATATGTCATTTGCCAAAATCAGTCTCATCTTGACAAGTACTAGGCCCGCCCACCCACCCTTTATTTTCTTAGAAGAGTAAATAATTTTCCAAAATCAGTTTTATCGTAGCGAGTACTACTAGATTTTTTAGTTTTTGGATTTTTCAACTTTCGAATTTTTCAACTTCTCGCTTTTTAAATTTTGGCAATTTTTCAATTTTTTATTTTCTCGATTTTTGATTTTTTTTTAATTCTTCGATTTTGGAATTTTTCATTTTCCGACTATACAGTTGTACAATTTTACGATTTCTCATTTATCCGATAACTGGATTATTCAATATGTATTGTCGATTTTTGATTTTTTAATTTTTAGCAAGTAGAAGAATAAATAAATCAATCTTATCTTGACAAGTACTAGCCCCGCCCACCCACTCTTATTTTCTCAGAGGATATGTCATTTGCCAAAATCAATCTCATCTTGACAAGTACTAGCCCCGCCCACCCACCCTTTAATTTCTTAGAAGAGCAGATAATTTGCCAAAATCAGTTTTATCGTAGCGAGTACTACTAGATTTTTCAGTTTTTGGATTTTTCAACTTTCGAATTTTTCAATTTCTCGTTTTTTAAATTTTGGCAATTTTTCGATTTCTCCAGTTTTCGATTTTTTATTTTCTCGATTTTTGATTTTGTTTTAATTTTTCGATTTTTGAATTTTGTGATGACGCCATCGAGTTTTTGGTGGAAGTAAAATGTAAATTTTGATCAACGATTACATGTTTAGCGTAACCTTTACATATTTGAAAAATGTAATTTTTTGATTTTTCAACTTCCAAATTTGTGAGATGAGGATTTTATTTTAATAAGTGGTAAGATCTAAGATTAAAGAATAAACTGCCCCACCCACCCACCCCGATTTCTTTTTGATCACTCATTTTATTGGACGAAAATTGGAATTTATATTGATTATTAATACTTCTACTACTTTTTCGTAATCTGGGGTTATGAAACGTCGAGAAAACCTGAAAGTAGCCATTCTTCCGATGGGTCCGACAACCAGTGGAATTAAGTAATGTGTTTATTATTTTTTGTACACTCATATTTCATCGAAATACTGAGATGGTGGGGGATACGGGGATTTACAGTTCGTTTGAAATAATCGGAGTTCAAATTAGTCATAATTTTATCAATACAGTTAGTTTTGGGAAATACCTGTAGGTGCATGGACTGAAGTTCTAAATTAAAAGAGGTTATTTTTTATCAGCCGGAACCACGAACTCTAATCTCATATTAATTCTCCTATCTTTCCTAGAAATAAATATTCAAATAAAAGTTCAGAATAACATATATTTTTTAATTCATCAGACGTCATTGTTTCATAAAGTCTCTCTAGGTAATGTATTTATGTTTGTCATTATTTGATCCATTAATAAACTTGTAAGATCTTTTTTCCCCGTTCTTTATTTTTTATTTATACTGGATTTCATTTTTGTACATTGTAACTATTTATATCTTTTAATTCTTGTTCTAACAGATTAATTTCATCATGTGTTCATGTACAACTGATTGGAAGCTTTTACACTTTTAACCGTATTTTAATTGTATTGTGCATAATTTTTATTCAATTTTTTTACGATATCACTTATTTAGTCATTTTTGGTTCCAGCTGCTTTATAATCTGTTTGGGATGTGGTTGGAGTTTGTTTAGTTTTAATTTGTTTGCGTTTGTTGTCGTATGTACTTGGTACTTTCACTGGGTACCTACTCGGAAAAATAGTACTCCAATTTAAATAAATCAAACATAAATAACATTCGCAATTTCCTACCAAGTAGATATATTTTCTATAACAATAGTATTGCTACTGTATTAAACAACGTACTACGTGACTACCTTACACGACTACTTTTAATAAATTACTACATCACTACTTAGGTACTATATCGGCATCACACAACAAGAAGGCGCCGAAAACTTCCTCAACTTAGTACTCTCCTCAATCTTCATTTCCCTCAATTTAGTCTCCTCCTTGAGGTCCAAACCCATATTCAACACACCCACCAACGCAACACTGGGCCTCTTGCTGGTACTAAGCTTCAGCGGAATATTTAACTTCTCTTTTGTTGTGGTGGAAAAAGACGACAAAAGCTTGCGTATTGGTGGCGACAGAAGTTTCCAATCGAGGTCGTGGGGACTTTGGGCACCAAACACAAACGAGACCACCAATCCCAGTATAATCGTTATCAGGAAACCCAAACCGGAGTACCATATGTACGAAACGCGAAAAAGGAAGAAAACAGCGTCCCTGGAAAAGAATCGACAGAATAAATATAAACGAGAATTGAAGTTGTAGTACTTGGGTTCGGGTGGTGCTTTTAGTTCTGTCGTGTTGAAGCAGGAACAATTATTGGTACTGATGTATTTGGTTTGTTCGGTTAGTGAGTCGTTGGCTATGGCGACTTGTTGGCCGATGCACATCAAGGTGATTAACGCCGTAGCGGTGATACTACCTAGTATGGCTCCCTAGAAATTGGGTCATCGATTTATCGATTTTACATTTTTATTAAGGTATACTTTTGAGTTCGACCACGGGAAAAACATTCCTAAGGAGAATAACCCCAAAGTTATGCCACCAGCCATTCCGTTGAAGCTTATTGCGACTTGCATTATACTACCCAACTGAGAAATAACGAAAACCTGAAAACTGAGTCGTTATTCGGGGTTTCTTGGAAATTAAAATACGTACCAACATAAAACTGATGGCTCCGTAGACAATCGAGATACACTTGGCCCAAAATGCCTCTCTTGATTCTTTGAGCGATATTTGGAAAGCCCCACAGACAAAATCTTGCATGGTCACGGCAGCCAAACTGTTCAAAGCGGACGCCACAGTTCTGAAACGAACCCCTAAATGTTAACCAAAATTTAGACATTGTTGTTGTATTGTTACCCTAGACTGGCTGCGAAAATCCCAGCCACAAAGAACCCAGTGACCCCTTTATACTGACCCATCTCTGACAAAACATACAATGGTAGTATTTGGTCGCTGGCACTAATCTGACCTGATTCCTTAGGGTCACAATCTTTGTAATGCGCCACCATGACCATACCGGTGTAGAAATTGATAATGTACACCAGAATTAAACCGAAACAGGATGTCCACAAAGCTCTATAAAACGAAACAGTGAGCATTGAGTTGGTACTTTGTGGAAGCGTACTTTCTGACTTGGCCGATGTTTTCTACCGATAAGTACTTCTGGATGGACGCTTGATTGGAACAAAACATGGTCATCCAGTAGAACGTGCCACCGATCACTACGGACCAGAAGCTGTGTCGTATTGTGGGGTTCGGGTTAAAGCTGAAACATTGATTGTAGTACTAAATTTAAACAAAACTTAAACGGTACTTGAATAGTTCCAGTCGTTCTGTTTGGTAGTTTTGCGACCAAATGAAACCCATATCGCCAATCGCGCGTTCCCCTAAGTACAAAATGAGTACTATCGAGCCTAGAAGTACTGCTGCTTGGAAAGTATCTGCTATAATGACGGCTTTCATTCCTCCCTGAGAAGCATAGAAGATGCAAACTATGTAAACTGCACTCACCGCCACAAAAACATTTAGTCCAGTCACTACAAATAATCTATAAATAAATAAATCAACGGTACGACGGCAGTACTCACCATGACTCAGTGCCAAAGCTGGAGCATACACCGCCACACTAGTGTACAAAATCATCTGAGAAATATACAAAGCACTAGCGAAGTACCGTACAGATGAGTTAAATCGCATAGATAAGTACTCGTAGCTACTAGTCAACCTCAATTCCATAAACAAAGGTAAGTAAAATTTCGACGTTAGTGGTACCACGAACAAAAAGGCACAACATATCATCAGGAACTGCGTTCCGTGGTTGTACATTTCAGCGGGATTCCCCAAAAGCTCTATCGCTGTAATGAAACTTTAAACAAAAATATGAGTGAATAGAGCGTCACGTTAACATTTACCTTGCAGCTAGAGACATAGCCATGGGGAAAGTACCCATGGAACTTCCTCCTAGGAGAAAATCGCTGCCGCTGGTTTGCTTCTGGCCTACGAAACCATAAAAAATGCCGATGCCACACGAGACTAATAACATAATCCCCAGAACTAGGTAGTCTGCCCATGAGAAGGTGTTGTGGGTCGTGGTACCGTCGCATTCTGTTGGTACTACTAAACAATTAGTGGTGTTTTCACAATAAATAGCGTTGTTACCTGTGTACGATGCATTAAGGTCAGAATTGGTGCACTGGACGAAGATAATATTCGACGAGAGTACTACTAAAAAAAGTACTGTTTTCAGCCTCGAGTGTCTTCTACCCGTCATCTCAGCGTTCGACAAGTGTAACGAAAATAAATAAATATTTTACATAAATTAGGCTAAAACCTGCAACAATAATATTTATTTTAGTGTATACACTTTTATCAGGAAACGTGACTCGATTAGGTACTAATATTTTTAACAGGAATTTTTCACGTCACACGGTACTTACTAACACCACAACCTGGAGCTTGAGTCCCCTGAATCTGTATTATCGCCGAAGTAAAGAACTCCTGAATTGAATTTGAATGATTTGTCGATTTGATCGACTTCTGTATTTCATTCGAGTGACTTAAAAAAAAAATCTACACGAAACTTAAAGACGGTAAATTATTGCGTGAAGTCACAGTGTCAACTGAAAAGTTGACACTGAGTAGCACTAATAAATAAGCTCTGCAATTAAATGAAAACGTTTTCAAAGAGAAGGGATAGTAGTCGTAAAAATCTGTTAAAACTGCTTTTAACAAAAACTTTTCTGAGTAATTAAAAACGAAGAAATGGATTTAATTTTACTGGAGAATTGTTCATAGTTTAATTTGGCTGAATGAATCATGAATAATGTCTATAAAAAATGTGTATAGTATTATATATAAAATGTGTACTCACTCGAAAATTTCTCTAACAAGACTGTGACCCCCGTCTCGTAAATAATTTGTCAAGAACGTGTAAAAGTAACATAAAAGCGGCGGCCGATCGCTCTAATTTGTAATTACGAAAAATTGTAAATTGATGGTTTAATCCACGATAAAAGCATTTTCAAAACAACTTTATTGGAATCAAGAACGATTTCATTAAAGCTTTTCCCGACTAAAAATATCTGGATGAGAACAAATTACTGCGTCACACTTCATTAACTAGTTTTATCCACATTCTGCTTTTTATTTATTCGTTTTTAATTATTTTTTAAGTGAAGCGATTTTCACTAATCGCCGGCTTGTACTATTTCGACCGCGGCAGGCGCGGACTTTTTGTTTTTGAAAACAGGTTGTGCAGAGTCGTGACGTCTTTTGATAGATAATTATGTTGTCCGGTATTCGTTTAATTGCCCTCAGAGGTGTATTTCTTGGAATTAAAAGTGTTCATCGACGAAGAAATCTGTCAATAGCGTTATTGGTGAAAACCAGATCAAACCAACGAAAAATCTACTACAGTTAATACGTCGTGCTGGCTGAGGCTGGTTGTAGCAATAAAAATAACACTCCATAAAGTCGACGTCTTTTAATTATTCCTTTTGATTGGGATCAATTGAAATGTGCATGACATTTTACACATGTGTTTACTGTGAGATTACACATTTGCACGGTTGGCCTGGGATACAGAGGTGATAGTTTTTTTGGAAGGACCGGTTTTTGAAATTATATAATTGATTTTCTATTATGGAGTCAAAAATTTTGTTGTCAGTGTTATGGAAAAGTAATTACTCATTACTCCAGTAGATAATTTTCAAGTTCAAATTTCTCCAGTAATCCTCAAAATTTCCGTCAAGTGATCTATAAACAGAAGCAATTTTGACATATTTAGTTTAATGTGATGGCCGCAAATTCCGCACGTATTTTATTACCATATCAGTCTACATCTTGGTTACAATGAGACACAAGAAAATATAAACAAATGTATTAATTTTACCATGTTTACGACTGATTCTGCATAAATATGATACTAGTGAGAATTTTTTCAAGTGGAGAGATTTGCAATTGATTATTTTCCAGATAATGCTCACTGAGACAGGTTATAACCGGATTATCAGATTACAGAAGTGAATTTACCTGAAGAAAAACTAGTCCTTGAATATGTAAATGAAATAAATTAATTGTTGAAAGATTTGAATAAAACGGGAATTTTTTGCAATGATTTCAAGTATTTTCGGAAGATCATTTACGTTGGATATTTTTCCAGGAAGCCAAATTGTCGTAATACTCATTAAGATGTGATGTGATAGTTTTCTTGGTATTTTGTAATTTTCATTAAAAATACAGCATATACCTACTTCATTGACAAACTGAGAGGGTTTTTGAATCAGCACTTCTTGTATCAATATACAACACTAATCACTATATAATACACCATCGGGATCAGGAACAACGCAAACCTGAAGCAGAACTGAAAGTGTAATCTTTTGCTAATGGTTAAATAAGTACGTAACTAGAAAGGTAGAGATAATCCATCAGGTATATTATTCGTACACAGCTAATGGAAACTGACTTCCAAGTGCTAAATAATATTTACCTGTACATACTATCAAATATTTGTCAAATATTTCAGTTTAGTTTTACGTGCTTTCAAAATTTTGGAGACGATACGATATTTGTAGTTTTTGTATAATATTTACTCCCTAGCGTAAGAAACTATTGTCCATCGAGCGTTTCATGGCCCCGAGAGTACGAATAAAGTGGTCTCCCGTTTCCGTCTGTGTGTCCACCTGTCTGTCGTCTGTGTTGATTTTTGTTATGCAGATCTTCTCCAAAACTACTGGACTAACCAAAATTTGGTGTTTTATTTTTGAAAAAGTTTCAAAAAAACCTTGCGTTCCCCTAGTGTGTGAAACAATCTTAAGAGTTACTCGTTTGTTGTAGACATTTTTTAAGAAAAGTTGGAGGGCTGCGGTATTTTATTTTTGATAGAATTTAGAATTTTTTTCCAAATTTCTGGGTCTTCGGTGTTTGGTTTTTCAAAGAGTTTGAAAGAAACTTGGGGGTTGCTAGTTTGTTTTGAAATTTTTTAAAAGAAGTTTTCTGGTATTTGATTTTTAAAAGACTCTGGAAGAATTTTTGCGGTCTCTGGTATTTTTTTAGAATTTTTTTTAAAGAGATATTCCAATCTTTTTAAGAATCCCAAAGAATCTTGAAAATTACTGATTTGTTATAGAAAATTTTAAAATAATGTCGGAGTTCATAAGTGTTTTGTTTTTCAAAAAGTTTGAAAGAATATTGGAGTTTCCTAATGTATTTTTTTAAGAATGTGGACAAATCTTAGTGGTTGCCGGTTTGTAGTAGACAAGTTCTTTTTCATTTTGGAGGCCCCTGGCATTTTATTTTTAAAGAATTTTGTGGGACCCAAGTGTCTTTTTTTTAAGATGAAAGAATCTTGGGATCCCATGGTGTGTTTTTTAATATGAAATATTTTTTTGGGTCCATTGGTATATTGTTTTAGATTTTTTTTTAAAGAATCTCGGGATATCCTAACCTCTTTTTTCTATAATGTGGAAGAATTTAGAGTTACTGGTTTATTCTAAAAATTTCTAAAAGCATCGCGGGGTTCCCTGGTGCTTTGTTTTTAAAAAAATTTGAAAGAATCTTGGGGTCTCCTAGTGCCTTTTTTTAAGAATGTGAAGAAATCTTGGAGCTTGCTGGTTTGTTGCAGATTTTGTTTATTTCGGAGGTCTCTGGCATTTTATTTTTGAAAAAATGTGAAAGAATCTTGTAGACCCCAAGTGCCTTTTTTTAAAGATGAAAGAATCTTGGGAAAGTCCTGGTGTTTCGATTTTGGAAAAATTTGAAAGAATCTCGGCATCCCCTAGTGTTTTTTTTTATGTAAAAAAAATTTTTAATACGGAATTTTTTTTAAGGTCCCTGATATTTTTTGAAAGAATCTAGGGTATCCTAGTCTGATTCTTTAAAAAATGTAAACGAATTTTGGAGGTTTGCTGCTTTGTTATAGATTTTTTTTTATTTCGGAAGCCTAGCAATTTATTTTTGAAAGAATTTTGAAAGAATTCTGTGAGGCGGAAGTGTCTGTTTTTTTAATGAAAGAATCTTCGGATACCTTGGTGTTTGTTTTGATTTTGAAAAAAAAATAGGGTCTTTTTTTTAATGTGAAAAAATATTTGGGTCCCAGTGATATTTTGTTTTAGAAAAAAATTTTAAAAATTTCGAGATCTCCTAGTTTTTTTTTTGAGAATGTGGAAAAATCTTGAGGTTAATGTTTTATTGTTGTAGAATTTTTTTTATTTCGGAGGTGTCTGGTATTTTATTAAAAAAAAAAAATTTTAAATCCTGTGGCCCCCAAGTGCCTTTTTTTAAGATGAAAGAATCCTTGGGGAGGCCCTGGTGTTTTGATTTTGGAAAAATTTGAAAGAATCTTGGGATCTCCTAATGTGTTTTTTTTTAATGAGAAAAAATGTTTGGTTCCCTTGATATTTTGTTTTAGAAAACTTTTTAAAGAATTTCGAGATCCCCTAGTTTATTTTCTTCTTGAGGTTACTAATTTATTGTCGTAGATTTTTTTTTATTTCGGAGGTCCCTGGCATTTTATTTTTGAAAAAATTTTAAAGAATCTTGGGATCCCCTAGTGTGTTTTTTTTTTAATGTGAACGTATTTTTTTGGTCTTTTGATATGTTATTTTAGACATTTTTTTAAAGTCTGCTATTTTTCGCTTTCTCAATTTTCAACATTACAGTTTATGATTTTTCAGTTTTTAGATTCTTAAATTTTTCAATTCTTCAATTCCTTCATTTTCCAATGTTCCAATTCCTCGATATTTCAATTTTGGGATTTTTCAATTTTTTGGTTTTCAAATTTTCTGCTTTTCCATTTATATTAATTTTTCGATTTCTCATTTATCGAAATTTCGGTGTTTCGATTTTTTCAATTTTTCGTTTTTGAACTTGTCGATTTTCCAATTTTTTGATGCTTTACTTTTTCGTTTTCGCAATTTTTTTCCATTACAGTTTAGGGATTTTTCAGTCTTTCGATTCTTAAATTTTTCAATTTTTTAATTCTTTCGTTTTCCAATTTTCTGATTTTTCATTTTTATCAATGTTTCGTTTTTAAACTTGTCGATTCTTCAATCTTTCGACTTCTCGATTTTTCGAATTTCGATCTTTAAATGTTTGGATTTCTGCATGTTTCAATTTTCAATTTTTTTGATGTTTCATTTTTTCGCTTTCTCAATTTTTCTATATTAGAGGTTAGGAATTTTTCAATTTTTTGATACTTAAATTTTGATTTAGCGAGATTTCGGGGTTCCGATTTTTTTCAATTTTTCACTATTTCGATTTTGAGCTATTTGGATTTCTCGATTTTTCAATTTCTCAACTTTTCGATTTCTCAATTTTTTTGATTTTTAGATTTTTCGCCGTTTCGATTTTCCAGTTTTTTGATGTCTCAATGTTTCGATTTCCCAATTTTTCTACATTACAGTATTGACGTTTTTCGATGTTTCAGTTCTGCAATTTTTGAATTTTTTTTTTATCATTGATCAATTTTTCGTTGTTTGAGTTTTGGGATTCAATTTTTTGATTTCTTAAATTTTAGACGTTTGAGTTTCACAGTTTTTTTTTTGATTTTCAGTTTTCTTCCGATTTTTAATTGTTTCGATATTTTAGTTTTATCAATTTTTCAATTCTTCGATTTATCGAAATTTCGGTGTTTCGATTATTACTTCCCGAGCGTAAGCAAAGGAAGTATTGTAATCGAGTCCGTCGGCCGACTCTCTACTTTTACGTTTTCTCGATCTTTCATAACCCCTAGAAGACGAAGAAATAGGTCTCCCATTTCCGTCTGTCTGTCCGTCTGTCCGCCCGTCTGTCCGTCCGTCTGTCCGTCTGTCCGTCTGTTGTCACGGATTTTTATTAGACAGATAATCTCCGAAAGTACTCGACCGATTGTTGTGAAATTTTGTACTTATATTAAGAATATCATGTAGATGGTAAAACGCTAACCAAAATTTGTCGAATCATCCCCACCACTAAAGCGATGACGTCACTTCAAAATTGTACATAGTAAATGGGTTTTCAATTGTATAAAATAACATAGTCCTACACATGTAGTTTACAACTCTGAATCGACTTTTCACCCGAAACGTCCAGATTTTTGGAAAAAAAATCAAAATTATAAAACAACATTTTGAAATTTAATTTTTAATCTGCTAACCAGAATGCTTTGAA